TTGAATGAAATACGAACATCGAGAAAAATTCTATTTGCAAAACGTTCATTCTTTTTTATGCGTTTTTTTTTACAATTTTAATTAGCAATCTGTCTAAAGTCATTGTTGCTTTGAAAGCGAACGGTGCCTTTGTACGGGTTGATTAATAAAGTTGAATTTGTCTACAAATTGAATAACTTCATTTATATTCTAGAATTTTCGTTCACAAATACTTCTTACAAATACTATACAACGAAGTTACGCCATTTTGTTGACAATGCTTCAACTGATTTCTGTCGCTTGACATTAGTTTAGGATCATTGTTTTTTTTTGGAATTTATTTGTCGATCGATTTGCAGAATTTATATGACATGTATATAATATATATAAAATATATACATATATTTTAAGCAATTGTATATGACCTCTGTAATGTGGTGTAGTTTTTCGCAATGTGTAGATTTTTATAATTTTATAATTGGTTCAGAGAACTTAGGATTTATTGCCAACAAGAAAGGTTTATTTCTGTTGTTACTAACTTAAATTTATTTTTTACTTGTAGTGTTCGAATTCTTTTTGAATTTAATTACTGTTACACTTTGTTTATCATAATATATTTTGTAATATTTTATTGTTAAATACATGATGGGTTTATTGAAAGCGTTCTATCATTTCTACTTACCAATGAATCGTTTTTCCGTGCACATTAAGGGAATTGAAATAATAAAAAAATACAGCTTTTATTTTTTTTATTGTACTGAATTTTGTCAACATGGAAAAGTACAAATATTGCATAACACCGACTTCTAGCCTGAAATACACAATTGCTTTATGTGTAGAAATAATGCAGTTGACCACTTGCAATAGAAAGTTATTGCAGCCGCTTCCATTTTAGTATTTGCTAGTGTCAAGTGTACTTAAATAACTCAGTTTGATTCTAAGTACTATCCGTATCCGACCTGTTTCCCAGCTTAACACAGCCCTTTTTCACGTTAAAAAACCCTTTTACACGAATCTGAACCGAACTCTAAACAAATCCACATCCCTTCAGATGGTGTCTCCCATACAATATATTTAATTTTTATTTGTTGTGGTAATAATATACCAATTGTTGTGGTATGCGATCGCGGTCCCGTACACTACACAAATCTAAATGATTCAACTAATACTAATTCCAATAGGTACTTATACAATTATATAATTAATAGATATAATATTAAGATACAAATAACCATCAAATGACAATAAACACACAAATGCGCAAGTGACACTGGACAATAAGCAAGAAAATACAAATAACAGATTAAAGATTAAATATATATAAACTAACATAAGCGCGATGTAAGTATGCAGTTGCACCATTCGCGAGGTGCATCGACTGCACGCATACCTTCGTATTTCTTATTTATAGAAGAACTTAATAGAATTAAAGAGTTAAAACTCGATATAAAGTTGTCGCTTTCGTCCCGTTAAAAATGGTTCAGTTAACCGAACGGAAGTTACAAAGCTGTACGGTTAGAACGTGTCGCTTCTTATTTATCACCATATTACATATTATTTTATTAAGTATTCATAATATAGTATCGGAAATGAGTGAATCAGTCCAGTTCCTTCTATGTATTTTACGTATAGTCGTCTATTCCACGCCGAAACCTGCGCTCCTCGCCCTCATCCTTTACATCCCTTTAGCTATTTCGCTAGATTTTTCTTTAGGGATTATATCAAAAATACTCGAATCGAATCGTACGTTCGACGTTTTGCTAATCAAGCGGGTTTTTAAGTAAAATAAATTCAACTCAATTATTCGGTCTGTGTAAATTTTACGTACATATAATGTATATCTAAAGGCGTATGTATGGGATGGAGTCCGGAGCGGATGCTTATTTATCGCATAAAGGTTTCGGGAATGGTTTCAACGACTTACAGCGGGGTTATGTGGTCCACCGGTCAAGACGCCTGGCTAGGTCTTGAACTCGATGTTTTCGATTGATATGTCATCTGACTCCTCCTCGTGTAATATAAGCTATTTTTTCATATATAATATATGTATATATAAATATTCGACGCTTCGGTTTTTTTTTCCTATATATTGCAGCACGAATCCAATCTCTCGATTTTTTTGTTTTTAATATTACTTAATCAACCGTTACGACCGTATCTAAAACATCTAACACCAATATTACATACACTTTATATATAATATATGTATATATTCTATATATGAAACCTGAAAAGGCCACTGGTTTTATTAACTATAATATTTACGACACCAAAATTTCATGAAACCATAGTTAAAAACACCGATTAATCCATGAGGAATATGACAATTTCAGGTTTAAGGTCCAAATTACTACTTTGTCATTTAATTGATCCCGAGAAACCGTGAGTTTCGAAGCTGATCCAAAAACGAAAGTAACCTGAAATTATCAAGCACATATGTATATACTTATATACATAGTTTGTGGAAAGACGACGAATTTATTGCGTACATTTAATCAGCTATTACGAAAGGTTTTCGTTTGAACGACACGAGGTGAATGCAAAATCTTTCAAAGGTTTCGTTAAAGAATCTCACTATTATTGTTTTGTGGTGTTTTCGATATAAGGCAAATTTATGATGAGTTTGATTGCTTATAGTTAATCACTTCAGATATTTCTGCAACGTATTTATTATTATTTTTCTTCTATATCATTTCGAAATGAGACATCTTTTCAATTAATCAATTTAATTAACGTTCACTCAAATTGGGACAATTAATTGTTTTTAAACGAACTTAGCCAGCAATTATGGTACCTTCGTTAAACGTTGAAATCAGGGTGAGTTAACTAAACCAGATTTTTTTCCATCACAACTCTCGAAACAGAAAAATTTTAATATATTTCCCTAATAAATCTAGTACAAATGAACTATTCAACTTGATTGTTTTCGAGTCGTGAGGAAAAAACTCTTCGCGGTTAATTCACTCCGCACGTGTGGTTAAATTTAAACCAAATATAAATTCCACAACCCTAAAAGACGAAGAAGAGCTCCACAACTACCGGAATTGCGGCGCTCTTCTATAGAGGTACGAAATCCTAACAGAAACCGAGTACCATTTAAAAGAATTTAGGGCGAGTCGAATGAGATCCTAATGTGGCAGTATGTGTTAAATATTGAGGTAAATTATTCGAGATTGGATTAGTGCTTTTGAACACACGTTTCGAAACGCTTTAGTCGAAGAGGTCCGAGGAGGAAGACGACCCTTAGAGCCGCCCCGACGGGTCTACCGGCCGTCACACGGCAAAAGAGATCATACATACATACCTCGCTTTTCTTATCAACTACTAAAAGCTAAAGTATATTGTAATTAAACTTTCTTATAATAAGTTATTGCATGAATTACAGTTATGAGGTACTGCATTTTTTCTTTTTCTCAATAGTTTCTTTTAACCTCTGTACATAATAACTTTTGCACTCGATTTTTATTTGTAGATAATAATAACCACAATTTTATCAAAACAGATAGAATATAATAATAGGCGTGAGTATATAATATATAATATATCAATCGGCTTTCTTTTTCTTTTTTTTTCATTTATTTTTTAAATAATGGAATGCATCTCGTCACAACAAAGTTTGAGCTATGTGCCCCGTTCCGTTGAATCGGGGCGAATCGTCAGTTTCACTGACCCGACCGTGAGATTCGAATACTAACATACAAAAAAATAATAATATGTTAGAACCCTTTCTCGATATAACAGCTACACATTTAGAGAAAATAACCAATTGGAGAATATGTAATGTATTATGTTACACTTATTCTAGAAGATCTACAACACACAAAGAGTAAATCCTTATGTACTTAGGTAGGATACGACACATACTTATATGCGATATTGCAATTTACAGGATTCGCTATGTGTAATTTAACTGTGGAACTGGATGGAAACGAAAAATCGAAATTTTTCGATCCTACGCGACTTTTATTCCAGTTAATTACACTTTGTATGTTTAATGACTTCGCAATGAAAAAAAATTGTGTATGTATATATAGTGTTTATTCCCCAATGCCCACCGTTGTGTGTATGATATACCTATTTGATAAAAATCTTGAGTTTTTATTGAATAAAAAATTGCGTATATCCAGGTAAAACATATATTCCCTGGTTCGTGTAGATCTCTATTTACAAATTTCCTTCACTCGTTTCTATTCGAATTTTAATCGTAATTAACCGTTGAAAGTCTTATTTACAAAAATTTTCAAATACATTCACACATTTCTAAATGGTTTTTTTCATCATGTATCATCCGAAACAAAATAATGTCTCAAAACGCAGTGAGAAATGTCGACAAATGACTCTTGTGCATTAATTGTTAAAATGTTTTTAATTTGTCGGAACTCTACAGGATATCACGTTAAACTTTTAAATAGTTCAAGTGCCACTTTATTATTGATTCACCCTGTATAAACATGTGTGAGTATTATTTTTGGGTTAAATTCATTGGTTGATAATTCTATCAACATCTAATTAATATTAAAATCTTATCGTGATATCTCATAAGTTGAATAACTAGTTAAATAATATAATGTTTTGTGATTTGTTGTAAATTTATGACCTACCTAGAATTTCAGGTAGGATTTTTTTAGGAACTCTTTTTGTAGATTTTAAATTGAAAATATGGAAATTAAACGAAATCGTATATTATATTATTTTTATAATCTTTCGTCGGATTGTTTTAACAATGTGTATACCTAAAAGTACGCAATTATTTCCTAAAATTGAAAACTCGTTTTCTCACTTTTATGTTATTTCACTTTAATTAAACTTATTGAAAGAAAAGCTGTAAATTTTTTGCGCGATATAACGTGTGTACAATATCAAAGTCCCTCTGCAATATTTTTTAAAGTACAATCAAAAAGATATCTAAGATTGTAGACTTTTCGATTCTTCAATTTTTTTTACCGCGTTTTATTTACTTTTTTCTTTTTTAATTTAATTTTTTTTAATTATATACATCAAACAACGAAATAGTACATTTATTAAGTACACGGTGTGTTTGTTGTCGACAATGTAACTCTCAGAAGCTCAACAACTTGTGAGTGTTCGGAAGACTTAACATCCATTCTAGATAACTACATAGCACCATAACCCTTGGAACAGTTGAAATTATTTTTATATATTGCACCATTCAGATATTCGTCACTACTATTTATTATTTTGTATAATTTTTTTTCTACTTCAGTCTTCGATACGCTATTAATGCATCTGTTCGCAAGGATTTTCAAAACGCAAATCTATATATTAATCCATTAATTTTAGCCCTACGTTAAGAAATTTTACATATTTTTACAGTTGATGTATATTCATGGCAGGTACTCAATAAGTGTCGGAACTAATAGGTAATAATAAATAATTTTGTTTGAACTTTAAAAAATTTTTAGTGACGAGTTTCGTAAAATAACATTTTTAAAACCGTTACAGCTTTTCCTTATACTCATCTTTTAAGGAACTTACTTATTTCGACTTATATCTAGTTAATTTTTTTTTCTTTCTTTAGAAATCGATATGGTGAACGAACAATTGGAATAAAACTATGCACGTGATTTGCAAATTTCGCATTTCTTGGGAATTGAAATAAACAATTTACTAAATTTATAAATACATAGTACTTTTATAAAAATTGTGATTGTATCCTGGAAAGACGAGATCTTTTCATGATTAGGTAAGTCGATTATGTTATATACTTTTAAATACGTACATCCAATAATTACACGCATTTGGACCATCATTTTTTCTATTAGGACACCTTGGTAATTTATTTCGGTGTCCTTTTTCAAAATAATTCTTCGTAAAATCTTATTAATTAGTTGCCAAAATTCAAATTAAAAGATCAACATTTACGCTAAATGTGCTTTTACTCAAGAGCTTGTCTGTTGACAACACCAAATTAATTGTGATTTAAATTATATCTAAGTACTTTTGGTAATGTAAAAAACAAAGAGTACCTAATAATGTTAGTATGTTAAGTAATAATTAAGAGTGGAAATTCCTAAGGAATGCTCTTGAAATCAGGTAGTATGTATATAGTATACATGCATTATATATAATATATATAGTAGAAAAATGCTAAGTTAAATAGAAGCTAAGACTGGTAAATAAGTATTGACAGTTATATAATATATATATCATTTGAATAATATCGTTGTTCTGTAAATGGTATTAGTCTACACAAGTTTCAATTTAGGCCTGATTAACCAATAACATCACCTATATCGCTAGGTTATCTTTTTTGTGCTGAGAATACTATTACTCACATAAAAAATGTTAAGATTGTACATTATTGACCCGTACGGCGTACGCAATTGCGCATTGCACGACATCGACGGCTACATAGCAGGCTATGTAAACCGACATTTGTCCAAGGATAATTTTAAATTGCTTTTTTACCATAATTAGAAACATACCATTTTGTTTTATCAACAGATTTGTGAATGTCTGCATTGAATCGTTTTTGAGCTTTTAGACGATACACGGAAATGTACAGAGCGGCAGGTATAGTTAGCAACGCGAGAGTATCAAGCGTACCTAGCTATATCTGTTGTACTGTAAGCAATATCAACGATTTGTGCGATAATTGTGTCGTTTCAATTGAATAGTTTAAATGAAAAATGGCACGTTTCGATTATTAAACATTTTAACCCAATCTATGGAGAACATTCAACGTGCAAACGTAGATGTATCGAGGGTGGTAATGTTTATTTTTAGTAATAAAGCATATTATGTCATTTTTACGGTTGGGTTAAAATGAGGTGTATAAAAGGTGATTTGTATTCCCTCCATAAGAGAGCCCGAGACGCGCGAGCTTTAAAGTTTGTAAAGCTCGATTCAGGCGAATCAGTAATATAATAAATTATCATTTAGCTCTCTCGATATGTCCGATTAGCTGTATTCGAGTACACACTTCTCGCTTTCTTCGTAAATCTAACCTACATAGAACATTTTTACCTTCAAATTAATTTAAGATCACAGCTTTTTCTTACAGAGAATCACACGCGGAGATACCTACTGCTCGATTTTGATAACATTTAAAATGATGACACAATAGAATTAAACAATGCAATTACATACATAGTCATAAAGTTTCGTAGATAATTATTTTATCACACTAGGAACAATTCCTGGTTCTTTTAAAGATTCCGGAATGCATATAAAATGTCAACAGTTTATACGTATATACCATATTTTTTTTATAATCTAAACCTGAACTGAAAACGAGGAAGACTCGTTTAGGTTCATACAAATACATCAGAAATCCCAAAAATTTCTTGTTAAATGTATAAAAAATTGAAAATTATACCGGGCGTTCGCGATGTCAATTCGCGTTAATGTGGATTCGTGTAATTTCGAAATTAGCCCCCCGAACGCCTTGTATATACATTAAACGTGCTTAATTTGGATGTGTGTGTATGAATCTGTTGATATTTCTTATAATCTCAACAGTAACCCGTATATTATTGCGTAATTCTAAATAACCATTTGTTTTTTTTTGTTATTTTCAAATAAATCAGGCAACGTTGGTTCATATGTATTTCTTTTTGAGTGTACGAGAGTATAATCCCCAATCGTTCATTCAATTGAAGTCGTGTACTTTTGTTCCAACATATTCGTTTTCAATTGCAAGTTAATATTTTATCGGACGGTTTAAATCTACTTAGGTATATTTATAATCTCAAAAGTGAAGTTATATTATATCATATTTAAAAAATGAGTTTTGTGCGCGAAATCCAATAGCATATCGCATGTTGGAACAAATATTCAGGTACTCAAAAAGAACATAAACGTATTACAAGATTATCATCCACTAGTGGGATATTTGCGTATATACAAATACGAAATTTAGTTTAATGATAAACGCCTTTACTATAATTTATATGGACATCATTGTTTCGATAAACACGCACGTAATGTGTATATGTACTACTATTTTTAAAGGTTTATATTACAATTTGAGAGGGCAACGAACGTTCTACTTAGTAGAATGTTTAATTCTATTGTATATTTGGTTGACGGGTAAAAATTGAAGGTGAAAGTGCTGTTGCTTATGTCATAATCTTATTAAAACGTAGAATAGCACCGCCACCTTTAGAGCTATCAAAATTTCCCTAAAAAATTGTATTTATTTTCCTATTTCTTACAATTTTTAATTTTATGTACAATTCACAATCTGCACTGTGTGTGGCGGGTGTGCGTTAGGTACGCTTGTTTCTTATACTTTTTTTTTGTTAATTTAAATCCTTCCATTAACAAGATACTAGATACATATATAAATGCCACGAATTAATTGGAATTCGAAACGATTATCGTTAATATACACTATTTCCATTTTGGCCACTGTTTGTAAAAGTCATTCGCCAATTTCCAAATTCCCATTACCACGTGGCCAATATATACATACGTATATATTTTTTTATCAAGACGCGGTATAGGACTAGAAATATCCTCAGACAATGACAAATAAAATTCATATTCCCGATGATATAATTTTAAGTAGTCAGTCTGCCTCCGAGATATAGGAATTTTTAGCTTCCAAAATATTCAATCATATCAATCCAATCGTCAAGAACGAGTAATATAATATAAAAATAAAGTGGGGAAAATGCTTTTGATTAGTTAGAGAGAAAAAGTTCTTTTGGGTTACGTCGAAAAATATTCGAGATTTTTAAATTTAAAATTCTCATGCCGCTTTTTGTGCAAAAACTCGAAAGAGTAAACGTTCGCAAACACTGCAAGACACCACAGCAAGTAAAAGGAAAAGAAAAAATTGTAAATAAGAGTAAAATCATAAATAAATTTTAATTTGTATTAAACATTAAATTAAAATAAATAGTTTTATAAATTATAACAAACGAAAAAATCATAAATTAGGTAACAACTGAAAGATAATTCTGGATAGGAGCTGTTAGACTCTGAGAAATAAATAAAAATAGAATTCCAAAATAAAAAAAAAACTAAAAACTAAAAAAAAGGAAAAAGAAAATTAAAACTCTATACGAATGAAATAAATAAATAAATTATAGTTGTGGTCTCGCCAGGCATTGTAAAAGTGAAGGCGTTTCAAGCAAAACCACTCAAAATGAAAGAAAAGCCCACAAAATTCGAGAAAAGAAAATGAAACTAAAAAACTAAACACAACACACAAAATGAGAGATAATTCTGGAATATCGAGCAGCGAGGGCGATCACCATTTTGCGTAATCGTTAGTCACGATCAGTCTGCTTAGCAATCATCTACTTAGTAAAATAACACTATCACAAGACAGTATAGGATGGCGCCCTTGCCGCCTTCGATTCCTAAACAACGCAAATTAATGAGAAACACAACGACACGTACATCATCAGCACATAATAGTTTCTATGCAGTTTCTATGCAATTTGCCGTTGTGAAGACTAGTCTGAATTTAAAACAAATACACAATAATTCTACGTACAAATACATAAATTTTCTACTTATAAATACATGAAATGAACTTAACTTTACGACATAATATAAATATTATCTGATAAACATCAATAGAATTATGAATCTTTGGTTCATATTTCTATCAAAAAATAATAATATATAGAAAACGCCTTTTCACCCGTTTTCTTTTCGGCATTTTCTTTTCCTTTATCTTCCCATCCGTTCGAGATACTTTTGCGATATTTCTCAGTCAATCGTTCAAAAAAATCCAACAAACTTATTATTCCAGGAAAACGTCCATATAAAATCAGATTCGAAAAGAAAAAGAAGAAAAAAAAATGCAAAAAACAAAACGGCAAATCGCGATGGCACAATTATTACAAATGACTAATACAAAAAACATCAGACTATATAAATGTTTGCTATAGGAAACGCGAATGCACTTCTGACTAGCTTCGTATTTTTAAGTACTATCGTAGTATTTAATATATAAAATTAGAGAGGGAGGTGCGCTTCTGGCTGGCAGGGCCACCTCCGAGTCCATTGCACGCCGTTCGCCAACCCTTCTTTCTCATTATACAATTTGCCTATCGAAGAATCCGTAGAGACCGCGAACAATAAATAGAATAGAATAGAAATAAATAAATAAATAGAAGGAAAGAGGCTACAAAACGGCGTGCACCGGACGCGGCCCGGGACCGGTGTCTTACGGTTTCGCTTCGCTCTAGGTGGTTTTGCTCTTGTTCGTTTTAAAGCTGACCTGCAGCACGCGGTTGCCAAGCGTGTACCCGTTTAGCGACTGGATGGCGACGACGGCCTCGTCGTAGTTGGTCATCGTCACGAAACCAAAACCTTTGCATTTGTTGGTCTGAAGGTCGCGGATCACCTTAACACTTTGCACAGCACCGAACGGACCGAACAGCTGCCACAGAACGTTCTCCTCGGTCTCGGGCGCCAGGTTGTACACGAATATGCACCAGCCGGAGCCGTTCATCGCGTTGCCCGGCAGCATCGAATTGGCCAGCAGGTCTCCAGCCAGCGGAGAATACCTGCAAAACGTCCATTCACCGTTACACAAGACCTCTCGCAGACCCTACCGCAAGCTTATACCCAATACACTTTATACACAAATCAAAGGAATCATGTGTGGCTCGCTGCGCGAGCTCGATACTAACCTGAATCGGCCTGTGGGGTGATGAATCGGGCCGGCGAATCGGCGCGTCGCCTGCGGCGTGAGGTAAGCTGCCAGCGGTGGAATCGACTTGTTATTATTGCTGGGATTGTTCGCGAATTTGACGGTTATGGGTTCGGAGGAGCCCTTGGGCACGGTGCCGTTCAGCTCCTGTATGGCCCTCTCGGCCTCGAGGCGTTGGTCGAACCGGATGAAGCCGACTCCCTTCGACAGGCCTGGTGGAGGGTTGGCAAAAAAAAAAGAAAATGCGCCGCATGAAAATCGCGACTCTCGCATGAGATGCGGAACGTTCAAACAAATTTTCAAACTGTAATCGGGACTGGTAATTGTTGAAAACCTGTTTTTGTTCCTTTCCGTCAAACGCAGGCCTTCAGGTTGTTGACAATTTCGATAAGAACGATAATAATGTACACCTAGTGCTGTATGATGGACGTTGTACGTTCTTTCAAAACAAATAATTTTATTTTAAATCATTCCTAAAAGCCTTTGTATGATGTTTTAAATGCAATAGATAGAAAAAGCATGCTTTGGAGCATACCTCTCCTTCCTACTGCTTAATATACTTATTATATTTTAGTGTATAAGTTGTGATTGCTCTGCTTTTTAATTAAAATAATAAAAACGAAAACGAACCAAAATAAATCTACATGCCACGACGCAAAATAATAAACCAAAAAAACAAACAAACCTCTGTGAAGCAACAAATTAACCAACAAAAATTGTGTGAAATTAATCATTGAACATGTGTTCGTCAATTGATTAGGGGGAGAGGTGCATCATATGGCCCTTTAATTTTAGTTCAATTAATTTTATTCGAAAAAAAATGCTAAATTTTGATTATATTTATGGCCGATTCGCGTTTACTCGTCAACAGAACAACCAAAGTTAGAAATATAATATAAAATTAAGTACAATATCGTAAATAAAAGAATGAAAAATCAAAAAATAACGTGGCGATTCAAACGCACCTAATTTAGAAACGTGTAATTCGTTTTATTTTCTAAATTAGATACACTTACGCACCAACGAAATTAATTAAAAACGTACAAAAGTAATAAAGGATTGGTATATAACAACTCAAAAAAAAAAAAAAATAAATAAATAAAAACCGTACGATACTGTACTTGTAAAACATAAATGGGCGACTGTCCAAAATTCCTTCAATCACTGCAAAAACGTACTCAATTACTCCTCTCTTTTAAGTCGAATACACGCTCAGTTCTCGCAATGACCAAATTTCAAATAAAACCGAACGCATCCAGAACTTGTCGTGTATCGAATTAAAAAAAAATTAAAAAAAAAAACGTAAAAGAGAAATGAGAAAAAGTACGCGCATCGACAGTGAACGAACGATTTTACAGAGAATTGCCCACAATGCAGCAGTGGGGTGGTGTATTCTGGGTGTTATGGTAGAGAGAGATTAGGTACGTACCAGGCAAATTTTCTCCGGCCCCCGAGACAAATTGACGTACTAGGAAAGAGAAGAAAAACGCAAAATATAGGTACAGTAAGATAAAAAATTTACTGGTGAAGTTAAGGGTGTTCATCGGGTTCCACGAACCCGCGATCACCTTTCTAATAATGATAAAAGCCAAATTTCAACAGTAACTCGAGTGAAATCATACCATAATCAAATGAAAGCTACAACATCTAAAAATAAAAAAAAAATAAATATTTACTGATTACAATAATCAATAAACAAATTGCTAGTATGTTTGATGTAGTTTATATGTATGTTACTGTGACTGTGGCATCATACAGCATGTCTCATTTCAAATTGTTTGCACAAAATCAAATGAATCACGCTGCATAACTATATAAGTAATAAAGCTTCTTAGGCCAAACATTTTCAAATTGGACTAAGTCTCTTTACGATCATTTTAAATATATTTCAAAATACGTTATTACGGTTAAAAGGCTTTTAGAAATAAAGGAGAGTCTGCATTCACATTTATCTCTCATTTATTACAAGCCAATTATGTTTGCATCTGATTAAGGTCCATCCCTAATTTATTTTATATACTCTACGTATCCAACGTAGTTATTATTTACAGCCAATTTAACCGTTGATCACTTGAGCACTCTTTGTACAGGAATTGATTCGAGTATTATTGATAAAAAAGAAAATCAGTCTAGTTACCTCATACCTAAAAAATTAAACGAAATACGAGCATACAGCGCAAGGAAGAGAAATTGAATAGTAAACGGTGTGTTTAAAGTAGTTAATTTAAACAAAAATGATCTATTTACTATAACAAAAGGGAGAACAACAAGAGCACAATAAGATTGAAGCGTCAGCAATTTGACCTTCTCTACTAATATTAGCAGTAAGTATACAGTCCATGATGAAATGTTTCGCAAAACGAAACCATTTATTGTTAAATAGTGACCGATTGGCTACGTTCCAATTATTAAAAATACACATTAAATCAGAAACGATTCTGTAATGAGAGATACAATGTGATCCTCTCGCTCCAACTAGACTGATTCGAGTGATCGCCAATCAGTAATCACTACACTTACCGGTGATATTATCGCACAGGATACGCGACGTTATTATCCTACCGAACGGGCTGAACAGCGTCTCTAAATCCTGCTGCGTCATATTCTTCGGCAATCCTGATACGTACAAATTCGCGCCTTTGATCGCCTCCGAGCTCGGCCTGGCGAAGGAAACCTAAAAGAAAAACCTCCATGTCAATCTGTCCTATACCTGTAAGCTGTCATTGCTCCCAGTGACGTCACTACTCAGCGAGACCTTTCATTGGGTGATAGTATGATTGAGAGCACTGCGATTGGCTTGACGTCATTGATAACAATTACAGCTTTTGCACAACTGTCAAAGTCTAAAGGGTAATGACAGCTGATGCCAACTTAGCAATTAAGTAACTATTATTTAGAATCGTCGTTACATACGGAATTTGATGATAATTCTTCGGACGTGTATCAACGGAAACAGTGATGAAATGAACGCATATCGCGGATTCGATAATGGAAATTCAACCATTCAGTAGAGCAGCTATGTATTTGAAATTAACGAACCTTGGACACGGTTCATTTCAAATCTTACTTAGGTAATTGCGTAATAACATCCTGAATTGAACAATACCTTTGATGTTAATTAAATAAACCTACGCGTGCGTACCGATTCCTCCCGAAATGCTCGCGAATGCGAGCTGCGTGTGTCGCGAGCATTTGAGGGTAGTGACCCTTTGAGTGTCGAATATGCAAACAGGGTGGGTTTTTTTTGGGTTTTTGATCGTGTGCAAAAAGCGTTTCGTGTATTCCGCGTTGAATAGAAGCGCATACAAGTAGAAAGAGCGTTGTTTCAGTGACATATCGTAGGGGGAATGGGACACATACACATACGCAGAGGGTGTGCAAATGTATAAAAACCGGTTCGATTTGTTCGTTCCGCGTTGGGGATCGTCCGGTTGTGCTTGATTTTTACAGTTTTCGCCTCGTCTCAAAGAGAAATCGGGAAATCACAATCAACAGCCGAGAGGAGGGCATATGCAATCATAAAATCAATACTTATTAATATCGAACTGTAATCGAATATGAAATATTTTGTCGGGAAATCGTATACAAGCGTCGATTTATTTAAATACATTTTTTTTCTATGTCAAGTACGACGTATTTACACGTATTCTTGAGCAAAACAAAACGTGACGATTGATTGATTGATTGAATGTCAGCGAAAAATTGCATACGATTATTATAATCCTCAAATAATAAATAAATTCTAATATTTATAAGCCGCACTACTAGCGAAATGAATAACAAAGCCAAACGAAAATGCATAATTCAAATGAGAAAAACAAATTTAAGCGACGCATAAAAGAATTTCCAACTACAAATTCACTTTATAACAAAGAAGAGAAGTAATTTTTTGTACTTTTTTTTGTTTTTTTTTTGTTAAAAATTGTTTTTACCTTTATCGTTTTATTTTGCAGCCTCAGTCCGTTCAGTGTGTTGATGGCTTTCTCGGCATCTTCCGGTCGGTGATAATTCACGAATCCATAGCCCAAGGATTGCCCTGTAAGCAATGGACTAGTCATAACCCCGGGAACTGCAGAAATAAAAATTTCCAAAAAAAGAAAACAAATGTTAATAACGAAAACCAAAAATTTACCAATGTTAATGCGTTAAATGTTCTAAATCAAAAACCGAAAGGCTAAATAAATCATAAAAAATTTCATCAAAACCGTCGGATAATTCAACTAAATGTCATAAAATATAACTAACAAAACCAAAGGAGAATAAAACAAAATGAATAAAATCTACAAAGTACATGATAGAGGTATCCCCAGCAATAAGAGCGCTTCTCGATTACTCTTTAACTGGCAATAAATAGATTGTTTCTACAATATTCAATAACTAGCCATTTAATCCTCTAGTCTAGTTAAGTAAAACGTCGAATAAAATCGATAAATCTCTTTCGGAATTTACAATCCAACTTGATCCCTGACACACGTTCGATTCCGATGATGCCATAGTAGCAGAGTAATCTCGGCAATGTATTTGATCGAAATAGTCCCGCTAAAAATAACCCCCTGTGTTTATTCGACTTTTTAGGTCAGCCTTGCCTTATGGCGACAAGTGCCCGACGATTTACAGTCAAATATTGATTTTATGATCAGAAACTTTTCAATAAACTTGGATAAGAACCAAAAAAACACGATTCTTCGTCTTCGTGCTCCTACTTATACTTTTTATTACTAAATACAGTGTACGAACTGACGAGAAATGACTCGAAATGAGGTAAATTTGTTGAAAATTTCGACGTATTTTAAAGCTACGTTAGTAGCAGGAAAAAATTCTTCAGCCCACGCGGTGAAACTTTTATTAATAAAATATTTTAGGAACTTTCCGCTCATAGCGAATTCCGAATTTCATATCTATTTTTACGGAGCACAAAATTCGATTCTCGGAAAACAAAACGGAAAAGTGGCATTTCCTGCAGCACGCCAACGATCGCTAGCTGAATATTCTCGCCACCCCAATAATCGTTCGAACTTCCCCCTGTCGCAACGGAGCTTCCATTAAATCGAAATTCGATTATTTTTAGAGTCGATGCATTCGAAAATCGAATGGAATCTCTCACGTTCGAATCGATTTTCGATCGGAATCCGGGATAGTGACGCATAACCTCCCGAGAGGCTGCGCGATTCCCTTTTGCATCGGGCCCTAATCGATAAATTCGCGTCCTTTATCGGCGCAAACTCCGCCGAGGGCATGTCGAATTGATGGGATCCGTACGAATGGCAATTGCATAATCCGGCGAAATCGTTTTATTATATTTTCGCTTGCAGTTGAGTGTAATTTCATAACAACGAACACCGATCATGCTATTAGTCTCTATACATTCTGTACTTTTACAACATACATTAGAGCGACACAGAAAAGTCCTGCTTGGTAGAAGGACTAAACGAAATATACACAGTGAATGCGAAACATATACATGTACAGTTGTGAGTTTATGGGGCTTTCAGGTTGAAAAAGAAATCTGCAAGTGCTGATGCATATAAATATATGCACTAAGAGAGAATATTTATGACATTTAGTTGAAACTTGCTATTTGCTTTTCGTACCCGCTTACACCGAAACAGAACCGTTTGTTTGTGGTTAATGAGTTCAGTTAGTAAAATACCTTGTTCTTGCATTGTTAGTAAATAGCTAAAACGTTTTATTAGTAAATCCCTGTTCATGAATCGAACAGGACCGGCTCTAGTAATGCATGCATTATTAAGAGAAGAAAAAAAAACATTCCCGGTCAAAAAGAAACAAAAGCCTATAACAAAAAAAAAATAATTATATTATTAGAAACCCCTAAGAAGAAACATAAAATAAGATAAGCATCCAAACTATTGCTATAATTCTGGTCTAAAGTCTGTGTTATTGTCAATTCATTATTCAGAGTCGGGCCCAAATCGTTAGAAAAACCGTTACAATTAATCAAAAAAAAACCTTCTTGAAATTTTGTTGTTAAATTTCATCCATCCATTGTTTTAAAATCACATTATGTGTCCTTAAGGAATATACTATTTTCGTAACATATTCCTTAAAAACATATAAAATGTTACAAAAATAGAGCGCCGAAAAAATTTATTAATATGGATGCTAATCCCAATTTTTATTCCACATAAAACATAAAATAAAAACCTGGTTCTGTCTTTAAAATTTCGAAATTTACCCAAGATTCAAAAACAGTGTAAAAGAGCTTTCAATAAAATATTCGCACTTCGTTAAAGTAAAAATAAAATAAAATAAAAAAAACTAACAATAAAAAGAAAACATAAATCTATACTAATCTACTCTATTCTATTGAACAACTCTTTTGTATTTTTATAACGCCCATGTATTGATTTTTACCTTCTGAATCCGTCATATCTGGTGAGTTTTGCCAGCTTGCTGTTCATACATGAAAATGAAACAAAATAAAATGAATTAAAGAAAATTTAACTGAAACAATGACACCGGATCAGTAGTCAACGGATTTTTTTTACATAGGTACATTTTTTTTAATCTGAGCCGGCCCTGCCATGAATAATTCGTTTGCACAAATTTTATGTCGTTTAAAGGTCGGCTTTAATCGGACAGTATTAATTAAAGTATTATTTGTATTTTAAAATAAAAAAAAACACCATGCATGATTTGGCATTCTCACACTATATCGATTTGAAAAGTTGCAATGCTATCTACAAGCTAAACATCTCTATTCGATTTATACAGAGTGTCGGAGCACTTGGTGATTTACTTGTCGAAACAAACACTCTGTATAGCAGCACGTGACCATTTCACAGCAGAATATCTTCGTATTTTCGAAAAAAGGCAAGGGGCCAGATTGTCGCAAATCGTTGACAATATTACCCCATTCGCAAGTTCCACAAAACAACAAATCAATCAAACCCTGGATGATCCAGGATCTTTAATCGTAACATTAGATCTATCCAGTAGGATAAATGATTGCGAACGGGGCGCGGAAATCGAGTGAAATGGTCAAATCGAGGACAGTTAGAAGAAGCAAAGGAATTACCTGTGACTTTGTCCCTGATGAGCTTGCAGCTCTCGACTTCGCCGATGCTGGAGAAGAGCGACCGGATCTCCTCCTGGGTCATGGTCTGAGGTAAGTAGTTGACGATTAGATTAGTCTTGGACTCTTCCTGACCGCCCCCGACGCTGTTGGCGCTGCTGCCGTTCTGCTGTCCCACGCCGGAGTCCAAGCCGTTCGACATCATGATTGCTTTGTCGTTTTTAGTCAGATTCAAATTAAACGTGGGAATTTTTGATCGGTTGAAAAACTCGCCTATACGTACGTATGTATATATTTATATAATGAACTTAGCCTGTACACTTAAATTAGTTGGTGTTCTGTTGATTATTCTTTACGTTTTTTTTATTCAAAAAATGACGTTTGTCTTGTTTTTCTTATTTTATTTTGTTTCTTTCGTCTTCCTAGGGTAGGTGTTACCCTTATGTATAATCTGGAACAATAGAGAAAACCCGATTAGTATTTTTGTAGTTTCCAATAAATAAATTATTATATTTTCTCACGTGTTTTTTATTAATATTCTTATATTCTTAATTACTCATAAGGAATTAATTTATCGTATAAATTCATTAATAATAAATCATTACTGAACTATGTATTTTGATCGAATTCAACAAAAATATATTCAATGCATTTCTAGCTCTATTTCATGATGATTACTTTTAACGATCTTTATCTCGTTTCGAACGCTACATAGGTATTTTAAAGATTCCTTACATAAGTTAATAATAATAGCCGTAATTGAATAACTAACAACGAGCTGGGGTTGGTTTATTTTTTAAGGATGCCGATATGTCGCGTTGATTTCATCCGCTTGATTGGTTTAAATCTTTTATATCCGGCCAGGAATCAATTCGAATCCAACTCGAAGTTTTCAAGTAAAGTTTAAAGGTAAATTCGCGATTTTCATGATACTTTTTTTCGCTAAATAACATCCTGTTACTCAATTTTCCGTTGCAATTTGATATCTTTTGCCTTTAGGTTGATTCACGTGTGAAGTTTATTTGAACAATGCACCAGGCTGGTGGGTTGCAAGTTGAAATAAAACAGAATAGACTTTACTTGGAAATCTTGAATAAATCCTCTACCCATCGCCATCGGGGTGATATCGTCAAATTTATACCTTTCGATATTAATGAGTTTATGTGGCAAAGGAAAGAGCGGGGCAACCGATGAATATCTATTTTAATCTTCAATATTTACATAAATCCTGGAACCTATTTATGTGCGCTGCGCTAATCTTACCGCCTTTCGATTAGTTTCACAAGGCAAATAAACGATTTTTATCGCATAGGCAATTTTATTACAACGTTCGTTTTAGTTCATTTTTTTACCTAACGTGATTAAATTGGTTAGTTCGAAACATTTCCAATCGACTAGCAGTAAATAATTAACATGACAAAGTTCTCGGCTAATAAATAAATTCCTCTATTGTAAAACCATATTAAAAATAGTTCCGTATTGTCACTCTCAGCACGTGAAAATGTTTTTAAAAAAATCGAAATTTTTGACATAATTATAGCTGTATAAACAACATTATTTTGTAAAAAAAAACGTGCAAAAATACGAAAAGTGCACTTTTCGCAATCAGATGTAGTCGAAATGAAAAATCCATATTGAAACGGTTAATAAAATTTCAAATGCAAATTGCCCTTACGTGAATCGAAAAAATGTAATCATTAAAAACCGTAATTACGTACATTCTGTATAATATCACACGCATATATTTACCTAGGCAGGTATTAATTTAATTCACGCAACATTCGTATACAGGGTGTCCCCCACGCGCGCCAACGTCTACACCAACATACAGGGCGATAATGAAAGGCCCTGCCGGGGCCGCCCTGTATACGAGCGTACGTTGAACGTCCCCTTCGGTTCATTTGCATCATAATCAAGATCGCGCACGAAACAAAAAAATTTGGAAACATATGACATCGAAACCAGGGGTGAACCGCCCCGGCCCATCCCACTGACCCTGTTCCCCGCGTTATAACTGTTATTAGTTATTAGAAAGAGAGACTGCATCTGTCTGCCTACTGTCTGGAAAACTGACGGCGAAAAAAAAACCTAACCGTGAACGAAACAAACGTGCGGCAGCGTGGGCATATCGAATTACGAATCATATACAGGGTGAGCCCGTCTGATACAAACATATCGCTTTTGTAAAAAAAATTTCCATATTACAGTAAAATTGTATGTATGTAATCAATATGTTATGCTCTGTTGGGTTGTAAGAAGAAAATTCGTTGGGGTTTTTAAATTATTTGGAGTAATAATAGGGCGATTTTTTTAAATAATACACTCTGTATGTATGTAATAAATATGTTATATTAGGAGATTACTCTGTTGTGTAATAAGAAAGTTTATTAGGATTTTCGAAATTTTTTGGGAGATTGCACATCCTGTATAGTTGCATATTGTTTGATGCGGTGCGCTTAACAAAAAACTTGATACAGGGTGTACTTGAAAAATATTAATTTTGTAAAGCTTGAAACTCGTTCAAATAAAATACTGATAAGAGATATTTTGTTGGATCGTTCTGTAGGTAGAAATTGTAAACAAAAAAAAAATACCTGGACGATCTACTTTTTAATACTTTTGAAATGAAGTAACTTCCTAGTGTACGGATGGTAACGTGAATTTAAATTTCGTTTATTTATAGAATGCTGTAGCTATTTTCGTAAAAGGCATAACAAATCCCACATTTTTAAAAGGCTCCTAAAATTCGCTTTTCGAAGAAACATCGTGGAATAGAATGAAATAAGAGGCTTTGTATTATCATTGTAAAAAACGATACGTTCATACATCTGACAATGTTAGATAAATAAAGCACACTTCCCTTCCCTCCTACGTAATGTGCGCTTATTAGAACACGGAATAATGATATGCCCTTTATTTGATAAATAATAACCGCCTAATTATAATACTGTAATGGCTCACCTAAATCCGGCGAAATAAACATGTGTAAAAGTCACGACCGCATTTGAAAAGAACTTGATAAACAAACCGAAATTCTACAATAAAACGTAAAACAAAAATAAACGAAAAGAAAAAAAAGAAAAAAAAAAGTAAAAACCAAAACTCACTCCTACCGCGTTCGGATTCGTACTGATGTATACTAATAATATAGAGAATAGTGTGCTGCAGCGTTGCCGATGCATCGAGAATTATTATTCGAAGGGGGAATTTAAACTGCACGAAATTGCCCGATCCGTTTTCCTTCCTTAGTTCCATCGCCTTCGATAGTTTATTATACCGATTTATTATTTTTATGACAATCATCAAGATGTTGATTCAATTTTATTACGATTTCCAAGTTGTTTTTATATGCTCTTAAACGCATAAATATCCAATAAAAAAGTGCGCTCGTTTTCGAGCCTATCCGGAACAACAAAATCCAAAATTCCCATCACCAGGAAATTTCCGGAGGCACTAGGAAATCCTCCGACCATCGGCAACGCCGTCATATATCGTACAGTGTGTGTACACGGATGGGTCGCGGGTCGCGGTCGGGGAATTCGAGTTGAAGCAGCTCGACAGAATCTTTCCGAGGGTTACCCAGCATAGCACACACGCCTGGCCCCACTCTTTTTCCAAAACGAACAATGACAATTTGCGCTAGTTCTGCGCTCGCCGAAAATACCACCCGAAAATTCTGCGCCCATTTCGCGACATACTTTACTAAGAAATATCCAATTTCCAAGGGAAGCTAGCTAGAAATGTTTGAATCACCCTGTTGTAACACAAAAAATATTTAAAGCTAAGAGGGTAGTTTGTTTCACCCTATTTTTGAATATACGAATTTCGAGATTTAATAGAAATTATTAAAACGAGCAACAAAAACTGGCAGGGTGTCAAGCAAAAGTTCTAATATAGCCCACGAAAATTATTAAAATCTTCGCCTTTATGCGCTCGATTTAATTAATAGTGTACAAGAGCTGTCCAATTAGCCTTTTTACGGCCCTGATGGAATAGCCGGCACGTCGAGCACGAACGCGCTGGGCAACCTCGAAGGGTTCGGGTGAACGCACTTTGAACCTGACTGAACCCCTGTCTAGAAACGCAGCTACATACAATCCACGAAAAAACGGGCAGGGGTTGTCGACATTAGATCGTTCCGTTTCCCCATGGAAGAGAGTCCTCCGCGATATCAGCTGTTCGCAACTCTCCTTGGACCCCGCGGGGGCGAGCGGCGCAATTTTATTTCAGGCGCTTTTATACAGGTGAATTTGCTTACCCCGCTTTACCCCCAACGAAATTCGCTAGTTTAACCGAAGAAATCGTAAGTTACGGAAGGACCTTTTGTGCAACTTATTCAGAAAAACCGTAAACATAGCGACTTAAAAATTACCCCTTTCGCCCGATTCCGCTCGTGCGCCCCGTTTTTTTCGACTGTATCCGGATTAGTACAGTGCGTGTCACGTTGGCTAGGGGGATTCGAACAAATGCACGTGACCAATGCTGCATTATTCTAGATTTATTCGTTTCTGCATTTTTAATAAGCAATGTTTTTCGGACAGCGATGGCTATCGGGCCGCGGTCCATATTAAGTAGGGCGCAAAAGTTTGTTGAAAATGAAAATAAAACGCCAAACGGGTTCCTTGCTGTCCCATATTCGTTTTTCAGCCGTGGAACCCGTAAAAAATTATCGGTAAACTCGTTTTGGAAGAGACAATTTCTTGTGTGTGGACAGTAAAATTCATTGTAAATGGTTAAATATTGCTTGAAAAATATTCACTGTAGATTCAAGAAATTGTGTTCTAAAATGAGTTTTCCAAAATGAAGATAATTTGTAAAAAAATCTAAAAATCTTTGTAGTTTGTTATAGGATAAAACACTCCCAAAATTATTATGTGCAGAACATTTTGCAAAATTTCATTAAGTTAAAAAAAATATCCCAATAGAATAAAGTAACAGAAAACCACAATTCAATTGCTACTCTAATTTGATAAGTAAGCATTAGGAATTTACATTTCCAATAGAACACGCCTGTAAATTTCGTAGTAGCGGATCGATATGAAAAAGCGTGAGAATGAAAATATGCACGCAATAGTCCGTACGAAAACCCAGCAAGAACCGATCAGAAACAAGAAATCACTAATTTCTACCGGAAAAAACCTCGCGAGCCGGCGGAGTTCGATAATCCGGGAATTTCGAAACGCAACCGGCGATTTTCTTCGTCGCGTTGTTTTTTTGATTGAAAAGTAGCTACGATTGCAATCGATACAAACGCAATTAGGTGGCTATATATTTTCGTAAATACACATTCGAATCGATCCCGGTGCACTTTTAATTCTATTTTCCAGGGGAATTGTTTGCCGTCATGTGCATTTTCCTTCCCGAGACGCTACAGCGTAATTTATTTGAAATAATAATTGCATAAAATTTGTATTTACAGTCGTTATTATTTAATGAATGAACGAATTTAGACGAGACTATAAACACAAATGCCGGGTCTAAAATTGAAATTAGGCAGATAATATAGTATACCGGCAATGCGTGGTGCCGCATGGAGTATAGTAGTTAGTATTCAGGAGTCATTGACTTGCTGAAAGGTATGAAAACAGTAGTATTTTATCAGAAGAAATGGCACTAAGTATAGTATAGGAGGAGTTCGGCGGTGACCAGGCGACCTCTAGTATTGATCGACTGGCAGCTCCTGATTCCTCCCTCGCTCCCTTCATATAGCGAAACCAGCTACAATGCTCGCTTATTACCGCACATGTTAATCCATCGTAGTTTTTTTACGCGAGCGTAATAATTACAATACAACCAAAATAACAATAATAGTAATTGTAAGAGTACTCACCGTTTATTTCGGATGCTAGTAGTAGATAAGAGAAATCGAAGTTTGATATCCACTAAATTTGTTTAATGGTACGATAATGAGTATTTTACAATGAGCAGAATGACGAGTATTTCAGAAACAAATATTTAAAAGGATTGCACTAATTTTTTTTTCTTTTAAAAAGACATTAAATAGAATAAATAGTAAGAATGCGATGTTATTTAAAGTTAAGCGAACCTAGATTTTACCACAAGAACGGAACCCGAATAAACTTGAAATAATCCGTATATTATTACTATTGATTGAATACAGACAATAGTAGTGGGAATTATTATTAATAATTATAAATATGCAAGGAATTATATTATTACATAACGTACACTACCAAACGTAACACAAGTGTTATTCAGAGAGTGCAATAACTAAATGGTGTTGCATGGCGTTCGGGGAAAGGGTGGTGGCCAGGGGTTGTACAGGCCGGTCGATATTGTGCGCGCGCGCTTCACACCCCGGACCGAAACCGGCGAATAATGCCGGTTCATCGCTACTTTCTTCCCTTATTTCCTTCTGCTCTTCCTCTTTGATCCTTAACCATCACCTCTACAAGATGACACCTCGGAAATGACTTAATTTCCTTCAATCTATATCGATTAATCTTCACATATGTAAGCGCAATAACACAGAAACTTGGATTCATAGGTTTATGGCTACTGGAGAGACATATTGCTTCCAATCTCTTGCAATACTCCCATAATGCTTTCCTCCACGTCTTCCTATTTTTCCTTCTGGTATCTTCCATTATATTCCTTTTATATCCCTTTCGTCTTCAACCACTTCTATTCATATTCTCTAAAAAAATCTCTACAAACCTTCTAACAAAGCCATTAATCCAATATTCTGATTAATAAACTGGTTAATAAACGTGATTTATGCGAGGCAATTCTATTAAGTGCTCCAGGACTATTCCGTTTGTAACAGGTGCAAATATTTAGGTCATTGTTATATTTTATGTCCTAATTGGAAAAAAAAGGTACCGACCAAAGCAAGCCACGGGCTGGCTTATCGATCAAACGGGGTAATTTCTAAATAAATGCCAAGAAACTGCGAACTGCCGCAGTCGGTGTCGATTCGCCAGAAGAAATGGCAACAGATAGTTTACGTGCAGTCGTGGAGTTTTGAGAGATGGGCGATTTCGGAGAAGGTGTGGGATTTTTTTTTAATTGTAACGTTTGGTGCATTGTGTCGAATGGATTTTAGATTCCGATGACAGCGATGGAGAGGGCGGCATGGGGAACGTCAGTAGAATCATAATGCGACCGCCAGGTCATAGCGGGAAGGCCAAGAAGGGCCATCTTTGCTTCGATGCATCGTTCGAAACGGGAAATTTGGGAAGGGTGGATCTGGTCAACGAATACGAATACGATTTGTTCATTCGGCCGGATACGTGCAGTCCCAAGCTTAGGTTTTGGTTCAATTTTACCGTAGATAACGTTAAATTAGATCAAGTTGGTGCTACGCGACGTTTTCTGGCAATATTTATAATGCTTATCTTTTTTGTAGAGAGTTATATTCAATATTGTAAATATAAGTAAAGAGAGGAATTTATTTATGGAAAACATGACACCTTTAGTGAAATCGACTAGCAGGCAGCAATGGTAATTCCAACATTAACACTAAAAAACAATTTATTAAAATATTTTTTTGTAGGCAGAGAATTCCAAAACAATACGTTTTCTATCACAAATCCCCCTTACATCACGGCCATTACGTGCTTAGTTTTTCCTTCGGTTTTGATAAAGAGGAGGACATTTTCCACTTTTGCTTAGCGCCTCCTTACAGCTATACTAAATTACAAACGTTTCTAAGCATTTTGGAAAAGAAATCGCTTTACCTCGAACAAAATTACAACAGGGAAATCCTCGGAAACAGTGTGGTAAAATACTCAACCACAATCGAGTCGTTGTGTATAATCCAAAGATTTTCAGCAAAAAAGACGCTTGGACCTAATAACAATCGGATCGTTGGACAGAAACGATCCAAAATCGAAGAGAAGGGTCATAGTAATAATGGCTAGGGTGCATCCAGGTGAATCGCCTTCAAGTTTCGTTTGTCAGGGTTTGTTTAATTATTCGAATGAAGCGTATCATTTACTTGGAAACTTTTAGGATTACTAGAATTGCTGGTTAGCTCGAATTCTGTGGCTACCACGCTCAGGGAACATGTGATATTCAAGGTGATTCCGATGATGAATCCGGACGGAGTATTTTTAGGGAATTATAGGAGCACCGTGCTGGGAGCGGATTTGAACAGGTCCTGGAACGTTGCTAACGAATGGTGTCATCCGACAATAAGAGCTGTGATCGACATGCTAGTGAGAATAGACAAGAATAAAGTAAGAGAATCGATATGGGAAACTTTTTCGCTGCTTCATCGGCTCGTTTCAGGAGTTCCAATTAGATTTTATAATAGATATCCACGCTAATTCTAGCCTGAAGGGATGTTTCATATACGGGAACAGTTACGAGGACGTTTACAGGTATGATACAGCTCGAAATTATTAAATAAATTTCGACTCAACCGGAGGAAATTTTAGGTACGAGAGGCACATTTTATTTCCGAAACTGCTAGCCAATAACCTCGACGACTACGTACCCGAGAACACGATGTTTAATTCAGATATAAGCAAAGTGGGAACAGCTAGAAGATATTTATGCTCTATTTTGAACGATAAAGTCAATTGCTACACATTCGAGGTCTCCATATACGGGTACACCACCAAGGGTTCAGAAATCATCTTACCGTACACAGAAGACAATTGTATCCTTCCAATAAATCAATCCAATCGCCCATTATTTCTGTTATACTATCCTTACGAAGCATCTAGATAAAAAGTGCGGCCGAAACTTAGTGAAAACATTCCTGGAGTATTACCACAGCACGGGCGCTATACCGCTCCTGATGGGCTCGGAAATAGTCCAGAAAATGCGCAAACCTCGGCTAGCAGACATCAGAAGGCGGAACAAGAGAAGGCTGCAGCGGCCTTTGACGAGCAGGACCTTGGCGGCGTTGCATTTCAAAAATTTGAACATCAGCGACTACGACTCGTCCTTCGACGAGCTGACGTTCAGCCATAGGAATCAGAAAATCACCTTCGACAGATTCGCGGACCAGTTCAATTCGAGAGGAGAGAGCCGGACGGGCGGGAAATGCCGGAATACGCCCGTCTCGGCGGCCGCTATGGCCGATCCTGAGCCTACGCTTTCTATTATAGATTTTAATTTGGTCATTAGAGACGACATTAGCGCTTGCAATCGGGCGAAACTGAAAAAATAGAAGTGTAACGGATAACATTTTAATCTTAAAAAATATTTTTATCAAAATCTAAGCTACAATTTTGTATAAAAACGAATAAACGGAAACCGATGTGAGTTTTTAATCGGGATTTTGGCATTGTGTGCAATCTTCCATGGCGTCCTGGAAATCTTCAATTTGTAGAGTCATTTCGAAGAAGTTGTATTTTTCGTGTATATTCTTGGTTGCTATCATCAAAATACTTTGGGGGTCTGTTCCAGCAGCTGCAATTCGAATAAATTTGTATAATAAATCAATAATCTTCGAGGAATCTACGTACTTATAGCAACGTGCGCCGACATAGCGATCTTATCCAAACTCAAGGCCCATATTCTCAAGTTATGGACTCTCATAACACCGTTTATGTTCAACAAAATGTTCATAACTTCTTCGAAATTAATACCTTTGGGCATCGCTTCCATTAATACCATCAAAGCGTCTTTGATAATGGCGTACGTTGTTATCAACACTAAACCGGAAAATATGAACGTGCAAATCGGATCAACAATCATTAAATTACTCTGAAAAAATACATGAAATTTACAAGAGTTAGGACTCGAATTTTTCGCTTACTTTGAAGTATATCACGATAGCTGCAACAAATACACCGAAACTTTGCAGGAAATCCCCTACAACGTGAATAAAAGCCGCTCTCACGTTGATGTTTTCCGATGCGCCTTGGCCACTCTCCACGCTCTGAGAACTGTGAGTGTGGCCGTGATGGTGCAGCGTAAGCCCCATTCTAAAACAACCCAATAAATACCTAACCCAAAAAATATTCCTCATCAGCACTCACATTATATTAACAACGACTCCTATCCCCGAGGTGATGAGCATGACTTCGGCATCGACCTCGTACGTTTCGTTGATGATCCTCTGCACGGCCATGTACACCAGGATCCCGGTGACCACCCAAATGAGCAGCACGGAGGTCAGAGCGCCGATGACTTCGGCCCTGTACCAGCCGAAGGACATCTTCTTTGTCGACGGCCTGCTGGCCATGTACAGCGAGAACAAGGAGATCATGAAGCTGGCGAAATCGGTCAAGAGATGCGCGGCGTCCGAAGCTATGGCCAAGCTGTTGGACAGGTAGCCCCCGATGATCTCCGCTATCATGAAGACGACGCATAGCACGCTGGCTATGATGAGTTTCCTTCGGGCCCTCTTGTCGATTCCAGCCGCCTGGTTTTGGTGACAGTGCTTGTTGACTGGAAATCGAGGCGAATTAATTCCGAGAAACATCGACGATTTTACGGTGCGAGGGGGTTGGTGACTTACCGACCAATTCGATCATTTTCGTACCGCACGAATATCCACTAATTTACAACTGAAATTTGTAACGAACTGACGCGATATTTATCATTTTTGTAGTAAAACGAAACAATAGGATAATAATCCAAACAAACTAATCCTGGCGTTCTTACGTTTTTATAATAACTGTGTTAGAGACGGGTGCAAAAATAAGGTTTTTTAGAGTAAGTACACGGCATTTGTTCAATATAATGACGCATTTTTGGGCATATACATACTAAGCTCTGTTGTATCGGCATTTGCCTTTGGGTTAATAGCGGAATCTCCCTCAAGTTCCAACACCTCTCCTTCTAACACGGTGCAACATCCTGCGCTAGGTTTCCCGTGTACGCAATAAACAATTCCCCTTAAACTAGATACGCTGTTTTCCCTATGGCGAGTGATGGATCCGTAATTGTTATTTGTTTGGCTAAAATCGACGAAACGTTAATTTAATAACAATCGAGGACTAACTGGAGTATACTTACATTAAAGAGTTTTGTTCTGGACCATTCTGCATGGTAACTTCTACGCACTGAATGAGCACAGCACTAGAAAACAACGTCCATTGGCCCTTTTATCTTCGATTCAAGATCGAGGAGATTCGTAATCTTTCGATAAGTCAATAATCTATTTACACATTAACCAATAGTAGTCGGAACAAGGGGTTTTAGATTGACAGTACGTATAGCATATCATCCATATCAACATGAGCAGGCCGATGAAAGATCGAATTTTATCAAAAACAGTGGGTCAATTAAATTGTCGATTTAAATATAAGCGATAACGGAACTATTTAAATCGTTCCAGCGCCAGAGCCGGTTCTTAAAATCAGCGAATTTAAAACCTGATATTGAAATTTGTTGAATAAAAAGCGTAGTTCGAAGCAAAGTCGAAATATTTCCTTTAAATTAATTATGCGTGCGTTAGCAATAAATTTCTGATGATAAAATGATTTTTTCGTAATGTAAGTAGGTATTTCATAAGCGAATGTATAATGATAATAAACACGCATTTTTAGATTACTCGTTTAATTCAAATAAATAGCAACCCGGTTCTGATAGCGATGAGATAAAAGTTTTATTAACTTATGTACCCATCAGTTATAACGCTCATTCCATGTAAAGCAGTAACCTAGGGACATTTATCAGTTCATTCGATAAACAAAAACAAAAGATCAAAGTTTAAAATAATTTTACTTAATTATTTTAATATAATAATATTTGTATTCCGCAGAAATGCTCCCCAGATTTAATTATCGCTAAATTTCATTTATGCTCATTATAAAAAGGTGAAGTCATTAGAAATTGAATTTATTTTATATTTGTGTTTATTTATTCTAGTTTAATTATTCAATTATCAATGAATCAAGTGTGTTAAACATCACGTACTATGTTACAGTTTTACTCGTCTTATCATAAGTCAAATATTTGTGTAAGTATTTGTATTATTTGTAACAATACCAAATTTTATCTGGTCGAGGTAGTGTTTCGGCGAGGGCCACAATCATATGAAAAAAGAAGTATATCAAAAGTCAACGTCAATTGTCAAACTCATTCTGTCACTTTTGTTTTGTCAGTTCAATTCACATTCACACACTTTACAAAAGATATGAGAAAAGGGGGATTTAAACAATAGGAAATTTCAATATTTTTCTCAAACCATTAAAATGAATCATTATCCTGTGCAGTGACTATTAAAAGCAGTTTGTACGGATGCGTTTTAAAGAAACATGGTTGTGAAATGGCTTCGTTCGCGTTAGTTCAGCATTAGTAAAAAAATATTAGGAAGCTCGCAAAATTCATGACATGGGAATTTGCTCAAGAAGATACTTTTTCCTATCGATATGCTTACTGCAGATGGTAAGAGCTTCGAATCTCGAGGAATCCACAGGTTTTATTGTTTGATGTTGTTTCAGATAACAGTAGTCGAAAGACAGGTGTTTGACTTCTTGGGTTTCCTGTGGATTCCAATATTAGTCAATTTCTTCGAAATCATATTCATCATTTTCGGCTTTTTCGGCGCTTATCAGTATCGTCCAAAGTATGTAATAGCGGTAAGATGAAAAAAAATTTAAATAATAAAAAACAGCCTAAAAAAACTATTTTTAGTATTTGTTATGGCACATTTTTTGGATGGGTTGGAACGTGTTCATGATTTGCCTTTATCTTAATTTAGCTGGATTGGATCATGAGGTAATTACTTGTAAAAAATTCTGTTAAACAATTAAGTAATGATTCATCATTAATTTAATCGTAAATGCATTTTAGAAAAACAAAGTGCTCAAATTGGACTTGAACAGCGACAGTTGGTGGAAAAAGCAAGGACCAGGTTGTAAAATCAAGGATGTCGATGCGATTCCTGTGGAATTCGAAGGATGTTTGATAAATTATGTTCACGTGGAGATTGTCCAGGCTGGCATACAATGCTTTTTGGCTGTGAGTTTTACATTCGAATATCCCTCGATATTTATTTCTAATTTCCATATATTTTTAGTTATTTAATAGTATTATTGGCATCTGTCTAAGTCGTACGTTTTTAGAAGAAGATGATACATGTAAGTGCGATCACAATGAATTCTTTTACTGTAGACCAGAACTAACAAAAGTATCGATTTGATTGAAAGATAGAGTAGACAACTGTAAATTTCAATCAATTTGAGTTTAAAGGAGTCAGGTTTTCACATTTCTTTAACATTCTTTATAAGCAAATTTCTTTAATTTGCTTATTAAATTATTTTTAAATTGGTAAGGGAAAAAGGCTGATTCTTTTAGATTATAACTAAAATAAAAGTATGCTTGCAGTCGATTTCATTGGTGGATTTGATCCTCAAACTATTTGGTAAGTGGTGAATGGGAATGCACATTTAGACATTGATGGTTGAATGTTATTAGTAATTTGTTTTATAAATGCTATTTCTTCAATACTTTAGGCAGTATTTTGTATAACAGAAATGTTTATGCATCGTTTTTTCTCATATTCTTGATTTTTAGTTAAACGAATCGACTACCAAAGCAATAATCTCCAATACGCAGTTTGTCCACATTTAGATTGGTATTTTCTAAGCTTGGACACACTGTATATTCGACATTTCCGATTCGTGTGGTAAACACTATCGCTTTTTATATTTTCAGTTAATTATGAGAAGCCAAATGCACCTGATAGTATACTATTACACCCAACGTATGTGACCAGTGATAGCATGCACAGTTCTAACAAATTTCTGCACACTTCTAATATCTATCACTTTCCTAACCAAGATAAGCATAAAAAAACTCGTCGTTTGGGTACCGATAAAATTCGCGATCCGAAACGGAGGAGTAATTCATTTAATAACCTGTCAGTGGGATCGAGGAAAGGCCCCAAGCGGCCGATTTCCTTGTGTTCCGACGCTTATATTGATATATCTTAATGTTACAAATTATCCTGTTTGTAAATGTAGTTAAATCTAGTCACTGTATGTTAATTTTTTTATGCTAAATATCCAGCTTTATTACGCATGAATTACTTTATACTTTATTGCATGTGCCATGTATCTGTATGACTAATAATAATTAAAGTTATATTATATATTTACCGAGTCTCTTAACTACAATACACCCTCTTGAATAATCTGGTGGTTTCTAACAGCGTCATGTAAATCAGCTAGTAGCAAGACCAAGAGCAAGCCCGCCAAGCACCGGCTCTCTTTGTATTCCATCGAATTCAGCTCGCAACACGATAACCGCCAGGCAGACAGCGACAACGAATTTGACCAAGTTCCCACCCCGGTGTCACCGAAACCCATGACGCCCCGGCGAGTGAAAAGGCGCAGCGTCATGACGAGAGGCTCCTCGGGCCGGCACAGCACCAGCAGCCACAGGTCCCACGCCAGATCGTCCACCAGATCCAGGAAAATGGCCCAAAACCCGGTGACCAGGCTGCTGGAGCAGCAGCAGAAGAAGGCCTACGACGCTCCATCGATGGAATCGCCGTTGTCGAACTACTACAACGCGCCGAACCCCAACCAGAATTGGGGACACGCCAATCCGAACTACCAGCAGTCGTCCCAGCACAGCCTGAACGAGACCGAGGAGCTGGAGGAGTTGTACAACAACCGGCCGGCTTCGGTGGGATCGAGCTACTCTAATTTCCACGGTGCCAGGACTATTAGTTACTCGCCTCCCAAGCACTATCACGGGCACGCGACCCCGCAGGTGCCCCAGAAAAGGGGCCATCCTCACAGGAACAGCATGAGGTCCATGGCGTTTCTGAATAGCGGCCCTCCCGCTTACACTTCCCATGGTCAGTTGCCTTTAGATTCTGAAACTCCGATGTAACCAAGTTATTTATTTATATTAGGATTGTTCTAGTATTTAATTATAAACTGCATATCGCCGGAAATAGTAGTAAATATAAGGAACGGATGGTTTAGCAAGTATTTGAAATTCGTTATTAGTTGGTGTGGTCTTTCTTTATATTTAATGCTTTTTCTGTTATCGTAACGGAAAGAATAATATTGAATAGTTTGTAAGAAAAATACTGAGAAAAAATACCTATAAGTAAGTATAGTCAATTTTTTGATATAAATGATGACCTTCATCAAGTCTTATATTATTACAATTTGCTTGAATAACGAATAAACTCGCTTTAGATATAAGTTCCTGTAATGTGATATAATTTTAGATGCTTCATCTCATTCCATGAGCCAAAATTATCTCCTGTGAGTTTGGAAACATTTCATTCATATCGTATTTAACAAAAAAAAAAGACTGCTTCATGCTCAATGGTTATTAGCAACAAAAAAACGAATCTACAAGTAACTATTTTGATAATTATGTATGTATGTATTAGTTTTATGTAATTGAAATCAAAATGAAAGTGCAATTTTTAATTGATTTTTGCAATACAAATGTTTCCCTTGCCATCATTTTATTGTACAAATTTACACGTTTGTTTTTATACATTTCATATTTCAACATATCGACTTAAGCCAATTTTGATCCCAACTAATAAAGATATATTTATCTTATTAGTATTTATTTAGGATTTAAATTTGTATGACATATACCTATAGAAATAGAAGCAATTTGTAATTTTTTATTTCTATGTTGGTTGGGAACACAACAACATAAGAATTTTAGAAAAATGAAATATTTTAATACCGATTGCTCGTATTTATGATACGCGAGCACAGCGAATTTTTCTAAAATTACTGTGTTTTTAGATCGTAAATATTTTTACCAAAGCGTACGGAAACCGTATTTTATTATGTAGTTTTTTACACAATAAATTTTTTTAAGTATTTCAATTATTTTTCATGAAACTTTTCGGGGTGTTCCTTGCCGGAAGCCATCTACCCAATTTTGAACTAACTGTTCTATTGATCTCTGCGGGTGTTGCACGTATAACGTTACAATCTAATCGAAAATTGGTCAATTTATTTACAGTGAGTAAACAAGTTTATGTAATAATAATAAAACAAGCAATTTAAAGCCGTAACGAGTTTGTACGTTTCTTACTCTCGTTATTTGATATATAATTTCACGAAAATCAATAGGTATATTACATTCACAATGGCGCGCTTCAATACCCACTAAAGGTTTGTAAAATTTTCATATTTCAACAATTTTTTTATATAAATATATACTATAAGAGATTATAAATTTTCGAAAACGTTCTTCTCTAATAAGTTGACCCAATATAAATTTCTGGTAGGTATGTATAGGAGTATAAAATTAAATTATTATGCAAATGGCAACAACAATTTTATTAACAGTTGTTGGAATAATCTGTTCATTCAATTTTGTTTATTTACCGGTAGATCCACCCGCACGAGCCGCCGCTGCCCCGCCCGACTGGAAACGTGGGGGTAGGGCGTCGTTGCGACCCCAAACAGGTCGCTCGCGCTCACGGAGTCGCGGCGTGGCTCTATAAGTACCGGAGCAGGGAAGGGCGGCTTCCCTGTCCCTGTTAGCGTCGACACAGTCCCCTGACAGTGCCCCAGCTATGGTCCGGGTGGCGCGAACGGCTCACCCCCTGCTGCTGGTCGCCGTGTTCGCGGTCGTGTGTGCGGCCATACCGCACTCCGTCATGGCCATAGACCTCAGCAGGCTCTACGGCCATGTCTCCAAGAGAGGTGAGTCTGTGATTTCGGGATTTTTTTTATTCCTCCTGCAACTTGTTGGAGGCGACACATCAACAGTTATCGATCGATAGACTGTTGTTTTTTTTTGGAATTTTTGTTTTTGCTTTTAGCTCGGTTTTTTAGCTATTTTTAGAACTTGTGGGTAGTTCGATATGGACATGTCATAGATGTTTAGTAATTGGCACGCTATACGCCTTTAATAGCTCTAAATTAGAGCGCTTTTGAGGCCACTTTAATTATCTATTGCCTATGTATTTTTCTAATCTATCAATCAAACATAACGTAATTGAGCAATTTGTCTGGAATAAACAAATATATTCGAACTACTGCGGTTACCTTAACTACGAAGTGCCGGGTATAGGTTACCCTAACTAGATCTACAAATTAGGGAATTTAGGGTGGGTTTGGGTTAATTAACTCCAAACTTCTCAAAATCTGCCAATAAATACTTTTTGCTGTAACGATCTATTTTTGCTCTATTATTCTAACTTAATTCAGCAGCTAAAGTAACATTTGATATGGTACCTTCACTACTTTAAAATACATAAATTATACTAACTAAATAAACCGGTTCAATTTAATCAAAATTAAATTCTCAAAAATTAACAAACGCAACGAAAATTTCTGTTAGTCTACTCGACGAATAGAAAACGGCTTTTCATAGGCAAACATCCGTTCACGCGAACTTCATTCCGGAGCCCATTCCGCCCGGAGTTATTTACTTTCCCGTTGGCTGCCTCCCGAACTCCCACGTACTCCCAATACCTCTGCGCGGTGAATTTTTAGATAAACTCCGGAGTCCGGAGCGGTGGAACGCACAAAGAGTAATTGGACGAGCACGGTCAGGGACGGGGGATAATGACGTTAAATGAAAATATACGCGTTTTTTCTTCAACGCTGTCGCCGTTGTGTGTTTTTTTTAATCAATTTGTTTAGTACGGACGCGATCGATACGAATTGCGGTACAGAGTCGCCGGAAATAGAGTATTCAGTATAGTATAGAGATGCTAACAACAATTATCGCTGATCGATAGATAATGTACATTCATTTTTATTCTACGTAATGAAGCATTAGCGTGCCTTCGCATTATAAAAGCATTATTTACAATCGGACAAGTTTTCCAAATCTACCGTTAAATCTCGTTGCGTGACAGGCGAAAAATTAATTCCTTACAAAGGAAGGAATGTTTATCACAAGCACTTAATACTCTATTCTATAGTTAAATACCCCTAATTGTTGTCTTTTAATTGAGGAGGTTCATAAAAATATCTTATGCGCAGGTGATGCTTGCCATCCCTACGAGCCATTCAAATGTCCCGGAGACGGGAATTGCATTTCCATTCAATATCTGTGCGACGGAGCACCGGACTGCCCGGACGGCTACGACGAAGACTCCCGCCTGTGCACGGCGGCCAAAAGACCTCCTGTAGAGGAAACGGGTAGTTTCCTTAAATCGCTGTTAGCCAGCCACGGGCCGAACTATCTGGAAAAATTGTTCGGCAGCAAAGCCCGCGACGCCCTGAAGCCGCTCGGAGGCGTCGATAAGGTAGCCATAGCTCTGTCAGGTAAGGAGGATCACCGGGTGATATACAGGATGACACAAGGGAAATGGGTTTTGTTACAGAGTCCCAGACGATCGAGGACTTCGGGGCGGCACTGCATCTGATGAGATCGGACCTGGAGCATCTGCGTTCGGTGTTCATAGCCGTCGAGAACGGCGACTTGGGCATGCTGAAGTCGCTGGGCATCAAGGATTCCGAGCTGGGCGACGTGAAATTTTTCCTAGAAAAACTGGTGAACACAGGATTTTTAGACTGAACTCTACCCGACCCTGCTGCTATCTTCTTCGCCCATCCCCAGCCACATCGACCTTTGAGTAAAAATTTCTATTCCTACCTTCCTTACTGAGTCTATCTGTCTGTTTAGGTGCATTTTTCGGCAGCAGAGTCCGTTGTGATCCGTCCCCTTTCCGCTATCCCAAAATTCAGAACGTAACTTTTCGAGGCCAGTGATTGATTTGCAAGTATTTCGTTGACGTTTCAATGAGATATTGCCATAAAAATTAGGTGGACGGGACGTTTGAATTGGTGAAATATTCGAACAACAAATGTGACGGAAGGTACGGTATTTGAAAAAAATATAAAAAAAAAACGTTTAACGGATATAATATTCACCGTTTATGTAAAACATTTCTCATTAGGTATCTATTATTTTTCATTCTTATTGTATTCTACTCTTAATTGTTCAATTTAACACAGTATTCGGAGTAGTTAATAAGACATTTATTATGAATGTGTCGGTATATAATTAATTGTAAATTATTGAAGTAAAAGCTGTGATAATTATAGTAACATATGTAATTCGTGTCAAATCTATTGCATTAGAGATAGATAAAATATGAATAGATTTGGCTATAATAGTTACTTTTTTTCTTTGTATTTCGTGGAAACAGCAAAATTTTCGAAATGTTTTACATATACTAGAACGAATATTATAAATTGCTGTAAATTTGATTCATATATTCTGAAATTAGTATTACTTGTCGATTCGTCACTGATCCGATAGTCCTGTTTGCTGTCTCGAGGGCTGTCTAAATAACTACGATATTTAAGGCCAATTTTACAGACTTATGAATAAATACATATCGAAGCACCAAAATTTTTCGAACAAACAGCACATACATATCATAATTACTAAGTGTGATTACATTTAAAAGTTTAAGAACACAGATTCATATAATTATATAGTTTTTATTAATGTTATTTAGAATCTGAATGTTTTTCTGTCAAAATTATTTAGTGTTTACGAATGAGATACGATTTCACGACAATTATATGATGGCACTATAGTAGATATAACATTGAATTTTCGTAATTACGTAGGTGATAAGTAAGAATACCGGCTGGCCGGTTTAACGATTTTTGTATCAAAATCCTGCCATATTTGCGTTACTAAAACTTTGAAGCCGACCGAAAGCTGTGTTGCGATTGGTGCAGGACAACAGAGCATTCGCCTGGCTGCATTTCGAGTACGAAAATACACAAAAAAAAATATTAAAACACCAAATGGATAGACGGATTTTGATTGTTTTTCTTTTCTCATTCAGCGGTTTATTCGACGCAAGGTTGTCGGTTGTGCGCCTTAAGGGCCTAACGCGCATGCATTCTGCAATCTTGCAGATACCGCAGGACCGATCTTGTGATTTTTGTACATATCTTTAAAATAAAATAAAAAAAATATAAGAAAAGAAATATTGAGGAAAACGGTGCCGGCGACGCAACTCTTGATGATAACGACCTGACATATTTAACCATCCAAGCAACTCGAGTGCGAAAAACGCCACCTCTTTCACACCCTACATATACCAAACACAATCACATCCGCAACAAGCGAATAACATAGTCAATATAAGTTAAACATAGTCAAGATATATAGAGATAAAAATTTTACAAAATATATTTTTTCGAGGAGTAGGAAATGTTTGTGTCTTGGAGCGCGATGATACGATCTTAGTTTTTTCAATGTTGTTTGTACTTACCTCCCGTATTAAAAAAATATTTTAAATAAAGGCTGGTCTATTAATTATTATATAAATAATAGAATACATATCAAATATTTTTATCGTTATGCATTATGTAATTTATTTATTGTGAAGTGGAATTTCTAACTTAATAAATATATTATCAACACCAACTTTTATTTACCCTGTAAATAATACGAAAAAAAATCGTTTTTAATCGTTATCTAATTGACATTCTTTATTGTAATCTAATGGTAAAAAGTTTTTGTATGATTCTTTAAAGTGTTCTATATTACAAGGTGTCGAGCATTTAGATGACATTATTTCTGATACACCGTCCCAAGCATTCCTATAATTTATCTACAAAAAATGTTATAAAATAACTTATTGATAAACTTTCATAATACTTACTTTAATCTCCCCGTCTGAATAAAGTTCGAATATCAAAGCAGCTCCGAAATCGGGCTTTAAAACATCTATCAGTTCCAGGCTTCTTAAAATATGAACTAAGGTCAGGTCATGGGCCGAATATAAAAATAACTTGGATAAATTGTTATCCATTAATCCCAGCATGTTTTTTAAAAACATTCCTCCTTTTATCCGTTTCATGTAGTCTGTTTCGGAATAAAACGCCAGATTTCTCGCGCCTAATTCCTTCATTGTTTGCATTAAGGATTCATTAGTCCACGATGGCAACGAAAAATTGTGCAATTTTTCAATTTCCAGCGTATTCGATATCGATTCGATGTCTTCGATATTTTTCACTTTCATACCGGTATGATTTGCCAAATATTCCTTCAGATCTTTGTATTTATTTTCTATTTCTAAAATTGCCGGAGACGAACGCTCCTCCTTGAATATTTTATCATACTTCGGGCAAGCGGATTTCATAACGATGTGCTGGAATAATTCTAAATGAAATCACACGACAGTGAAGTATATGAGACATTACCTTGTCTCCACTTCTCGGCGTGTAATAAACCGGCAGTGGTTGCCATAATAAATCTTCATTCCAAATTTGCGGACCTACCGGAGGGAAAAGACCAGCGCCAAACAATTCAGCGCTGGCCAAACATCTGTCTGAATAACTGCTGCTCACATTCACGTCTTTGTGCCAATAGGTCTTTGGTATAAAATTGCTGTATTCGTTCCTTATGCGCTGTCCTAATTGAAATATTTGCAATTTGCCTCTCTAAAAATACGCACCAATAATCATCTCCGATATTAAATATCTGAAAATGTAATACGCACGTTCGTTAATTGACCCCAACCGTTAGGCCAGCTGTAATTTATATAAGGGTCATTTGGAAACGTGCTTGTAGGGGCCCTTTCGCCGTGCCTAAAAACCTGTTAAATATGCACCTACTTTTAGTTTATTTAACGGTACTACACGCATACTTACGACATGAAGCTGCGCCAACGAAGCGGAGAAAGCGCTTCGTGTTAACAATGAAAGTAAAACACACGACACAATAAATTTCATACTTATTTTATTTACAGAACGTTTATTTATCCTCGCAGAGATTCGACTATTCAAACATTAGAGCGCTATAACGTAAGGACTGCAAATAACTGCGTATTGCAGTGTATTTTGCTTTCGAGAATTTAAACATCAGTAGCGTAGTTTATGAACACATTTATATACACAAATGCTGTTCATTTCAGCTATTGTAGCCATTGCTCATTGCAGCCAGATAATTTCTAAATAAAATATTCACGAGAAAATTAATAATTAATTGCAAAAAGTAAACTCATATTAGGATTGTGAGTAAGAGAAATTTGAAAAAGAGTAGTTCAAACTTGAAGAACTAGTTTAATTGGAGGGTAACAAAAAATATTACTTAAAATTGTTCAAATGAATGTCATCAATTATTTTTTGCTAGTTTCCGATTACCCTCTGTATACCTAGTTATCGTCCTCTTAAGGTGAAGGCCTCGATAAAAAAGCGAAAGAAGAAATCCAACGATTAAATAAAGAAGATTCAAAGCCTCCTTTCTTTTTTACAATTTGCACTAGCCGAGAAGGAGCTGTTCCAGCTGTTCGGGATTTTGGATCAAATTCAGTGCACATAACATTACAAAAGGTATGTTTCTCTAAAAACGTTGCAATTTCTATTAGTCTCGACAAGGGTAATAGCTGTTTTTCGACCGAAACAAAAACATAACCCCAAAATGTGCATGCCAACTAGATAGAGATAATTTAATCCAGCTTATTCCAGAACAGATGGCAACCCAGGACGTTAACAGCATTTGGTTGACTAGGAAATTCTACGAAGATGCCGAAATTACCTATTACGAAAATCTAGCTAAAGTAAGTGTTCGATTGACTACCATAAAAAAATCTCTCACTATTATACATCATTTCGAACATTAACTGTGAACTGTGGTTAACTTTGAACGAACCGATAGCGCGGTTAATACATTGTAATTACACAAATATACCGTAATAAGTAGCGAAAGGATATTATATAGCATAATTTTTCTTGATGTAGGCAGCTCTAACTCCCTTGGCTGGTGAAGTAGCAAAAGCTCGTCAACGTTTAATCGAAAGTAGGGACACTTTTACAGTGAGTAAAATTACCCTACAGTTATCGTGTTCTTGCATCTTATCGTCAAAGAAGGTTGTAACTACAGTTACATCTTTTTCGGCTAATATAATTGGTTTCGTCTTTAACCCAGCACCTGATTCGATGCAATGTATATAATGAACGGAATACCTGCGATTGCACAGGCCACTTATCAGCTGCCGGGTTAAATCAAATCACAAAAGTAGATTAGAAAAATGCATGCAATATTTTCTCCTATCATTTCGACCAAATTAGCTAGTTGTAATGAGGTGGCTGCTGTAGTTACTCCTTCGATAATTACATTTACTCATTATTAATATCTATTCCAGTCCAGTGTGGAATCTGTTGATACCGGGGCGATTAAGTTCATCGAAAAGAAAGTAATGGAATTCGATAAATGTAAGTATAACAAGCGAAAAACGAAACATATCTGTTATTACTGCTCGGTTTTCCAGCAATCAACGCCATTTTGAAGCAACTGAATGCGCTCGAGAGCCGCGTGGCCTCGTTGGAAAAGTCCGGCAGCCAGCCGGCGCCAGCCAAAGCACCGGAGCCGAAGAAAGTCGAAGACGACGATGACGTGGACTTGTTCGGCTCGGATTCCGACGAGGAGAGCGAAGCCGCAGCGAAAATCAAAGAGGAAAGACTTAAAGCTTACCAAGCCAAGAAATCCAAAAGTAAATTAATCTTATACATATTAAGCGAATACTCATTTCTAACGGTTTTTTAGAGCCTGCTTTGATAGCGAAGTCTAACGTGATATTGGATGTGAAGCCGTGGGATGATGAGACCGACATGAAAGTCATGGAGCAGAATGTTAGGAAAATCGAAGCCGATGGATTGTTGTGGGGCGCATCTAAACTCGTGCCCCTGGCCTACGGTATACATAAATTGCAAATCTCCTGCGTTGTTGAAGACGATAAAATTTCCATCGATTGGCTAACGGAAAAACTAGAAGAGCTCGATGATTACGTAAGATATTTCATTAAATAGTCGTTGAGAGAGGAGCCATTTTCACCTGTGTATGAACTAATAGTCTTTATCGCTAAAAGTTTTATTCGAAAAAGACACAGTGAATTCTCCTCGAATTTTTCAATAGATTTTCTGCTAATGGCTTTTGTTTTTTAGGTACAAAGTGTAGATATTGCTGCATTCAACAAAATATAAAATACCGAGCGTCTAACAGAATACCATTGTACTCTTTTTTTTGTAATTAATTTATTATGATATAAATTAATTTTTACCACCATCGTCTATTTCTTAGCTCAGAATCATTGAGATGAAAACTTCTATTTAACATAACAAAATGGCGTACTTCTCATGTTATTCGCATATATGCCATTAATTTTACCAGATGTATTAAAATAGAGAAATATTTAACAGTTCACTGACCTTAGTTAAAAAACTACAGCTTTCGTGATTTAAGGCATCCTGCGCATCCAGGAAATCCTGAAAAAATTTGCGCTTATTAGAATTAATAAATTTTGCTTCATTTACAACTTACCAGTTTAAAAATATTTCTACAGCAACTGTATAGTTGACCGGATATTGCACAAATCAATCGAAACACAATTAACTAAGCTCACTACAAAAATCGCGAAATTATTAAAAGAATTTAAACTGTGACAGTTACACAAAAACCACTAAAAGGACCACGAATCACGAATGTCCTTGTAATAAGTAAATCTTCAGTATCTGAACACTCTCTAAGGCAAAGACAATTAAAAAAGCAGACCTGTGTAAACCTGGCTTTATAGAACGTCAACCATCAAATAAAGAAATAAAAGAAACAAACTGTCAAAATTTGCCGTGAGGTGAGGTTATACGCAATAAATTATAACAATTTAACTAGTAACGAGGGGTTCTCTTAGAATTGTCGAATAATGTTTGCTATCAGAAAATTAAGACCTGCTGGTGCTATTCAGTGAGTATACGAACTAATCAAATCGATTAGAAGGATCGCTCGATTTTCCCCTATAATCGTCTTTTTAATTACGTAATTTTTTGACTTATTTTTTAGGCATCTTCGTTGTATGTCACAATTAGGAGACCTAGGAAGTGGCGCTGGTAAAGGGGGCGGCGGCGGCGGCTCCATTAGAGAAGCCGGCGGTGCGTTTGGAAAACAAGAGGCCGCCAGAGAGGAAGAATATTTCCACCGCAAGGTAATCTCTCAGTCTGGATACACATAATTATCTATCGGTAGCGATTCGTAAAGGAATTCCGGGTAAAATTGCTTCGATTCTTTCCAGCAACAAGAGCAGCTGCAGAAGCTGAAGTCCGACTTGAAAGATGAAATAAGTTTCCACGAAGAGCAGATTAAAAGACACCAGGAGGCTATTTCTCGTCACAAAGCTAGAGTTAGTGATTTAGATACGAAGGAGTAATTCACTTGATTGCCGCTTATTAGTTTCACTATTGCAAAATCAATGCTGTTAATTATATCCCATATGTATTAAGATATAGTGTTCGAAATGTATGTACTTTGATTTAATTAAAACTAAACAGTAAAATGGTTTGTATTATTCATGTAAACATGGGATAACACTTTGAACAAATAATATGAAGTGAAGCAACATTCAATGCTATTAAAATCAATTGAATATTAAATTGTTTTAAAAATAAAATTACTAAAAAGTATTTTTTTGTGGTATTAAATATGGGTTCTTGTGTAATTAAATACCAATTATTTTTGCAATACCTAATTACAAAATATTGTCAGTTCTTATACAAGTTTGTTGAAAAATCTTAGCAAATAAGTTTATCTTCGCGGTTATATCGCTGCGATAAGATATAAAAAAGTAACAAAAAAAATACTTCGTATTCCCAGCATTTCAGAATTATTCGTCATGTAAAAATTTTGATAAATATTTTTCAAAAAAAAGTTTCGAATTCTAGGGAATTTGGTAAAAACACATTTTGTTTTGGCATTACTACTGGGTGACAGAGGTCATAGGCAGCGTTGTCAGGTATATAAAAAACTCACTAAATTCAGTTGTTTCTTAATTAACCTAAAACATTATTATTGAGTGAGTTATTTTTGTATTTTAACATAAACGTATGTAGAACAAAGCTACTAGTCAATAAATACTTAATAAATACCTACATACTATTGACTGTTCTATGTGAATACGAATTAATCGAGTCATCTAGAAACATTTAAAACGTTGACGTGGCAACGCCGGTCGCCGGTCAAACAAGTTCAATGTTCACCTCTATCCGCTATCCGGCCAACCAAAATAATAAATACCTAATCGAATAGATTCCGAGCCGTTTTAGACCGAAAAACGGTGAAAAACTACGGGTAACCTTGAATTTTCGATTCATTCGCCTGCTTTAAATATTTATGATTACCCATTACATTGCTACTTTACTCGATTTCCATTAAAAACATCTCTCATCCATTCCATTGGCATTCGTTGTCGAAGTTGTGCGAAATATTCCATCGATAATGGTGCAGGTAAGTCGAAAGTTCATCGTCTTTACGAAATATCCATTTAACAACCGCTTTATTTATAACTTACAACGAATCTCCCTTAAATTTCCAGGTAGAAGTGTACAGTGTAAAAAACAAGAAACTAGGAGAAATTACAGCTAGTAATGGAACGAAAGTAGGAGAAATTAAAAGACTAATAGCGAAGGTATCTAGAATTTCAATCGAACGCCAATCTATTCGATCCGACTCCAAAGGAAAGGACATTAACGATGACCAGACCGTACCCCATCTCGAGTCCATTAGGAAGGTGTTCGTCAAGGATTTAGGCCCGCAAATCGGTTGGAATACCGTCTTTCTACTCGAATACGCCGGGCCCCTATTCCTATATGCTGCAGTCGCCACTAGACCGTGGATTTTCTACGGCAATGCGACCGAACCGGCCATGACCACGACGGCTAAGTACGCCATCCAGCCACCTTTATCCCGAGCAATTCCTAACATTCTCGTTTTAGAATCGCCCTGGGCTGTTGGAGCTTCCATTACTTGAAGAGAATATTGGAAACGTTGTTCGTGCACCGCTTTTCGCACGGCACCATGCCGTTTAGGAACCTCTTCAAAAATTGCAGTTATTATTGGGGTTTCACCCTCTACGTAGCTTATCACGTAAACCACCCGCTGTTCACGCCCCCGCCGTTTTTGTTCCAGCTGGTCGGTTTGGGGTTGTTTGCGGTGAGTTTGAGAAACAAACAGTGCGAATTGTTCGATCACACTGGTGATGTTTCAGATTTGCGAGGGAGGGAACCTGGCTTGTCACGTTTTGCTGAGGAATCTGAGACCTGCCGGAAGCAAGGTCAGGAAAATTCCAACCCCCGACGGTTGTCCGTTGAACCTGATGTTTAATTTCGTTTCTTGCCCTAACTACACTTACGAGATCGGTTCTTGGATCGGGTTCACTATATTGACATCGTGTTTACCAGGTACAGTCGAGTGGTAATTGAAATTTTTTATTAATAAATTGAATATATTTATTTTTTCAAGCTGGTTTATTCACGTTGGCCGGTGCTTATCAAATGATCATCTGGGCTTTGGGGAAGCACAGGAATTACAAGAAAGAATTTTCCGACTATCCGAAACAGAGGAAAGCTATCATTCCATTTATCCTATAATTAAATTATTTATGTATTGTTAAATTTTTTGTTTAATATTTGGTTGGTTCATCGGTTTAATTAATGTTTTTTTAGATGTACCTGTGTTTATTTTCTACTTACGTTTTTGTGAAATGCAGAATTCCTTCTGTATTTGATAATAAAATTCAAAATTTGTGTATATCACTAATAAAAGAGTAGCTGTGTTACAGACATTAGAAAACATTTGTATGTGAATTGGTCGAATAGCTCTTCTAGCTGAGGCCTCCAAATGTGACAACTGACGTATCTATTTTGAGTTCAGTTGAGCCATCTACCGTCAATATTTGCAGTTATTTAAATTCCAATTCGCGATTGTTTTGGATGTCAAATTAGGGCCTAAAATAGGAACTGTGAGGCCTAAAGCATGATACAATGACACTAATCTTTAATCTTTAATCTTTGTATCATGGGCCTAAAGTGGAAATCATGAATTATTTCGAACAATAAACAACTCTAGACCTAGTCTATAGTTTAAATATTTAGTTCCAATTCTAAGGACAAACAAAAATGCTTTTCATAGGATTTCTGCAAATAACGTAAGTTCCTGCTTACCATATATAATTACATCCTTATTTAGAATAATAGAATGAATTTTTACCTTATTTTATTTAAAACGTAAAAAATTGCATGCCTATTTGATTAATATTTTAACACCATTTACATAAGTAGTACATCAAAGTGATCCTTTAAATGTTGTGGATCTGCATTTGCAATAAATTTAAATATAAATGTTTCACATCAAACACCCCGTTTATTATGTATACAGAACATTGTTTTCTATTTACAAAAAAAATTGGCATTGTGAACATACTAAAAATAATGTGAAACCAACATTTTTGTTTTGTCGCTGCGGTCCTTCTAATACATGCTAAATAATTGCAAAAAGTTGTTATTAGTAAGTCATTTTATAAATAATTCATAATTTTCTAATCTAATTAGTATTACAATGCACCGTAATGGGTCGTATATTCATATTTTCGAAACGTATCGAATATCTTTTATTTTATCGATGCTTTACACAGGAATGGAAACCACAACAACCGAGATTAATATAGGCTTTAACAGTATACGTAAATAACAATTATCTGCATGATAAGGAATTACTTGTTGGTCTGTTTATTTTTCTAATTTATTCATTGTGTAGACACTATCAATAATCTCTCTAAAAAATCAATAATATTGTCATTGCCTAATGTTGAGTATCTGAGGAAATGGTAAGCTTTTGAACATATTTAGTATAATTCGTTGGTAAAACTTTTATTTTTTTGGAAAAACGATTTATTTTTGATTTTTTTAATAGATATTTAACTTGTTGTTTTAGGTTTTAGGGATATGCCGTACAATGAGCAGTGGAAGTAGCCAAATATGGCGACGTCGCAATGGCACAACATGGATAAGGGCAGGGCTAGTCATCTTCATACTAGTCTTCATATGGCTACAGCTGAATTTCCTGAGTTTCACTGGCTCTTCCCAGCAATACTCGGAACTGAACGATAGCAACGCGGCGATCCTGAGCATGGTGCCGGCGGTGCTGCACAAATTCCTCTCTCCCAGACCTAAGAACTTCACCGTCACCTTCGCTAATGGCACCTACGCAAACTTCTTCTACGCCTCCGCTCCGAACATATCCGAAATGAAACGGAACATAGCACAGTACAACAGACAACAGATCGTTCACAACGAAAACATCTTCGAACCTTTACAGAACGATTCCATCGTTATAGTCGTACAAATTCACGACAGGATCACCTATTTGCGCCATCTTATCGTCAGCTTAGCACAAGCACCAGGAATCTCTCAAGCATTGCTCGTATTTTCACACGACTATTACGACGAGGAAATGAACAGTCTAGTCCAAAGCATTGATTTTTGCAAAGTGATACAAATATTTTACCCGTATTCTATACAAACCCATCCCAATGAATTCCCGGGGGAAGACCCGAGCGACTGTCCCAGGGACATGAAGAAAGACCAGTAAGTGCGCAAGTCGAATTTTTGTCAACTAGCCAAGTTTAAAAATAGTTAAGAGGAATGCAGAAATTCAATATTTATTACGTTTTGCAGAGCCTTAATAAAGAAATGCAACAACGCCCTCTATCCCGACGTTTACGGACATTATCGTGAAGCGAAATTCACCCAAACGAAACATCACTGGTGGTGGAAGGCTAACAGGGTGTTCAACCAGCTGGACGTGACCAGGAACCACACCGGCCTCGTGGTGCTGCTCGAAGAAGACCACTACGTCGCCGAGGATTTCATTCACATGTTGCGATTGATGGAAAAGACGTACAAGGAGTCGTGCAAGCATTGCAACGTCCTGTCTTTGGGCACCTATTTGAAAACGTACAATTATTACGCGGATTCCAAAAAGGTACCTGCTTAAAAGCGACGTTCGCTCTCACGATTTTTCATACTATCACCCATATCAGAAAAATATTTTCAGGGTTTTTAAATGAATTGCATGCTTACAACCATTGCGAGTGAATTGTACATAATGACACGACAATTGAACATGCCGGAAGAGCGCGAAATCAAAGCCGTAAACGAGACAAACAAAATAAAGAGTGCGTTTCTTTGTTTTTTTATTTAATTTCGCAAAGAAGTACAGGTCGTCCACGATTGGACACTTTAGTTCAGTTCCATGCAAAACCTCATACTTAACAAAAGTGTCCGATTATTGGACACCCTGTACCCTAAGAGCACTTCTGAAGAGAATTTGTAGCAAAACCAGTGAAACTTTTGGTAATAGGTAAGCGACAATCAAAGTAACGCACTATCAAAATATTCATAAAATTAACGGACAAAACTAACTATACTCGCTAATGATGATTCGAATTAACAGGTGGAAATCTCGCCGTGGATAAGCAGCAAACACAACATGGGAATGGCGTTCAACAGATCTACGTGGATGCACATCGTCGAATGCGCGGCATATTTTTGTAAATACGACGATTACAATTGGGACTGGTCGCTGCAACACGTCTCGCAGAATTGCTTGAAGCAGAAGTTGCACGCCATGGTCGCCAGGGCTCCCAGAGTCTTCCACATTGGCGAATGGTAAGATTTACACATATTATAGAGGCGTATGTATTAAGTTGGCGATGTTGCAGTGGCGTCCACCATAAGAAAAACAACTGTAAATCCACATCGATGATATCGAAGGTCCAGCAGGTCCTTAAGACGGCCAAAAGACATTTATATCCGGACTATTTGGTACTAACGTATTCCACGATATTGAAGAAAACGAAATTACGTAAGGGTAACGGGGGTTGGGGCGATAGACGTGATCATAAGCTATGTATCGGCATGACCATAGGAGGGTAGTAGATGTTTTTTATTTTTGTTATGGATTATTTATTAAGTGTTGAGTAATTTTATTTATTGTTGTTTTTACCTTATTATTTTTTTGTTTGTTCGTATCGAATTTTGAGTATATCGTTTTCGTTGCCAGTAACTCGGATATATTAAGATGTTTGTACTTGTGTAAAATATACAATGAAATATATTAAGTACCTGGTTTTTTGTAACTTTACACGACCATTTTTATAAGTTATCCCCGTAACTGTTGATAATCGTTATTCGACTATGCCGTGTTTCTTTTTGTTGAATTATACCCATAATAATCGATCATTTCGAAGGTAAGAAGTTTATATTATTCGTTTAATTCTTGCTCAATTACTAATTAGGTTTTAGGAGTACTGGTATTTTTGAGTCTTCGAATGTATAGAGGACTGGATAATCTGAGGAAAACAAAAATTGCACGTTAGAGGTGCAAGATTGTTCAAAATTGGCCAATGATGAGGTAAATGTTTATTCACTTCAATATTTCAATTAAATATTTTAAGCGGCGTCCATCACAAGAAAAACTTGAAATTCCAAGGTAATCAGGTCAGTAATCATGAGTTGTGCATAGGAATGACCGGTTCGAATAAAAAGCCAGAATAAGTTAAACAAAATATTTTCTAAACTTTAAAATGTTTAAACATTATATGATACATAAATAATTTGGTCCAGATGAAAGTAAAAACGTGTATATGAAAAGGTTAACTAATCTCTGATATATACAGGATGAATTCTATTTAGTTTCTACAGAAATGTATAAATAAAAAAGCACACTGTTAGTATGTAAAAGGAGTATTCATATTGGACTCACCCTGTATATGAAATTTTCTAAAAAAAAATTAGGTCGATCAACTCAGGTATTTCACACATAAAAAAGACTTACAACCAACATAAAACATCGGCCTAATTCACATACATATATAAATATAAGATTAAAAATAATGGTTTTAAAAATCGCATCACAGTAGTTAGTATCAGGGATATTTCAATGTATACAAAAAAATGTTTCCCACAATATGAAAACAAATCGAAACAAACATTAATACTAGGAATTGCAAGGACAGTAGTACGAATCTCGGACATAAACCTATCAGTTAAAAAAATAAATAAAATATATCACAACTAAAAGAAACGTGGAAGATAAATAATTATCATATTCCACCCTAATACCAACTACTTTGTATCTTACATAATTAAATTATTTGCACAATTTTTACTTGGATTTGAACCTTTGCATTGGTTTCCTTGGTGTTGATTGCCTTTGTCTGGATAAGAACGATTGCCCTTGGGCTCCGTTTAACGCGCTCAGCCTTTCATCTATGGTTTCCTTGTGGCAATTCAACGTTAGCCTGTTGAAAGCGGTTGTTAGAAGTCTGTTTTCTTCCTGATTAGATTGCCTCAAGGACGAATCGACGTCGCCATTAGACTTTAAATCCAGGTTTTGTGCTACTTCCCTAGCCTTCTCTAAGTTCCTGTTGTACTTCGTCTGTAAGATTTGCAATTCGTTTTCTTTGGAAGATAAACTTTCTTGGAGTTGGACTATCTTTTGTCTGTACTCTTTGCCTATTGAACTGCTATTAGACGTGCTTTGGGTCTCTGATTGTTGGGCTTTAAGCTCCTCTAATTGCGCTTCTAATTTTAATATAGTTTGGTTTAGTGACTTGTTCTTCTGTTGAAGTTTGTCTATCCTACTGAGAGCGCTTTCGAGGTGGACTTGTTTCGAATCCAATTCTTGACTAGAACTTTTGAGCGTTTTATTTTCCTTTTCTAATAATTTCAATTTTCGTTCCATTTCAGCTGGCGTTAGTTCTTGAGACACGGCCGCTCCGTTTTCGCCTTTGGGACTCAGTTTAAGCTCTTCGTTTTCTTCCCTTAAAGCGTCCCTTTCTAACATCAGTCTCTCCTTTTCACCCTGTAATGTCTCGAATTTCTCTTTGATTTTCTCGTAATTAAAGGCTGCTTTGTCGTACTTTTGAGTTTCTTCGTCCAATTTTTGCTGTAATTCTAGTATTTCGTTTTTGTACGCTTCGCATTGGCTCTTCCATGTGCTGTTCTTCGATATCTCCTCTTCTAATTCCATGTTTTTCTGAATGTATTCCATATTTTTCTCCTCCAATTTTTGGAGATTTCGTTTGATGTCTTGGTAGTTTTCTAATCGTTTTTTGTACGATGTTAGGGCTGATTCTAGGTTTACGACTTTACTGGCAGATTCAGTGAGAGCGTCTATTTCATCTTTCAATTTAGCAGATTCATTGGCAGCCAGCTGTAGCTCGGTGATTTTCTCTTGGTAAGTGAGGATCTGTTTTTCCTGTTCGAACAATTTGGCTTTGAAGTCGTCTCTCATTACTTCGGACTTGAACAATTCCTCCTTCAACGCTTCCAACTGCTTCCTTATGTTCTCTTGGGGATTTTTGGCTTCTCGTTCCAGCAGGGCTTGGTGTTGATCTTGTAAAATTTTTTTATCGTCTAAAAGAGACTGGATTTGTTGCTCGAGACTCTGAACTTGGTGCGTTAGCGCTTCCCTCGACTTATTAGAAGATTCTAAATCGCTGACTAATTTCATAACTCTTGTATCACTGTCGAGAATTAGCAGGCTTATGGAACGACCGGATCCACCGGTTACCTCTTCTAATTGCTCGATAGCCTGTTTAATGTTTTGCTGGATGGATTCTTCCATGTCCATAATCATGGTGATGTATTCCTGCTTTTTTTCACAATTTATTGCACAACCTAAAAGAATTCGGATGTATTTTGTGGAAATGTTGTTTGTTTAAAATGATATTTACCTAATATTAAACGCAACAGTTTCGCCAATTGCACAAGATCGTTGCTTTCTCCCATTTTAACGACATCAGGCACCCCTGATTCTAGAACGTTTAAAGTCAAAACATCCTGGTAATATTCTATCACAGCTTCTAGTATTTTCTTTAAATTACTAATTCTTAGTCTCCAGTTGTTGGCCCCAACGTCTCTCTTAATTTTCGTTTCAAGTTTACTGAAATGTTCTGGTGATATTTGCAGTAAGGCATCCAACATTCCTACACCATCACAAATTTCTTGAATTGTTCTCGTTTTGTTGGGGACAATTTTTTGAAGCCACTTGGCTAGACTTTTGCACATATCTTCACTGGGGTCCATTTTGGGCTGTATATTTTGTGTAAATTATTTTAAATTGTGGTTTCTATCTTATCTTAAATCATAAATATTACAAATATAAATAAACCGCACACGTCACCAGTGACAATTGAATTGTCTTGTCAGTAATTGAAATGTCAAAATTACGTCTCGTTTTATGAAGCTAAACGGTTAAAAATTTTTGGCTGGATGCCTATGGCCAAAAAGTATGTAAGGAAAAAAGAAGGCAAACAAATAAATGTCAAATTAAAATTCATTCATATTTCATAATAATGTCATTTGCATATTTTGAACCGAAAATGTTTGTATAGGTGTTCATTAGTGCTAAAAATAGAGCAATTAATTGAGTCGCATAACATTTAATCATGTTTAGTATATCACTCAAAATTAATACATTTTTTTCATATAAATCGATAAATCTGCTATAACCTCACATTTAAGAATCACCACAAACCACAATGCCTGGAAAAGTAAAAGTGAAAATTTCCTCGGGCAAGAACTTGCCAGTTATGGATAGGTCCAGTGATACCACAGACGCTTACGTAGAAATCAAACTCGGAGGAACAACGTTTAAAACTGACGTCTGTAGGAAGTCTCTACATCCCCAATGGAATACAGATTGGTATCGCTTTGAGGTAAACAATTCATCGGAAACAAATCAAATCTTTAACGTACTTATTGCAGGTGGAAGATTCAGAATTGCAGGATGAGCCCCTGCAAATTCGACTAATGGATCATGATACCTACTCAGCTAACGACGCCATAGGAAAAGTATACTTAAATTTAAATCCCCTTTTGCTGCCCGGCGATGGACAAATAATGAAATACGGATTCAACGGAGATAGTTCGATTCACCACGAAATATCTGGCTGGTTACCTGTGTACGACACAATGCATGGCATCAGAGGTGAAGTGAATATCACAGTCAAAGTCGAGCTCTTCTCGGACTTCAATCGATACAGACAATCTTCTTGCGGAGTACAATTTTTTTACTGTACGTCGAATCCTATTACAAACGACATAATTACTAATTATCGTTATTATCTAGCCCCTACAGTACCGCAAATTTACCAAGCAAAATTGATACACGGTTTTGTAGAGGAGTTGGTGGTGTATGACGATCCAGAATACCAATGGATCGATAAAATTCGCACACCGAGGGCGTCGAACGAAGCACGACAAACCCTGTTCTTCAAACTTTCGGGCGAATTACAAAGGAAAATCGGCGTGAAAACGCTAAATTTAGGAGGAAACGCGGTTATTGGTTACAAGCAAAGTTACGACCTGGAAGGAGAATCGGGCATAGTTGCCCGAGGAATTGGTACAGCTGTTACATTGATTAAATCATCTAATACCACTGCAACCGTCAACGGAGACATCAAAGACGAGTAAGTACTTAATGAAATAATGTCAATAAGATTATCAATATCAATCTGTTACGTTTCGACTAACAACGATATTTTATTTTAAAAGAACTATATTTTTGTACACAGGCATGTTAAAGATTACCTTGAATTTGTTGGTGATGGCAAAAGCCTTCGCTTAAGCAGCACACCAAAAGTTCTCCCTTATCTCTCCCCAGCATTTTCTCGATTACCCAAACTACTTAATCTCGCCCCTTCCAAATCCAAAAGGCTCTCCAAAAAGCTGTACACGTCCATAGATTCCAGCAGCATCAGATCGAGCCGATCCATCGAAAACATCACGCACAATTCCATGGAATCTCTCCTTAAGCAAGAGAACGAGCGCGGCAAGAGCGGCAAGGCGCTGCCGCTCAAGTTCAAGAGCTTGAAATTCAGCCGAAAAATGAGCGCGCTCAAATCGAAATTGAAAAGCGAAACGGACGAGGAAAGCGAAAAGAAACCGTACAAAAGGTCCGAAAGCGAGTCGAGCTTCATGGCCGAAATCCTGGCGCGGTCTGTAATACACGCTCACAACAGCGTGACTTCCATACTGGAAGTTAAACACGGTTCTCTAGAAGGCGATTTGAACAAAACCGCCTCGGAACCGACGATTGCTTCGGCGAACAGCTCCAGCGAGGGAAGGTTTTCGAGTACCGAGTCCAGTACATCCGAAGACGATGATTACATCAAAGCGAGCGAGAAAGATCTCGACACGATCAGTACTATAATAAGAGACGTCGAGAGATTGGAGTTGAAGCGAAAACAGACTTATCTAAAGCAATGTTCTTTACCGTTCGATTTGAACATTACCGAGGATTCAACTGAACCCAAAATCGAGGTCGAAGCGCCTACGAAAAGGGCGAATTTCGAAATATTTTACGAAAACGACGATGACGAAGACAACGAGGAAACTTTTAAAGGCATAATACCGGAGGCGATGAAAAACGTCGAAATAAAGGAAAAGGGTTTGGTAAAAACGGCGATACAGGCGTTGCTGTTGGACAAAGCCAGCCTAATCGGAACCTATTCGCCTCCGACGTCGCCTATACGCGAACAACCGTTTCCTACCGCGAAACCGCCAATCGTGCGACAGAAATCCCTGCCGAAATCGGCGAGCTCCATAAACTTCGACGAGTACATCAAGCACAACGAAACCGTGCTCGGGGTGCCCTTCACCCAGATCGTCTCGTACGAATGCTTCAAGAGGCGCGTGTCGCAACCGTGCCTCGCCAAAAACGCGCCGACCTCGGACCAATTGAGCAGCGCCAGCTGCTTCTCCGACAACCAGCTGAACCGGCCGCTGGTCAAAACCATGCTGACGGAGTCCCTGCAGAAGGAGACGCCCAGCAGGTTCCGCATATTCGGGCCGCGGAAGGCCAGGCGGCCGCGCATCCGTTCGTACAGCACCAGCTCACACAAGAGCTTCCTCTCCCGCATATTCAGCCAAAGGAAGCTGCGACCGTCCGCTGATCCCTCCGATCCTTCGACTTCCCGATCCCGAAACGAGCTAACACGTACTAACGCCACATCTCCCCCCGATCAATTGCCTGTCAATATAAAAATTGAAGGCAACATTTGTAGCGATACTAAGCATGCATGCGTAACCCCAAACAGGCATAATATGTCACCACAACCAGACCAAATTGGGAGTAATTGTCAACAGAGCTTAGAGGCTCCGAGAAGAGGCGACCAGTCTCCGTCCAGGCTCAACGTGCTCGCGCAAAGGAGGTCTTCGGATTCCGATTTGAGTACCACGCCCAAAGGTAATTTGAACTAAATATGTTGTCTTACCGTTGTGGAAATATTACCGATGGCAAATCAATAGGTTATGAAACAATTTGCCATTGGGGAGGTTTAGAGCAAAAGAATCGTTTGAAATTAAGGTATCACATGCTTCCCGGTTCCCGTTGGTTCGAAAAGGGACGGCTAATGAAAGGGACAATTGGTTTTATTCGCATTACAAAATTGAAATTTGTAGAATTAATGGCACTTTTAGTAAATGTGTACGTACGTACGCGCATAATTTGATTTTGTAATTTGTTTTTCTCCACTTAGGATTCTTAAAAAAAAGTGAGTATAAGATGCTTGTTTAATTGTTGCATCTTCGTGTGTTGATTCATTAAATGTTCGCTAGAGCGGGGAGATTTTCGTTTTTCGAAAAACTGGTTGGCGTTAACGGATGCATGAGCTTTGAAATCGGAAATTGAAGGTCTCTTCCTTTGACTACATGTATGTAGGTACTGTTGAGTTGGATACATAAAACTTATTACCCTTACTTAAATTTCGGACTGCATTTTGTAGCACAATTGCTATAATATTCTACCCTCGGATAATCGATCATTTAACGCTTGTTTCTTTTAGTTTCGTGCTTATTCATGTTTTTACATCATCACAATTTACTGTCTTAATGTAACCGACTTGGTTTTGTTAGACCTTAAATGTATGTGAATATTCCAGTGCATGTGGTACCTATTCGAATCACCGCATCTTTATGTTCAATGTTGACGGCTCGAAAGAACTACGGATTATTAAAACAAAACTAAAAAAAAAAAAAGAAATCCAAGTAATCCTCATAGTAATCGGGATGTGGTTTAGGAAACAGCCTGACGAGCAGCGAGAAGTCGGGCGGCCACAACAGCGGCTCCTTCATGAAGAGCAACATCCTGCGCTCGCAGATCAACCAGGAGAACTTCGACATGCTCGAGTACCCGTTCCTGACCGTCATGAAGTTCCCGGCGGACTTCATAGCCCAGATCGGTGAGTGCCCGCTCGAATCGAGCCCGTCACGCGTTCATCCTGAATTGTCCTTTTCGAAGGGGGCGCCGTCAGCGCGAGGTCCGTCAAGCGGCTGGAGACGATCAGGAACATCGAGGAGCCCGAGTCCCGGGACACCTGGTGGTCGGAGCTGCGGATGGAGATACGGTCGCACGCGCGCAGTTTGAACTGCAACGCTGTTTTGGGCTATTCCGAATCGGCTAGTATTAAGTAAAGTGAGTTAGGTTGTTGTTTAATGGAGATTGAATTTATTCGATTGCAGTGACGATATATGCATATTGAGCGCTTACGGTACAGCTGTGGTTATAAATTTCCATAAAAACGAAGAAGATGATTACTCGGGTTTAGTCAAGCAAAATGTTGCTTCGAATCTGAGCGATGTTGCCAACGTGCTGGTGGAGCAGAAACAAATCGATAAAGACAAGCACAAAAACGTAATATTTTTATTTAAATCCACTACTAATTACAACAATCGATGATTACTTTTAATTTTAGGAGAGTAGTAAAAATTTCGACAGCCCCGAGCACGGGAATAATCATTTGAATTGCAATTGTTCCATCGCACATTTACCCTACGAGGGCGGTAATAAATCTCTCAAAGCCACTTTATCAAAATGCATGCTGTGCAGGTACGATTTTCGATACGTTTCGCCTCCAAATATGATAAAATGAAACTTTATTTAGGAAGGGCAAAGTTCCGGAAGTTCTTATAGCCACCATCGAACCGCCCGAAGGCTTGCCGAGCACCGGCAGGGGATGCTTCATCGAATCCTACGTCTGCCGCCCCCTGAAGGATTTAAAAGGAGAGTGGATAGCCAAGGAAATCTCGGACGGCCTGCCTTTTCTCGAGTACGAACTGCACAGGCTGTTGGTCAACAAATTGAAGATAAAAGTGAGTTAGGGCTATGCCGGTTCTAGACCGCTTTTGATGTAACTCTATTTGCAGGGTATGAACGCGATATTCGGCTTGAAATTCGGCATATCCGTCGGCGAGAGGTTGATAATAGCAACAGCAAACGGCACGGCAATGTATCTGGCTCCGCTACCGCCGCCCACCGTACCTAAATTGGTATCGGACGAGAACTCCGACGACGCCAAAGTGCTTCTGTTGCAGAAGCAGCTCAACGAGACCGTGAAGAGAAACCGGGAAATCTACCAAATCGACGTAAGACATTTGTCGTTGATTCGAAACGAATGTTACCTCGATTATTTCTTACAGGACGATTCGCAGAATTGCCGCGTTTGGTCCGATGACGAATCCGAAGAAGAACCCACGTCGCTGGACTTATCATCCGGCAGCAAGGATTGCTGCGTCCTAGAGGTAATTAACGCAAACAATTCGAATACCCCCACCGGTTACATACCATCGCTTTAACAGGTCGACGATCCCAAGGACGAGGAAATATTATTCTCGCTGATGAAGGAGCGCCCGCCAGACGGCTTCCACGTGGTAAACACCGAGTCGATACCCGGCCTCGACGACATGGAGATCGTCAGGAATCTGCAGATGTTCACGCAGGTGCGCCGGTTCAAGTTCCACTCGAACCTCAACATCGACGAGTACTTCTCCAAGTTGCTCGAAAGCGTCTACTTCAAATTGAGGAGGATGGTGCCGTGCGCGCTCTGCAACATCCAGTTCCGGTGCGGCATACCCGAGCCCGACGAAGTGCAGCTACTGGTATTCGGTAATTAAATACTGCCAAAAGTTTGTATCACTGCCAGCAGTATTACTTGGCCGTGATGTCACTGTCAACGAATACTGTGTTTGGGTATACAGTAATACAGTTAGTAATGTTTTGTATTTTTTTTGGGTTAGGTATGGCTTTGGGATTGGGCAAGAAGTCGAAGAAAGTGAAAATGGTGGTTTCCAAACGAAATGGTATGGCGTTGGCTCGTTGGAAAGATCGGAATTAATTTCTGTTTTTGTTTCAGATGAAGATATGATTTTCAAGCTGGACGAAGATAGCATTCCGGAGAACGCGATTACCAAGAGCAGTAGTGTAAAATACAGACCGAGGACATCCTCGAAATACAAATCGCAATCCTTAAAACAACGACATGTAAATATTGTTTTATAGAAACGACTTGAATGGATTTTAATCAACTATTTTTTTCAGACACCCCAGCAGGAAATAAACGGCGTGGATGTGACACCGCTGTCGTACGTACCCGGAGCCAGTGTTGACAAATATTTAGGCAATATCAATTTCTTTTTCATCAGGGAAACGACGTCGATAAGAGAAGTAAGTACCTTTCCGCTATCGGTATTCGTGACGTGAACGTATTTATTTTAGGAAGGCGGTCTTAGCGGCTTCCTTCACAGCTTCGTGACTGAAGTATTAGCTATAGTAAGAGCTCACGTATCAGCCCTAGGCGGTAACGCTTTAATAGCTTTCTTCTTGACAGAATTGTTCCTCCATCACAATTTCCACAAGAACCAAGTAAGTATAAATAATCGCCTATACACCGATTTTGCTGCACCTTCCATCCAACTAGAGGCCTAGTAAAGTTCTTATTAGATCTTTGGTAGCGCTAGATTAAATTCTTACAAACAATTCTAGTACTCGGAGATAAAATTAGATATTACCGTGACAAAAAAAAACGTCGTAATTATTTACTACGCCCCCACGAATTGGATGTTTTCGCAAGTGCTTGCGCCAATTAGCATATGCAAAATGCGCGAATGCCATTCAATGTGAATGGCTCTTCCCTTTAGAAACAATAGGTAATTAATTGAATTCGAAGTGGCGTCTTTCCCGGCATTCAATTTGCCCCGTTTAAATCGGTCCAGTTGGATAATTGATGCAAATAATTAATTCATTTTAGGGGCAGTGTCTCATTAACGTCGGCGGCGACGTCGTTTCGGTGACTTACTTCAACGGAGAAACGTAATTATTTTTAGGGGATGTCTTACTAACACGTTGCAAAAATGGTTCTCGCCATTTTATGATTGTTTATATGAAACGTTACTAATCCTTTCAGCAAGAAGAAACTCTTTACGATCTATAAGTATTAATTCCTCTTATTGTCTTTATTGTGCGTGTTTTAAAGGAATGTTTCATATTAGGAATGTTTTTATGCTCTCAAATTGTTTTTAATGTAGGATCAATTTTGTTTTGTTAGGTTGTTTAATGTTTATAAAGATAGAGCATAATTTAATATTTCCTGGATTACACAGTGCACTCCTTTAATCATTAGGAAAGTAAATTTGATTAAAATATATCTCTGAATGTACAAATATTTTCGAGTGATTAAGAGTCGCACTGTATAATGTTGTGTGGGAATTAACAAATAAATCAATTTAAAAACTTGTCAAATCGGTACTGAACGTGCCTTAAAACATTCTTCAGGTAATAAAAAATACATAAAGCAATCTTACTGTAAATATGTTGCAAATTTGTTTTTTGTTTAAAACTTTCGATGTATTGTGTACATGACAGTTTATTGACAATCCTGTTGTTTTTGCTCAAAATGTTTTACTTAAATATATTATTTATTAGAAATGAGAATTGTTTTTTATTTCAACCAAACAAATAATTTAAAATAGCTACCAAGTCGCAGAGCTGGGTTAATTCTGCATGAATTGAGGTAGAAACTGAATTCCCTTGACAACCCTTCAGAAGACCATGATTCCTTACTCTTAACAAATTGAAGTCTTGTTCGTTTCTAAAAATAAAAATTTTGTTGAAAAACTAACTGGAAAAAAATAAAAAATACAATTTAATTAGTCAGAATGAGCCGGAACGATCCTGCGTAGAAACAAGGAAAATACGAACATTGTACAAACAGCGACCTATTTCATATTTTCGTTCCTAACTCCGAAATAACTTATATTTACCATTCGATGGAAAACTTTCTAATTCTCTTCAGCTTCGAGGATATTTCGAATTTTCAGTAGACAAAAGAATTATTCGGTTCTCTCATCTTGTATCGTTTGAACCTAAACCCATACAATTTCTGCACCTACGCGATTCATTATTTTCGCCCGACAAAACAGAGGAATTTCCTTCTTTGAAAAAAATCTGACCAGTAACAACTCACGAAAACATCACCTTGAAATATCCTACATTTTCAAAACCAGAGGAAATTGCTACGAAAATAAGTCGAATTTTAATGCAAATTTAATTCATGGTCTATGTCGAACTGCGTTAAAGCTAGTTTGAATGAATTTAAACGAAACAAAATTGCTATGTAAACTAATAATAATGTAAATTACAATATTTATAAGTCAGCATTGTATTAACATTTTTATTGGTTGCAAATGGCAAAAGACTTCATTCATGACACGGAAATATTGCGTAATGTGCATCAGAGTTATATAGAACATATAAAGTTATATAAAAACAGTTATATAGGGAAAAAACAACGCTCTGAATAGTTTTAGAATGCATCCCTTATCGATCGGCTAATATATCTCAGTTATGGAGAACATTCCTGTATTAATTAGGAAGAGATAAATCAGGCGAGGTATACAAAAGTGCACTTTACGTGTTGAAGAAAGCTAGAAATAGGAAAGAAGAAGAAGCGCAAAAATCCCAATGATGTGCGGTGTACACGAGAAACTGATCTGAATAACAAATAAGCACCCTCAATGAATCCTATCGAGTTGTCCATTAAAAAATAATTGTAGTTTATGGCACGGAACGGTCTATTAGTTGCGTACACGTATCGTTTTCCTACGCGAATTTCGCCCTCAAAAAGGTACATAAAAAGTTAATAAAGAGAGTACTAGTACAATAAAAGGTCTTTTAACATGGTAAATCCTCGGACAAAATCGGAAAAACCTTAACGAATGCGAAATATAAGATGTTGGACGGGTTTTTGAAATCTAACCAATTCCGAAACAAGTCCGCTTTTAAGATCGGCTTGTCAAAGCACGGACCATGAAATAGGATTTATTCCATAAGGGAGAGTGTAGTGAAAATATTAAAGTAAAAAGTAAAAGAAAACAACATCCCACTCAGCCCTGAAAATATATATGTATATAGAAGCGAAATAATTACATATATTTCTCCACTTAAACGCATTTTGTACATAAGCGATTAGCTGAACAAACATAATTAATAAAGTAGCTAAAATAAAATGCCCGGATAAACAAATTAACCGTAACGAAATTATCTAAATTCATCGACAAATTGTCAAATAGCTCTCGAGATAATTTAATTTTTTTTGCGATTAAAGGGCTCGTTTCCCATTAACCGGAAAGTATAGTTACTGAAAAGCGAAAAAAAAATCCGAAACAAGTAGGAGTTGGTAAAAGAACAGGCGAAAACTTATTCTATTCTCTTCTGGTTTTCACTTTCTTTTACTCAAAAACGGCCATTATGTGGATTAATTAATCGAAATGAAGGCGAACTTCATTAGATTAAGCGCAGTGCGAATCGACCTGGAACGTTTTCTAGTAGGAATGATTGGATGATTTTGATCACATAGTCGCGAAAACTCGGATAGATTCTGTTGACAAACCGTAGAAATGCGCCTTTGTATAGATCGATGTTGGCTAGTATATTCGTTATCAAACAAAATGACAATGAAGGTAAACTCTTTGTCAACATTATCGGATGGAAAATATTGACAATTCTTTGATTAAGTTTTCAATCAATCCGGTAGAAAAAAGGCACTGTCTCATTGCGAAATGGAAAAAATCCTGTTAGTTGTTACCTTATTTATTAAAAAGTCGCGGCTTTATAATCTCTGAAACAGCCACAAAAATTATAAAAAAATGTATTAAAATTAAAAAAAAAAAACTCTCTAAAACTAGCTACAAAATTTATCCAAATTTGAACAAACCTGCTAAAAACACCAGTAATTTCTAGAAAAAAATATTTTCGAGGAATCTCGCAGGGATTCTTATAGCTTTACAATTATAAAATTTTACAATATTTTATAAATCTCGAGAAAGTTTATCCTTTTATACCTTGAATTTATTTGTCCCCAAAAAAAAACCTTTAAATTCTCGACAAAAACTCTTAAACTAATCAAAAAAATATACCAAAAACTATTAATTTCTGAAGTAAAAAAATTTCAATGCCTCCTAAACCACTCTGCAGCTCAACAACAAAATTGAGCAACAAAATTTCGTCGATTTTCGATGAAATTTTTCGTTCGTTTACCTATGCAACAAAAACCTAATTAACCACGGCACGCGACCTATCTATTCCCTAATTGTTCAGTGACAACATGTTAAGATATGTCTTTGAAATTGATGTGTGTGCGCAGAATATGACCACGGTGCGTAGGCGCTCGTCTGCGGATTAACTATAAAAGAACAGGCCCGAAAATCGCATTGCCTGAGAAGAGTTTCCCAGGAAATTTAGTTCGGTTCCCATTGCACTAGGCAAAAATCGCGTAAGTCTTGATAATGTTTTTTTATTGCAATTTATTTTTATTGGTTTTGGTACGCTATTTTGAATATGCATTTTCGCATGAAAATCGCTTAAAAAATTTCAATGCTTTCGATGTTTAAATAAGTTATTAATAATTAATTCGGTTGATTTTTTTATAAATCGCTATTTGTTAAAAAGTTTTTTTTATCAATGTTATTAACGCCTAATAACACCGCTAATTTTTATTATGTTAACACGAAAATATTATTCATAAGCGAGTTAATGAAACTTGTAAATAATAATTGGCGGTGTAATCGATGTAATTAAAAATCTCATAGTGCGTTTCCAATCGAAATCGGATTTATTCGAGCGCATTTTTCCAAACGCGAGAAATCTTCATTTGCGCCTCGGCGAAATGAAAATTCCACCGGCCGTTTCTCACCTTCGCAGCGATTTATCACGATTACACCGATATTTAGTTCGACGTTTTCTTTAAATCCCGTCGCAAATTAAATTAAATTAAACGCCCGCAGAGAAAGAGTGATATAGTTTCAACCAAGATGTTTAAAATACCACCTTATATGGATTTTATCATTGAGAATCCGCTGGTCGATGTTGAACATTAATGGAATATTTGTTTGTTCAACGGAATTATCGCCCTTTCCAATGCGAGCCGATGCGTCGCGTTCAAATATCTTTGGGTATTTTCAGAAAATTTCGAATAGAAAATGGAAAAGTTAATAGATAAGCGAAGGTTTACATGACACGCTAACCATCTGAATGTTTTCACAAACAACAAATTCATTATCCTCGGAGTATTTTTATCGCTTTTAGAAGGTGAGAATGACATGAAACCCTTCCTAATAAGGACTTATCCGGATCGCCCTGTAGACCTGTAATTTAGTAGACTTACCTCGCGTAAATACTAATAATCCTCTCTCTCGTCCTCGATGCTTGCAACGGGCCCTTAAAACAAGAAAATTTTCATTATAAGCCAGTGTAGGTAATGAAAAGTGCACGAAATTGCATGATGCCCCGCATGACGCTTCCTTTATTATCATTTCTCATAAGTAAGTACGTTATTTTAAACGCTCGTTCGCCGACGAATAAATAACATTCGGTGGCTTCCAGAATGCAGCCGTCGACGATGATTTTGTGCACCGTAGGCATCGTGTTCTCCATATTACTGACGTCGGTGGCGAAGGCTTCGATCATCAGCTGCCCGCCGAGCTCTCTGCAAGAGCAAATGAACCCGAAACTGAGCCAGCTCTGCTACGCCATCGAGCAGGCGGTCGAGAGCATCCCCAAACAATGTGAGCATTCCCGACCGATTCCGCAAGTACCAGGCGATTGCCAGAGTTGATTGATAAGAGTTGTTTGGGCACTCCAGGAAGTGGATGAAAGAGTATCAATTACTTGCCTTCCAAAGTCTGTCTTATAGAGTCAATTATTTGCACCAAACAAGTCTATACAGATGGGAGGTGTACACCCAAGGAGGTTAATCAGGGAGAGTCAAATATCTGCCCTAAAAAATCAATTCCGAAGAACCAGTTAATTACCACAAAAACTCAATTACAGAGAATCAATTATCTGCCCAATAAAGCTATTGGTCCTTATTCAGCACTCCTTTTTAGCGCTAATCACTCATTTAAAAGTCTCTTCAACTTGATTGTTGTTATGGAGTAACATTGCTTACGTTAAAGAGACTCTTCAACCGATTGATTAGCGTTAAAAATGAGCGCTCGTGATTTCATTGTGATTGGAAAAGGGTTAGTAATGATTTGCAGTCGCCCGGTATGTGGCGTGGGGGCGAGCTGGGGGCGGATTTTTAAAGGAGCGTTTGAATTTTGGATTTTCAGATGGCGATCGACTGGACGAGCGGAACGCCAATTTGATGAACACCAAGAGGCAGGACGTGGATCACGTGTTCCTGAGATTCGGCAGAAGATACGGATTGTGAGGGAGCGATCACTGAACGCCCCGTAATTTATTTAAGAGACAAATTCATTCCGATTTCGAATGACAACACTTTCTGGCTTCAATAAAGATATTATTTCGAAATAGTTTCGTCATTTTTCTTTTTTGTATTGTAAACGTGTGTAGTTATTTATATCTCGTTAACGAATAAATCGTATAATATTTATAAAACTATGTTTTACTAATAAACGATGTAAATTCGTTAAATATGATGAATGCTTTTGTTAGGATTGTTGTATTTGTATAGGGTGTTCAACATTTATCCAGTAAACAACGGAAAACTTCATGGTAAGATTTCTAGTGTGTTCAAGTTCAACGCCATAAATCCATACTTTCTAACACCATTGCAGTTTTACATTTAAGATATTTATGCATTTTGCAGGATCAAGTATGCACTGTACAAGTTTATTTGTCGTATGGATAGCAGCAGTGATGTACTTTCTACATGCAAGTGCATCATCGTTACTGTCATGTCCCCCGAGTCAGTGGCAGGAAGAGCAGAACCCGCAGATCAAGCAAATTTGCCAGGCGATAGAAAATTCCATAGAGGAGACGCTTCGGAAGAACATGGACGATTTTTGCAAACCATGTGAGTTCGATTTTATAGAAGTTTTTTTTCAGAGCGGCAAATCGATAAATTACCTACTACCTGTGTGATCCAACTCGATTTCATCCGCAGGATTGATAATTTACGATGCAGCACAAACTAGATTACAGTAAAGTAAAGGAAGTAAATGGACGATGTTGATGATTTTATTACGGGTGTATTTCTATATACAGGGTGGTTCGCTACGAATTTGAAGATCTAAGAGAAGGACTTTGTTGTTTTCAGGCCAAAATGCACCGGAGAAAAGAACAACCAGGAATGACATCGACCACATTATACTGAGATTCGGGAAACGGACAAGGATTTGAGTTATCGAACTGGCAGTTTATATTTAAAAATACAATATACCGTTCTTTATTCTATTGTTTTGTTTTAATTAAGCTCCCCTCGATATAAAGACAAAATGGCCGACTAAAAAAAAACTGTGGGCACCCGGAAACTACTTTCCGGACAAATCCCACAAAATGACCCTTTCTTTTTCCTTTATATGAGACTAATGAAAGTTGTCTTTGTTGCACCCATGTGGGAAGGAAAATAAATCCTACAAATTTGTACTTATGTGTATACACATAAAATTCTGCAATTCTGAGTTAAACAAAAAAAAATGATAGAGTGAGAACAAATAATAGTTGTTACAGTGAGAAAGAGTTGCAATGACACAAATCACCCGTTCTCTCTACATTATAAGTGTCTAATGGAAGTTGTCAGTTGTATTTGTTGCACCCATAGGCTATATTGCAAGCTAAGATGCATCAACCTGTATAGTGCTTACGATGATTTTTTAACCAAGTTGAACCAACAGTATCTAGTACATTAAACTAAGTATTCATTTATATAAAAATTGCAAAAATAGTACATACCTATTAGTAACGTACTGATATAAGCTCGATTTTTCCAAAAATCATAATTTTTAGAGAAAAAAAACTGCATGTCAAAGGCAATTACTTTATGCAACTGTCAATCACAGAACAATGACAATTTGGACAAGGCAACTGTCATTAGCAATAAAACATAAATTTACCGGTGGCCAGGCCGGGCATTGGTGACTTGATAGGTGAATTTTAGATTAAAGGTAGATGCGAAGAGTCTGTGCTAAAAGGGTGTAGAGGAAAAAATTAAAACACATCCTTAATTACATATGCGTGATTATATTTTAAAATTTATGTTTAATATGAAAATATTCGTAGCATTTATAATTTTCATAAATTATATTACAAAGTTAAAGAAGTAGATAACATTTACATTAAATGAAAAAAAAATGACAATAACATATATAATAAAAAAAACCAATAATGATCGAACATCATAGAACAAAGGGTAATCTACCTTATAACAAACAGATAGGTGTACATTACTCACCTCTCTTAAAATTCAAGCTCAAAATACCTTTATTATATAAATAAAAGCATATCAGACATACAATAAAATTTATGTTAGAATGGTCATAAGGGCATCAACCGCACTCCATCCTACATTTCCACCTTCCATCGGTGGGGTCGGTATAACACTAGAGCGTGAAAGGCGACTCTTAATAATTCTTTTTTTTTATCATATAAAATAACAACTATAACAAATTAACGATTCAATATTGTACCATTTGAAATAACAACATTCGACTGAAATGTCGTGTCATAGGTTTGGCATATAATTTTACACATTTTTTCATTAGTGACGAGTCGACTAAAATGCCGCATCTAAAAAGGGACACTGTATTATTCATGGTAATGATTCATCGTTCTCTTCGAAATTCATAACTATATATATATATATTATATTATATATAATATAAACGTTGCAGGTATATAACATCCCAATACGAAAAATAAGTACAATGTTAGGTAAACGTGGAAAACGAACGAAATGGAATCAAGACATCGACATTCTCCTAATCGTAAGTATCTCATATAAAACATCTATGTCTCGTGAATCGGATTCGTTGAAAAGTACAACAAACGGGATCGAACCTGCCTCGGCACCGTTACTCGAGCGAATCCCAATCGATTCGCCCGAATTTAGGGTGAGGCGCCGAGGCAAATAGGACTACACTTAGTATATTATTGTTAGTTTCTTTTTGGGTTTGATCGGGAACGACTCGCCATCGGGACCGGGAGGACAACCTGAGGCGAATGTGTGCGGGTTCGTCGATCAGATTGCGCCCGTTAAAGCGTTCAATCGCCGTTCTGGACGTGTGCCGCAGACTCCGCGGCCGCGAAACTTCGATTGTCGCATCGATTCACGAACATCAAAACTATACGAAAATGATAATTTAAAAAAGGAAATTTCAACAAGATACATATACACATCGACATCGCTCACGGCGCGTATAATATATTGAAATGAGGTAGATCGTAACAATTTAGTAAATACACTTATGGTTATTTATTACTCGATTTTTTTTTGTTTGTTTTGTTTTTTGTTTCGGACAAAAACACTTACTACGTTTAAGGTATTCGAAGCGATTGGTGTTTTCGGGGTATTATTATTTTTTTACGTACTACACTAGTTACTATTAGTAAAAATTTTTGGCGACATCGGCGGTTTCGCGTCCGCTAGAATGAATCCAGAACGACTGGTTTTGGTAGTTATTTTTATCATTATATAAAAAATATATATTCCCGATGCGACGGGTTCCCGGGCTGGATAATCTGGAATCCGATACGGAGTAGCGTGTATAAATTGTGTGCGTGAATGGGCCAGAAAAACAGGCCACTTCCGGACACATACAAAAATACTGTACTGTATTAAGTATCTATTTAAATAACGTTACTATATCATTACAACTAACATTATTATTAACATTAAATATTGTTACAGTACGACTAAGTAACCCTACGGATTTCAACTGCAAAACACCAAATACCAAAATGAATAAATGGGACTGTCAACATTCCGCGTGAATTTTCCAAATCGAATTAAATACTGCTGTTATATCAAAAACTTTCCATTTACGATGTAACGGTTATTTAAGTTACCAGATTTTTACCCAACAAAATTAGCACAAAAAAATTAAAAACTCTGTCGAAAATAAACAAGTAATTAATACTTTTTCCCAAAAAAAAAAATTCTCGAATAATAAATAAAAAGAAATATAAAAGAAAAATGAATGGTAACTTCAACAACTCTTCGAATGAACATTTTCGAAAAATATACGTTTGTTTTGAATTATCATAGGTAATAAGTACATTGTATTTAAATGCATAACATTAACATTGAATAAGAGTGGTTGATGAAGGAGGAACGTTAAACCCAATCCAAAAATTCCGTTATTTAGAGTAGTAAAGTAGTAAAAGAGTGGTCGAATTCGGTTCGTCTTAAGTAAACATGGCCGCAGCTATGATGAGAATTTTCGGACGCAACCTGTTGGTCTGGCACGCCATTATCACAGCTTAATTTTAACAGTTATAGGTAATTAGTTTACGTTACAACTTTAGTTTCTATCGAAATTCATAGTACAAAACAAACTAACAGAGGGCACAATGTGCAGCAGAAGCACTTAGCACCTTTTTAGGATAAGTATTACAAGTCTCTTAGAAATATCGAAGTGTACATGTAATCCGCATCACACAATTTTTTTTTTATTTTTTACAATACAAACTTTGTATATAATATATTATATATATATGTATATTCATTATCTTAAAAGTTTTAAAACGATTCACCTTATTAGGTGTCATATTTCAAAATTCCTTTGAACAATAAACGTATTTTCTGGATAACAAAAATATATATACCTATATTTTTATTTTTCTTATTTTCGTAAAAAATAAATTACTTAATTATAGGTGAATAGTCTTAAAAAATGCACGATATATAATAATAATAATAATCTGTGATTACTAAATTTCCACTCGATCTAACTACGATTAAACATTTTATGTAGGTAGATCTAGATTACACACGAAACGATAGAGAACCAGTATCGGGATGAAAGGAATCGATGACAAAATCAACAAAAAGATCGAGTTCATCCTCATACTCGATCTCCGCAGAACAGCCGGATAAATCGGGCAATTGAAAAATCCACGACGGCCGTCCCGAATCGAAAAAGGAATCGACTAGGAAACAGGTGACATGCTATATAAATATACATATATTTTTTTTCATTATTATTAATAAAAGACGAGTACAAGCGAACAAGCTAGAATATTACCGAGTGTTTAAGATGAATTAAAAAATGTATAGAGAAAAAGTAACAAAGAAAATATGAAAGCAATCGATAGAATAGGTAAGTACGTGCCTTTTTGAATCCCTGTTCGCGCATATTCGTCAAAATTAGTCGGTGAGACCTTAAAATAAGGAAACCCGCTCGTATAGGCACCTAAATTTAATCTATGAGTGGCCCTCTCGAACACTCGTTTATTGCTAATCATGTAGTCCATATATTGACAGCGCCTGCTCGCAATCCCGCCATTCCAATATCGTATTAACAATCAACAAAACTATCCGTAATAAACCGATCGATCGATAGTCAATTCGATCGATGATGCACTTCCGAACGAACTCGATTGCTAGCAATCCTTCCATCACTATGATGGACAATATTAAGCGTATTATGCATTTTATTTTATACAAGAATTATCGGTGTATGTGTGTGTGTATGTGTGTATGTGTGTGTGTTTGTGTGAAATAATCGGTTTTATAAAGGGAACAAATACCAGAATTCAACAATTTGAAAGTCTTCAATACCGTGGCGGCGATTCGGACGCGATTGTTAAAGGGATAAACGTGAAATGAACCAAGGAGGAACCAGGGACGATGGGCAGTAATAATAATAATAAAAGCGGTAATAATGATGGTGTAAAGAGCAGGACGGGGACGGGAACGAGGAGCTAAACGGCCGTTTCCGTGTGGCTGTGGGACGATAATCGCTCCACGTCTATCTCTGGTATCGTCAACTCGTCTGGGATGTTATCGGCATATTCAATGGAAGAAGTTTGCGACAGCCTTTTAGAAAGGGTCGTCTGTTTGCGGAGCACCTCGGCTAAGGAAGTATTGCTGTGTTCACCGTACCGAGCATCTAGGCCCTGTCGGAAAGCATTAACTACTCGGATCTGAAATTAACAAGAAACACCAAAACAAAGAGAATTAAAAAATAGAACATTCCCAGAAAAGTGACGAGCTGTTAGCACATTCAGTCACTAAACGGTGCTGTAATATACAATTACATGTAAATGTAATTATCATTTTTTTTTGAAGCTCCAACACCGGTTCTCTGAAATTCTCGGTTAGTTAATTAATCATTCACATTAAAGACGAAAAATTGCATGCTTTATCAATTCCACTAATTCCACATTCCTATTTATTTTTACAGGTTTAACCAAATGAATCGTTCTAATGACTTCACTAAACCATTTCCCTAAATTACACATCACCGCAGAAATTTATCACATTGGCCTACGTTGCAACTTTATCTCTTTTTGCATTCATTTTCTACTAAAATTATTCAGGTCAATGTCAAAAGATCTGCCAAATTTCCAACTAGACGAGCAATATTTATTATACTTCTACAATTTTACTTTAATATTTACAAATCTAATCTTTTACGGGTAAAGTTTCTACGCTAATTGAAAACATTTTGAATTTATAGCAATCAACAATTATAGTCTCGACATGTTCTAGTAGAATCTAAATCTCGAAAACGTTGAATTTACAATCTCATATATCCCAAATACAAGGTGCAAAAATATAGAAAAAAAAAATCGCCGTTTCGACGAATAATCCCCTGTAATAGTAACGAAACACCCCGTATGCAATAACATGCATTCGAAAGATCGAATTAATCATGCTGGAAGTTCGTGTAAACAGCCAATATGGAAAATTCATTTGGTTAGAATATATTTTACACGAATACGCAGTAAGTGAAGTATCGAAGATGAAAATATTAATATTGAATACCTTGATTTTAGCGTGTAGTGCACTTCGGATGTCTGTCGATCGGTCGTATAGCTCGGTCACTTGCTGTATCTTATCTACTATTCTACATTTTTCAAATAATATAATACAAAGCGACGATTTTGCTTCCCTTTTTTTAACTAACTAGTGTAACGAGAGTTGAAAGGTAATAGTTTTGAATTTGAAGATTAGATTGGATTAGAGGAAGCAAGTCGTTGCGAATAATCGAGAACCGGTCGATTGGGCTAAAAAAATGTCCAACAATCATGCAAACAAATAATACATACATATACATGTGAAATGTATACGTATGCATACATGCCACACAACTAGCTGTGGGCGCATACATACACGTGAAAGGAAATAATTAAGTTTCGACAGTATTGCTGCTAGAGCAAAATGTATTTGTGTAGAGCCATCATGCCATGAACTGGATTGATTTAGGCGGGTCAAAGCTTTACATATATCACCTTTTTTGCAATCTATAAAGCTGGATGCCTCCAGTCGTAATTAACATATATAAAGTAAAATTTGGTGATGGGAGAAACATCATCAGATATCGCTTCGATTCCTGTTCCACGCATCGAGTTGAAGACAATCGATTGCAATGCGAGTTATGTTTGATGAATCGTTAAAAAAATATGTCTAAATTAACTTGCATTGTAAACGCATTGGCTTCTGCTTCGATCGAAGGTCGAGGTTCTAAGGGAAAATCCGAAAATGTTAATCCGCCGTACTTTTTTTACACAAGACTCGGCAAAAATGTCCAGACGGTGTTGTTTTTTTTTGTAATAAATAAAAGTCTGGATATCGCTGCCTGTCAATTTGTAGCAAGCAGTCAGATCTTGTCATACCGAGTGATCAGGATTAACACATTGAACTTGCAAAATTTTAACAAATCAACACAATTTAAATTATATCTGAGCACCACTTAAAACACACACGAATAACAATATTTAAATACATACAGTTTTACCAGATATTCTTTACTTTGCTTACGTGATTTTGCCCCACCTGTATGTATGTATATGTGGGTATTAGTAAAACACAAACTTTGTAAATATTAAAAAATACACATACAAAATATAAATTATTTAAACACAACCTAGTACTATAGTAAAATAATTGAAATATATTAATAAAACTTTATTAAAAAGAAAAGGTAAATCAAAAAAAAAACAGATAGGGTGTTAGAAAAAAACAACTCTAAGTACACTCTGAAAAATATTATAAATCTATATCTATATGTATACATCTACACATTAGTGTGGATTAATTTCCAATGCTCTTTCAGAACTAAAATTCCCAAAGCAAAAAACACGACACTTGGCATGAATAAGTACAAAACGAATTTAACAAATCCAACTTTAGTCCCTAAGAGCACATTTCTCAAAAACCAATCCAATCTAATGTAAAAATATATTGGCGAATTTAAAATCCACGCAAAGAAACGTACTGAATTGATACGCAAAAGAATATAACTCCATAAAAACGAATCCAAAATAATAAACCAACTAAAACAAAAAGCCTCTAAATCAACTATGTGCAATGAGACCCTCGACATTAACCTATTAAGAAGCGATTCAGGCAAAAAAATGTCAATGAGATAAATTTTTTAGACAGTTATATTTTCGGGAATTTCGGCGCGGCGCTTATTTCGAACTCGACTAATTAGCAACGGAAATGTTTGAATTCAACGGGCTGAATCTTTCAGAATCGAATCGACATTATTCGGCCGAGCAGTCGTTTTGAGCGATCTTATGCATCTGTAGAAATCATAAAAATAAAAACCGCATGCAAACGTGCAAAAGAAAAATCTGGAAATCCACAGCTTAGTACACGAATCGACGGTGAAAAAAAAACTTTACTCAAATGTACTAAGCCGACAAATCGAAATCGAAAAACAAAAACAACAAATGCAACAAGCGCGCCGGTAAAACGCGACGCGCTTTTACCGGCACGCCACGCCGCGTGTAAAAATAGAAAAAAAACTAAAGAAAAATGCAAAAAAAGCCTCAAATTCGTTTGGTGATCTGTTTCTAAAATGGCGGAACCGGGCGAGCCGCGGGTCCCATGTCGGCCACGATGGAAACAGAACGAAAAAAGCCTTTGCCAAACACAAACGAAACGAACAAGAGCGAACAATAGCGTTATCATATGAGTACATAGCGGACAGAAAGATGGTAGAAAAGCGGCTTACAGCTTGATCAGTCGAACTCTTGCTGTACGGAACTGGTATCAAACGTTCTTGCAATTCACCACCTATGACCTTCAAGAGTAACAAAGGGCAACGTTAAAGAGTGGTTCGATAGACAGTGATAGAGACACATACAAATAGAAAAAAAGTGCACAGAGATAGAATCTACTAAATAACCTGAAGAAGAGAGGCGAAAACAACGGTGCGAATCTACTGCGATTCACCAATTCATCGACTAGTAAAAGTCGAAGAAGCATCGTTAACATCCCCGAACGTATCGGGGGTTGTATCCCGTTGTTTTCGCGTTCAAAAACATTGAAAAAATACGCGTAGGCCGGCGTGCGAGCGCGGCCGACGCGTAAATGTTCAACACAGACACGATTGCTCGAAACGTGTTACTTAAATAGGGCTCAGTGCCGAATTGAATGAATTAAAAACAGAGCGTGAAAACGTATTTATTACTTTCGAATACATACAAATCGATCGCTCGAGCCGGCTTGATTGTATGTTCGATATGTATTTTACCGTAGATTATACTATATCAAATATGTATCCATCGTTTCATCGAATATAAAAAAAATTATTGTGGTATTTATATATAAATATGTATATAATGTAAAAGAATACAAATAACAATAATAGTATTATGTATTAATAATAAACATAGAGCAAAATTAAGTAAAGTGGCCTGCTAACCCACAGACAGCGCAGCGCTAGAGCATAGCACATAATTTTACAAACAGTTCAACGATATATTTACTTTGTATGTATCGCATTTTAATGACCTAAAATTTATGTCGTTGGCAATTGACACGAAATACAATTGACTCTTGTGCATGCGATAGAAAATGAAGTAGTTCTTTTTTATATCTCTGGAATTTCTAATTCTAAAATAAAATGCTATACATACAGCTGACTACAGGAAGCAACCAATATTTACATCAATGTACACAATTAAGGGGATTTCAAAATTAGCATATTTAGTGCTTAAAAAAATTAATATTAATCATAAAATAATAATAAAAAAGGAGGAATATTGCAAAATTGCGGTATTAGGGATGTTACTGGATGGTTCTAGTGGTGGCATTATTTTTTTTGCTACATTATTCTACCGCTAGCAAAATTCTCGTCCAGGCTGCAGAGAAAGTGCATTTTCACAGTGCCTTCACAGTGAACATGAAATAAATCAACTCGCATATTCAAAAAAAACTAAACGGAAATAAAATTGCGATTTATTGCGTGTTCCTAAACAAAAAAAAAATAAAAAGAAAAAAAATATATATTCGAGTTGTAATTGATAAAAACGGATTTTAAAAACACGCCGACACTATCGCTATAAAAATAGACAAAAATAATAATAATAATAGAGGTTCGGTAACGGTGTTGATAGGTAGATATGATATGATAAGACAAACAGTTTTTTTTTATAGCGATTGCGATTGTCTAATCGATTTAACAGGGGCGCTCTGCGGCCAGGACCGGCAGCACTAGATGCGAGTCTCATGCACGGGTTTGGGCAAATCTGAATTATTGGCTGAGGCGGCAGCGGCTGAGGCGACAGCAACGGCAGGAGGGCCGGGAACCGGTTGGTTGTGATGGTGGGGTTGTTGGTGGTGGTGGTGGTGGGCGAATTGCTGATGATGGGAGGGTATTCGGAGGGTGTTGGGTGACAGCAGACGCTGGTCATCGCGCTCGCTCGTCTTGCTGGCTTGTTGCGGCGACAGCTTTGTGGCGGGATCCTCGTCAATGTATGTGATGTCTGACAGGGGACGCGGTGGCCAAGGGCCGCCCGTGTGGCTCCGCGAGCTGCGCAAACTGTGTAAGCTGTGTAAACTATGTATGGAACGACGTTCCTCCAGATCCTCCAAAGTAGACTTGAAAGCTCTTATAACTCTCAGCTGCAAACACAGGGAAGCAGGGTACTCATCAGCCTGGGTTCGGCATGCGTACACGCGCGTCATGCTAACCAACACACCGCAACAACAACACGCATACATACACACATATTCCTATGCTATGTAATATTCATACATCTATTTTCGCCTCCATCACCTTCACGAACACCAACAGATTCGTACGTTCTTCACAATTTATGCAACAGCATTTTGTACCAATTCATTTATACAGAGTCTTCATAAATGATTGATTCCCATGTGACCGAATTCGAAATGAACGTAGTAAATTTGTTATGTTTATGTTGGTACTCAAAAAATAAGTTACTAGAATACTGTCATTAATGTCAAGTCAACGTCAACTCGATGAAATCTCGGTAGAAATAACGTGTTTTGTTTATTTTTCCTAGTTTTTCCTGTGCTTTTCCCGAAGAAAACTGTATCAACATAAGCTTTAATTAATGATAGGTAAAAGTAATTAAGAACCTAGTGGATTAATGTTCTTCCTCCACTGTGTTAATTTGTATTCAAAATAGGGACATTTCTTGAAAATAATAACAACTGTGCACTTTGGGTTGCATAAATTTTTAGGTCACGTGGGAATCAATCATTTATGAAGACTTATGTACATTATCACTCAATAAAATTATTATTTCTGCTTCACAAAATGCTCTTGCACAAAAAATAACCATCAAGTTTATGTATGTACGTGTGCATGTGCTTAAAATATTTAAGACAAACAAATGCCCACACATATAATTGTGGCACCCATTACACACATGTATTCCCAAAATTCACATTTATATATAAAAAATATGTAAAAGACGAAAAATAAATAATTCATAGGCGACAAAAAATGGACGTATACTCACATTGCACCTTAGCAAATATATTACTGTGAATTATCGTATAATAAAAAAAGCTTTGTGTGAATAAAATAGTGACTGAATATAACCACACATTTCCCACAAACATATACATATATTTGTTACAAAAAAATTAATTCAAAACGCCAATTTTTGTTAAATTTTAAACGTTCGACAAAAATAATTTGCTCGTCCGGTGGGGATTGTTGTGTATGGGAGTCACAAAAAGTAACTTTGATAATAAACTATAAAAGTCCACTCTCAACGTCCGCACTCATTCGAAATAAATTTTATTTTGAGTATTCCACAACCTCGTCCTAAAGTAGTGGCCTACAACAGCAGACACACACCAATCTCTAGATATAATGTAATAACCTTTAATGTAATCATTACGTGTCTACGAAGAGGGTGTCCTGCGATGAGCTCGAACTCATCGCGGCACTCCCTGCGTAAAAATTTAAACAATTCATGATATAACAACAACAAAAAAAAACACTAAATAATGTCTCTAAACGCTGGTGATAATTTAATAAGGTTAATTAGTAGATGAAGAATAATTTAACCGAACCGCAAAGAAAACCTCGAGTGAAGAGAATTCGTGAAAGCACAGATGTAATAGAGACAGAAGGACGTGGTAAGGTTCATGCTACCGATATTTTCGAACAAGCAACACCGTCGAAATGTAGTAAAAAAGCACAGAAATCAAACTAATAGTTCTCTCTATGCTTCCGGTTAGTTTCCCCTCCGATCGAAAGTCATATGTGTGAACGAGAAATGAAAATGAACAAATGGAAACTTGTGTTAACAGGAAAAACGTGCCCCAATAATCATTCGTTTTATTCGACTCGTGATCGAACACACCATGTTATTCTAATCGATTAATTAACTTATTCCAGACACATTCATACTAATTGCTACTAGAACGGCATGGAAAAAGTAAGCGAAATACGTGATATTTCGAATACTTTCCGTTCGCTAAAACCACAAAAATGTCGCATCTAAAGTGGCTGTGTCACTGTGTAAGGAAGGTCGTTCAATATGGAAAATATAAAATATATCATTCTAATCCTCTAAAAGTATAACTACCGTTCTAAACACGAGGTACAGGGAGGTATAACAAGACATCCAGGGGATTGCTCCAAGACATCTACACCAATGTGCAAAGAACATAGCAGAATCTAAATCGCCTACGAAAACTACATACTTGTTTATTTTGTAGCTTGATGCGACCACTGGAGCCCTATACCTCAGTTTCTTTCATCGGTTCCGCTGGCTATACATGATAAAATACTAAGTTAAATAAGAGAGTTGCAACCAGCGTATTTCGATTATTCATTTTGTACCTATCAAAAAATAATATTAACAAGACATTAAAAAAACAAAGGTGGTGTCTGTGATCTAGCATAGCAGACAGATTCATAGAGGAAATAATAAATATATATTATGTAAATACCGAGGTGGACATTCCAACAAGTGTAATAAAATCACGAAGGAACCACGAGGTGATAAGTGCCCTTGGACAACACAGCAACTTTAGATAGAACGACATAATATCTCGACCGGTCAACCATCGACAAATATATTTTGTTTCGAGTTTGCGGTAGAATCCAAATAGCCCGGATCAGAGGCGCTTACAAACAACAACAACAACACCAACAACTGTGGGCCATCGAGGGCGACAGCCAAAGGCCACTGAACATCATCTCATGCATTTGCTATACCTATCCAATGTCTAAACAAAGCACTACACTTGCTAGGAAATTTATCTAATGGTCGCTTTCGCTTTGCTCTGCGTTCATATACTATTTATCGATACCTATATTAGTTTACTTTAATTATAACTGTTATATTACAAACATTAAATGAAAATAAATAATGAAGTATTTAAACGAGTTAAGTAATAGTAATTCCTTATCGACAGTTTGTTCGTACGATAACAAAATTAAAGTAAATAATATAGGTATAATTCATTGTCGCGTGAATTAACTTTTATCGTGAAAATGAAGCATTAACAAAACGAAAAACTCAAAAAATATACTTGTTATCACCTTGATACCTATGAATGTTTGTTCGTTAGTAAATTTGTTCGTTAATGATATAAAAACATGCTAGGAATTAGAATAGGGTCGTATGTAGGAGAGGGTTGACTATTTAGTAGATCAAAAAGGATTCAAGCAGTTGCTATATTTTGTTTAAAATATCACCAACTTATTATTTTTCTTATAAGGAGAAGTTAATTGTATCGTTGATGTTTCCAGCAGTTCGTTAGTAAAGCGTTTAGCACCAGTTCAATGAGATTTTTGCCATACTAAGTAACTGTGAAAACGTTTTTAAAAAAAAATCACACGCAAACGCACAAAAAACGGAGCAATAACTCTCCCTATGATTGAAAAATTAGAATGCAAGAGGTCAGGTGTTTATCCACTGCTGGCCAATTGGTAAATAATTTATATGTTTGGCTTTTTTTCATCTACCAATGGAAACACATAAATATGACATTAGTATTATGTATAAAACATTTGCAGCAAGGCAATTTTATAATCTAATCGACAATATCAGTATGCTACGAAAACACTGACAACTAAAAAAACTGAACATTTTCGGGTGAATATTCCAAAACTCATTGAATTTCTTATTGTTTGGTTTTGTAATGTGTGTTGGAATTTTTTTCGGTATCAATGAGTTCTTCTCCATTAAATACTATTTGTTAATGATGTTTTTTATATCTCTTTCTAATTAATTCTAAGTAATTCTTATTTAAATGTCCACTAAATTCTTCAAATTTTTCGAACCCTCCTCCATTCAAAATGAATATGTTAGATAAAAATATTTTACAAGTGAAAACAAAACAAAACCAAACAATCTAAAAAAATAAGTATAATAAAACGAAAAGAGAGTAAATTTTTTTAAATAATTCACCCATGCTCAGTGATTAATTTTGCACACACATTGTCAAATTTCAAAAGCAGCACCATGCTGGTCAAATTAAGATCGTAAAAAAGTTGTTGGTAAAAGGAAAAGGACGAGACACGGGATGTCCTCAACAAAAATAAAATATTTATCAAAAATGAAAACGTAGTTAACGATCTATTTTAAGGAACTCGTTATACCGTTTATCGTTATGAAATTGTTTAAATACATGCAGAATATACTCGTTGAAAAAGAAACAAGAAAAAAAAAACGGACAAAACGAATTCCTATCAGATCTGATTGATTATTTTACTGAGCTCTGTTTTAAAAACGGATTTTTTTTTTGTCTTTCATTCAGATTACATATCTCATATAAATTAATAATATATTATCAGAAGGCACTGTTGTAGGATAGAGGTTGTCGATCGGCAGTTCGACTAACCTACATTCAAAATGACTCTGCCTAAGTGCTTCCTCCTACCTACTTGTGCTTATTTATAATTAAATTTGCATAATACATCGTAATTTTCACTTCAAAGTGGAAACCGATGCATATCGGATTACTTACCTGGGTTTGCAACCTAGTCAGACCTCTTATCCATAATATTTGACCTGCGCGAGGTTTTTTGTCTGACTCGAGGTCATATTTCTCTTCACCAATAGCAATCGCTTCGGTATATTCCTCCGGATGACCTCGACCCCATCTGCCACAACAGTTATCATGGTAAAAACTAATTCATTCAACATGCACATCGATAAGTAGGTGTTGAATAAGTGCCGTGTACTTACGAAAGAATCTTTGGAATTTTACTGGTCGGTACGGTGGTGACCAATTGGCCCCAAATCAGCGTTCCTATTCCGAAGAACAAGCACCATAACCATTGGTCGCTGTCCAAGCTGGTCGTGGAGAAAGCGACGCCTCCCAATTGGATGATCCCGACCTATAAACAATCATTAATTATAGCAAAATGTTTGTTTCAAACGATTGGTATCATTTACTTGTGCTAAGCACGTTCCGACCCATATACTGTAGAAAATGGGATTGGTGAATATTCCCTCGAAGACGTTCCTTTGGCCGTGAATTTTCCTCGCGTTGAATTCATTGAACAACGTCATCATTACGAACGAGTTGAAAATGACGGTGAAATGCTGAGTGGGGGGATGGCCGATGGCGACACCCCTGCCGGACTCGATATCCAAAAATTTATCACCTGCAAAAATAATAAAACATTCGTGAATGAATTCCGAGTCGAATTGAAATTGCTTCGAAACACCCACCTACAAAAAGTAGCGAAAATATCACCACCAATTGATAGACGGCTTGACCCAAGATGTTCTTCATCATGGTCCTGGAGATCAACGGCTTCGTCCTACCGTAGGGTTTCCTGAGAAGCAAATCTCCCGTAGGCAATTCCGTAGCCAGAGCCAAAGAGGCTAGCGTGTCCATGATCAGGTTGACCCACAACATTTGTACAGCCTGCGCATAAATATACATACTTTAGAAGCGAGCATTGTAAGGTCATTATGAAATGTACCTTTAGAGGACTGTCCTGAACTGCGCAAGCCCCAATGAAAGCTACGATGACGGCGACAACGTTGACAGTAAGTTGGAATTGCAAAAATTTAGCAATGCTGTCGTAGACGTTCCTACCCCACATTACAGCTTTGACGATACTGCTGAAGTTATCGTCAGTCAGGATGATATCTGACGCTTCTTTGGCGACATCGGTACCGGCAATACCCTATAAAAAACGAATTGTAGTAATTCGTTTATTAATATATTAATTGTGTTTACCATAGCGAATCCTACGTCGGCTTTCTTCAATGCCGGTCCGTCGTTAGTACCGTCACCGGTTACAGCCACAACTTCCCGGTTATCGCTAACTTTACTGTCGATGATACCTTTGACGAGCGTAAACTTGTCAGTCGGCGACGATCTCGCGAGAACTCTGAGCTTAGGCCAAACCTTATCGAGAAGATGCTGTTGAACCTATATCGAAGCAAACAACCGGAATTAGAGGAGGTCGAGTCCAAAACGAACGATGGGTTGGTTACCTCTCCAGCGCTGTCTCTGATCCTCCTGTTGAATTCCTTCCCTTCCAATATCAGGAAATCCTCGTTCGGCTTGACGATGCCGCACTTCGTCGCAATCGATCGAGCCGTGTTCACGTTGTCGCCGGTGACCATTCTGACGGTGATGCCGGCCTTCTGGCACTTCCTGATGGCGTCCGGTACCTCGGGCCTGACGGGATCCTCGATGCCGACGACGCACAGGCAGGTCAGGTTGTTGACGATGTTGCCCTCGTCGTCCCAATTGGGCTCGTTTTCGATGTGCACCTGGTTGATTTCGGCCTTGCCGGGCACGAAGTCCCTGTAGGCGAGGCAGATCGTCCGGAGGCCGTCGCAGGCCATCGGCTCTATCACTTGTTTCAACAATCTCTCTTGCATGTCCCTAGTGAATTTCTCTAGGCGGCCGTCGTGGCCGTAAATGAAGGCACACTTTTGTAATATTATTTCTGAAGCACCCTTGGTGAATAAACGGAAACCGCCGCCCTGGCGCGGTATCACCGTACTCATGGATTTCCTTACCGAGTTGAAGGTGTACACTCGAGTGAACGTTTCTTCCGGATAATCGTCCCTGACGGTTTGGTAGTTCTTTTGCAAACCGACCACGAAACCTAATAGGGCGCATTCGGTTTTGTTACCGACTTGCCTTAGTAGATCGCTACCTTCTTCCGGCGGCTGAACCACATTAAATCAAAGATTATACGAAAATTGCCTTACAAATGTTCTCGATACAACTTACCATGATGCGCGAGGTGTAAGCGCAGTTGATAGCGATGGCTTGAAGGATTATGTTGCCGACGTGAGCAGGGATATCCGAAAATTTCGGCATCGTTTTGCATAGTTGCTCGCAAATGTACGATTGCACAACGGTCATTCTATTGGTGGTTAGAGTACCGGTTTTATCCGAACAGATAGCTGTAGCGTTACCCATGGTTTCGCAAGCATCCAAGTGTCTTACCAAGTTGTTGTCTTTCATCATTTTCTAACAAAAAAAAACACGAAATATAAGTATAAAACGTATGAGCATGAAATTGAAGGCGTTTACTTTAACACTGTAAGCCAAAGATAGTGTGACTGCTAATGGGAGTCCCTCGGGCACCGCGACCACCAATACAGTAACACCAATAATCAGGTGGCGCACCAAATAGTTGGCGTACGAATTTTTCCAAGGCTCGTGATCGATGACGAAGGTCTTGATGCAGAATTGGATGATCAGTATGATGACGGTGAGCACGGCGATGGTGGAGCCGGCGTAGCCGATTTGTATGGCGAGCTTCGTCAGCTTGGCTTGGAGCACGGACTTCTCCTTCTTGCCCCGTTCGGAGGAGGACTTTTCGGCCGGCACGTGGTTCTCTTTGCCGTCTTGGACTTCGCTGGCAGGCTGGTCGTATTTGTTCGCTGTGGCGACCGGTGCTGGTGAATTGACGTGACTGTTGCCAGTTACGTTTTCTTCGTCTCCTACACACATGCGAAAAGCTTCGATAAAAACTTGTACGAGACTGCGGTTAATGTCGAACCAGAGATTCAATTTAAAGCGTTCATTTTTTAGTTTTGATTTTTATCTTATGTAATTAGAAACGAAACATTAGAGCCGGTTGTTCTTTTATTCGTTATAAAACTAGTGTAGGAATCTCTGTGCGAAAAACATCTATATTTACAAACAACATATCAATCAAGTTTTCTTCCATGCGTTAATTATTCGATGTGTTAGAACCGTATAGTTTTTTAAAAAGGCCATTTTAAATCAAAATTGATTCTTTTTTAATTTAACGTATTTTTTATTTAATCGTATAAAAATAAAAAAAATTATTCACCTGTTAAACTTTTCTTCTTCCGCTGCTTTTTAGCTTCTGTACAAAAACACATGCAAAAGGAAAACATTAGCAATCTCAAAAACACTCCCAAAGTCCTGACATGGGTACATCAATATAATGGTATATGATTGCTTTTGAACTCGTGTTCATTTACATCCATATACGCATAATATTCTTAATCGACAAGTATGCAGTAATAAAGCGGAAAAATAAATTAATCGTTCTATTCCATGCAAAAATTGGATTTGAACCATTAGATTATTAATCCGCCGAAATAGTATTACTCACAACATTAACGTATTGATATAGAGTGAGTGATTTTATCAATAAAATAAAAATAATTATCCTGTTAAAATAAATAAAAATAATAATTTAGTTTCTGATCGATTATTCGTTATATCATTGGGGAAAAAAGGTGAAAATTATACCCTACAGTAACCTTTGCAATTAAAAATACTTAGGATAGAGTAGCTATGTATAAAGGAGACTGTAAACATTGTATTAAAAAAATAATCTAGAATCAATAACAAAAACGAATTCAAGTCATTTCAAAAACTGATAGTAGTATTAATTTAAACGTAAAATCTGAAATGATTCTTACGATAAATACTAATCAGTTGTGTAAGATATAGTGTGTAAAGGTAGAGAACAGATTATTAGATGAAAACAGTCAATAGGGTGTGCAACTACTCATGGAAAATACACCTATTTTTATGCACGATTAAGCACGATTCATGAACACATGTGGATGTTCTCGATTAACAGTCAATTGAAAAAAAAAAAGAATTGCATCTCTTTCAAGAATATCCACAGTGTATGGAGGGGTAAGGGAAAGAATAAATAACCCATATATTCATGCTAACAGACTTAGGAAGTAACTCACCCTTCTTCATTTTCTTAATTTCCTGCTCTTGCTGATCGACAGCGGCGCCAAGGAGCGTGAAGATGATACCTGCCTGTGAATTAACACCAACTGCTGTAACCAACATTTTACCGGATCCCTCCATGACATGGGTACCCGATAACACCATGGGATCGAATGATTCTCCCTTTTTGACATGATCAGATTCTCCCGTGAGTGAAGATTCGTCTATCTGGAAATCGACAAGCGGATTTACCATCGCGTTAATCGGGTGCGATTGGGCGCGCGCGTACCTTTAAATCATTAGATTGTAAAAGAATTCCATCAGCTGGTAAGAGGTCTCCATATTTTATTTGACAAATATCACCTACAACTATATCACTGACAGAGACTTGTTTCACCTCTCCTTGTCTTATAACCGAAAACTTGTGTTCTCCTTCTATTCGATTTTGCAATCCTCTAAACTGTCTTTCTTTAGTATAGTCATTGAAGGCTGTTACGAATACTACTACTATAACTGAAATTAAAATTGCTAAACCTTCTATCCACCCATGACTCGTTTCATCATCATTGAATGCTGGAAAATTCGATAAAAAAACATTGAATTAATATAAATTTATATGTTACTAATTTTATGCTACTACATACATTGTAGTCGCATTATTGTACAATCTATGAACTATAACGAATCGAACAAAAATAGAAATAATTTAGAAAATCGCTTAAAGCATTTTACGTAGATGTGACTAATTTATCCAGCTATTGATTTAAACGCCACACCTATTATCATGGGACTGCAACCAAGTAATTTATGCATGAAATGATAACAATTCTGAAATATTGCCTATTGCCAATTTCATAACATCCACAATTTTGTGCACGTACACATTGCAGAAATATCTGAATAATTCCAACAATATCCTCTCTACATGTTAATTTTCAATATGAACTCTAATGCGTAGGGCTGGAATTCCCATATTCAACGATAAATAGATAAAAAATAAATACATTTTCATTATAATAGAGCGGATGTATGTATTATTAGATATCCCCTTAATTATAATCTAAATTGAATTCCGGGCAAAATGAATTAATAACGGCCTAAATATTTAAATTAACATGAGTTAATTAAACAATTATTGCAAGCTACTACATACTCTAAGATAAAAAAATATAAAAATTGTAGAAGACTAATTGTTGTCAAATTCGTACTTATTAACTTTATACTATAACTTTGCACATTAAGGTAAGATAATTTTCTCAGAGGTCCAGATAGCGGTTGTTCTACTAACACATTTAATTCAAATGACTCACGTGTGTCTTCTAAAGCAGGCTGATAAAAGGAAAGCAGTAAAGAAACTATAGCTGCTACTTCTAGAATAATGAGGGTTATGTCCTGTAAAGCTTCCCATACTAATTGTAAAAATGTTTTTGGAGGTTTCGGAGGAATTGAATTAGACCCAAATGTTTCTCTTCGGTGATCGAGGTCTACCTGTGATCCACTAAGTCCTGAAATGTTCAATGCATATATTATTTAATATGAAAAATACGATTAGCAATTGTACTAGCGGCGTTTCTCTAATTTTTACCTTCACTGGGCGATGTGTACAATTTTTTACATATTTCTTGAGTTCCACCTAATTCTTGAATTTTAGCTATTCCATCTGGGCCCCTATGTTCCATAAGGTCACGTACTTGTTTCAAGGTAATTCCATATTGTGCGGGACGGCCGTCTATCGTAGCCATATTCCACTTCGAAATCTGCAATTGATAATTTCATTCAAATTAAATGCACGCCCAATAACAATATCGTTTGCTTTCTTGATTCTTGATCAACTTTTAGGTTATGTATTGTCGTATATAAAATAACACAGGAAGAGGTGACAGATGACATAAGTGACAACACGTCATGATTTTATTTGATTGGCAGCCATCAATACCCATACAAGGCCACATGAAACAAGTAAATACGAAATTATAATTTTTAAACAATTCGATTTTTTTTTCATGTTTTGCATATTTTTGGCATAAAATGAAAATACCGAAGATAAATAAAACGTATTGTTAACTTCATAATATTTCATATCATTTAACAAATAAATTTATTAATAAAAATTCGTTTTTTTGCAGGTAGGTACACACGTAATCTGTAAGTTATAAAAATGTTTTTTCTAAAGGATAGATAAAAGATAACTAGATTTAATAGATAGAACATGAGCAAATACTTAAAAAAAAGAAAATTTCCAAGGCAGGTATATTTAAAGGAATCTCAAATAAAATATTTCTTTATATCCATTTTATCTAAATTTTTTTAAAGATAATCGATTATTATCGATCCTATTTGCTCACATACATAAACGTTATTACATAAGTTGGTAGGTACCCATTATTATTATTACGTACCATAAATATGACGATAAATGTAATTAATAAGAATTATTACCTTGCATAAAACCAATCTAGTACAAAATCAACAACAATAAATTCGGTATTTCTCCGAATATACGACTCAACAAAATAGACAATAATGAATAATGTAATAAGAAATTAAAATTAACCCACCGAATAGTAGCACTAAAACAAAACCAAACAGAAACTTTATTGGTTTCTGGTCAACATTAGTGAGTTTTCCAGTGATTTGTTCACCGAACTGATCACATTCAGCATGAGTAACTGAACTTAGCACAATTATGATTGTGATTTTATTATCAAGTGTTGACGTTAATTTCTTATCTTCAACTTAAATTAATAGTGGCCTTCTTCAAAGATAATATCTGCCGCACGTCAATTCCAATTATTGTGGCATTTTATCAAATTAATTTAAAACTCCATTATGAAACACTTATTTTTATTTTACCAAACAGGTACTTAACTGCTAAACTTTAATGGCCTTGTATAATCTGAATTACACCATTATAAATTAATTCTTTTAATTACTTATTTGAAGAGAGATTTCGGTTTTTAGTATTCCAGTATGCACAAGTTCTAAAGTAACTTTTAAGCTCGTTTATAATTGTGCGTAATAATTTTATCTATTTGAAAAGCATAATTTTTTCCACTTTTTCGCAGATAAGACATCAGGTACTTGATAACAATAATCTCGATATTACCAACTCGCTGGTAAAGCAAATTTGCCTAAAATTTAATATATGATGAAAATTATTTATAATGCCTAACTTTTTACGATCATTGTTATTATAAAAATTCTTATATTTGTTCCTATTGTACTTTTATTGCAACTACTTAAGTATATGCAATAAAAAGTATAATCTTTGGTTATGTGAAATTTACAAATGTAAGACAATGTTGTAATTTAGGTTAAATATAATGATATTAATTATACATTAATAATTACATGAGTTTATTTTGCTTTGTCCGAAACATTATCTCATGTTTTTCAAGACCAATTTATTTACTCGAAGCCAATGATTCATTATAACAAGAAAAATATGATAAATCCAAAGTTCCTTTGAAGTTAAACAATACAGCATCTAAAGAAATCTACCTACTTACTTTGATATTTTTTCGTTATAAATAGATATCTCAGTAGTAAGTTATCAACAAATATTTATTTTTTAACAGATAAAATTAATCAATGATTGATCGCCTAAATTGATTAAAGCTTTCCAATAATCAATTACATAATTGTATAATAAAAAAATATATAGAGCAGCTTATGCAAGTACTACAACCGTAGATGCTACTAAACAGTCGGTTTATTAATTTAATTTAATATGCAAATAAATAATAAATCCCCGTACTATTTACACAATCACGCGGAGCCATCAAAAAGAGCAATCGAAAGAAATAAATGCCGGATTTAATATCTTTTTAATTGAACGGCGCGCAAATTTCGATCGTAAAATCCAAATAAATACAAACAAAAAAATTAATAGTCGAATTATGAAAGCAAACAGGCCGGGCCGTTTAAGAAAAATCGCGGAATATGTATCTCCGAAATTTCCCCAATTTCGTCAACCAGAAAGGGCCAATTACCGCAGAAAAGGGCTGAATTGATGTTTACGCGTTCGAAGCTGAATACTCCACGAAATAAGTGGTAAATTATGCCCATATAATATGTAAAAGCTAATGAAGAATTTAAAGTGTATATAGGTGTGGTGTTTTTGGTAGAAAATGGCACACGTACATTCGTAAAAATAGAGGCGGCGCAATCAATACTGATAACGAAGTGGACGTGGATATATTGCATTATGCAGCCAATTTCACTCCCAAACGAAAGCTCGTTATTATCACTCGATAATCCCGCAATAAATCGATGCATTTTAATCGAAGCTAATGTAATTATATGCGGTTTCCAATAAAAAGAGCTACGGTGAAATTGCTTGATTTCCCGATTGCAAATATACCCAGTAGGGAGATAAATTCGATGAGTAAATAACAGTATAAACGTTCATTCACAAATGGGAAGCGTTTATTTTAAATTATTGCAAGTACAAATTCAATAACAATGCAAAATCGCGAATTATTCCGAACATTTCACCGCCTATTATAAATTATGCTTGATAATCAGATAATTGAAATTGCTGCCCAATTAAAACTGAATGCAAAATATAAATGCATGTATCAGCAATGTTTCAATAATCACAACAAACAAATAACTCATGTATTGATTTTTCGACAAAAGTTTATAAAGAATTTTTGATCAAGGAATAAGATCGTAAACTCCGACCATCGAGTTATGGTATATTTAAATTTGAAAGAACAAATAAAATTAGGAATTAGCAACGAATAACAAAAAATGCGAATCGGTAAAATATTACATAAAGTATAGGCATCTTTACAAAATGCCTGTCCTATTTTTAGCCGTCCGACTAATAGGAATACACAATTCGAAATAACAATATAAACCAGCAAACCAGACGGAAAATATATCGAAAAAAAAAACTGTTACAGAAAGCAGACGAATTAGGAATCCGCAAATTACCTTGTATCAGTTACACGACGAACACGAAATACCGGCGAAGCCACTCGACATTTCTTACGCATTACCGAATCGACGTGTTTGCTTATTTATTATTTTCCTGCACTCCGTCCGTACGTAAAATTCATGCGACAGCGACAGGACGCGGGGACGTGATCGCCGGTCGCAGGAGACTCGGGCGACTGCCGAACCGCCGAATTTCTCGATCACCAGGAGTCGGCCCGCAGGTGGAGCGCTTCGGTTAATTTTGAATTTACGAACGCCTATCCGGGATTCGCATGGGAAACAAACCGGATAGGAGAGATCGAAATAAATACAAATTTCGTGTACCACGAGCAATTAAGGGCTTGGCGAACGGGGTGCAGTTCACCAGCTCGCTTGGGATTCGTTTTTTTGAAACGTTTCGAATGGTTATAATTATTTATTTCGCCCGTTACTCTCGAAACATCTGACCCGGACGAACTTGCGATCCTGCCAAGTCTTTGGACATCTCGTTGAATTACGAATCTGCCAGACGAATTCTCACAACAAATATTCAAAACCGTTGAAATTTTTTTTTTATTTCGCGCTCTATACAGAAGGATATTTAGGTACTTATCAACTATTACTATAAATAAAAAAAACGATAATAATATTAGCGTAGGTCATTAGACAATCGACTTTCGGAAATTATCGCTTTATAACGACATATCTAAACAATTTAACAAAATGTATTTTAATAGTTTTTACTGTAATTAGGACCAGTTTGAACAAATCACATTAGGTGGAAAGGAAAAATTACATAAAAATGGTATTACCATTACAAGCTAGTTTAATCATTAAACTCTTGCTATACCAATAGAGATAAAACGAGGTAATTTATGGCTATATGAATTAATTGGAATTTATGTACTTAACGCAGAATTAAAATGCGAGGGTGTAGATAGTTTAACTTAATCGTCAATTATGTCATCTCACAGGAAAGTTAAAAATGCGTAACTTACCAATTAACTGATGCTCCATAGAAGTTAGAGATATAGCATTTTAACACTGAAACAAAAATATCAAATTGTAGCAATCATGGTTCCCAATATCCCGGTTTCGTTTGAGAAAAAGAATGCGGCGAATTAATGCGGTTTCGAGCCGAGAGATAGATGAGAAAAATCGACAAAACACCTGGTGTATCGCGGTTATGAAAGGTGCAAGACCCATTAAGTATGGGTATATTTAGAACCAGCTCGGCGACTGCTATATGCGGCAAAACGTGTAACGGGTAACGCAGGTTTTCTAATGAAACATCCTGTACAATTTCTGAATCGACGAAATTGTTCCATGTCGACAATTACCTTTGCGCGTCAGTTGGATAAAATTATACCAATTATGCTCCTAATGCAGCGTGCGTGAATTTTTATTTAAAAATTCACAATTCGGATTATGAAAGTTTCAATTATTAACCTTGGCATCACAGTTGTGTGTGTGTGCGTTAGAACTAACTACCCGAGCGTGTTGATGTAGATGAAAATATGCCAGGACTCGAGTCTATTACATAGTATAAAAATATAAATTTGTTATTTCAAAAAAATGTTAAACAAGGGAAGTTTATCGACCGAGAAAATCACTTCTTATCATTCGAGTACTTTAACTACAATGTGCCTTTGAAAATAATTTACATTGTAGGTTGGGTAACTTTTAATATTTCATTAGTCACGACTACAAAAATTCGCAGAATAATCCATACTAATAGAAACGTTAATACAATCCTAAAGCGAATTTAAACAGACAAAATTTGCAGCTTTTTCGCGGATATTTACAATTCATTAGGCAATAAACGATAATTAGCATAATCGCACTTGGAAAAAAAAAATGATTCTAGTAAAATTCGATTCTTTCTTAATACACCTATAGTATCAGACTTTTATATTTAGAACGGCGATTTTATTTTTAGCGAAAACGGCGAGCCTTTCAGTACGCATGCGAAATATCAGGGGATCAGAAACGAGTTTGACACGATCGAAGCGATTCGGATTTTATCAAACAAAATTCCGGCCGAACGGGTAAATGGAAGAAAAACGGTAATTAAACGGTCCAGTACCAGTTCTGGTTGGCTCGGGAAATATCTGCAATGATGTCACGATCGGCCTAGACGAATTCCAACGTAGTTAATTATGATGTGATATTTATAAAGAACCTCGTGGAGAAGCTCATGACGTGGAAGCTCATTGGCTTAGCGCTAATGCGAGTCCGACACGGAGGTGCCACGTTCCCGCCGAGATCGCCAGCCCTACATAATTACCTTAGATATCATTTTCTAGCCATTTGTCTATATCTAATGGACGTCGATTATTCGATTTTCAAATGACCTTTTAATGGTGATTAGGAACAACTATTCGGACGTTGTTGAATGTTGAATAAACATCGGCTTACGCTGCTAACGAGCTGATGATGAAATACAACAATGCTGGAAAGATTAAACATTCTCCGAATTTGAATGGCGAATTACGTCGAGAACCGGCCGAATTCCCCTGGATATTACGTAGGCTAATAGGGATTATTTATGAGTTGTAGTTCCTGGGATTCCTCGACAAGGACACTCGACTACTAATCGATGATTTTTTTAATCGAATTTTAAGCCGATCAAATCCCCAAACAATCAAATTCGAAATAGATGACTCTCGTACCATATTCGATTGTCATTAACGATTAATCGATTTTTAATTCGATGTCGAGGTGTCGGGAAAGCCCGTGAAACATGACGATTCGGGGAGGAGAAAATGCCAGAGGACATACGTGGCAACGTCGGTTAAACTGGGCGATGCCGTGGACTACACCTGAGACATTTCGACGGTAATACACCGACATAACGATCGATCGTGATGCACTGTTGCCGCATCGGACGGAATTCCGAGTTCTCGCCACAGCGATTTCCATCGTTCGTTGCTCGTCGGCTTCGCCGTTCAAATCGGCGTTTATTTGTTTATTTATAAAGCACAATAACGGCTAATATTACGTTTTATGTAATTAGGTGCATTGTTAATTGGTAATAAAAAAAAACAATTTGACAACACCGAATTATCAATACAAGGCGAGCGTTTCCACGAAAATCGAATCGAAAGGCCTATTTACCTGTTACCTTTTCCTACTATCGTCAATTCAATGCAATACAAACATAATATTAGCGTAAATAATCGCAAAAACCACGTGCTTAAGGAACTTTGAGAATTTAACAACACATCCTCGCTATTCACCGGACTGCTTCAAACATATTCATGTAAAGAAGAGGAAAAAAAACTAGTAGTTGAGTATGATTCACGATCATTTAACGACCTGACCCACTTCCGATTTCGAAGACGTCACGACAAGAGTAGACAACATAGAAAAAAAAAACGAAACTGAGGGAATCAGGCCGAAAAAAACGATCATTAAATCATCGGATCGGACGCGCCATGGCGACAAACCCGACCGAAAATAGCTATTAAAAATCCAGCACGTAACGAGACCGCAACACTTACTTTGCCTGCCTTATCCAATATGTTTGCGATAGCGGTCGCCCCAATGCCCGTCGCAGTCCCGTCGAACAGTCAGGTTAACATCGGTCGCACGGCACGGAATAAATGCAGCTAGGCGCCCTGCAACGCACCCGATCGGTTATCACTGCACGCACGCAAACTTGACTCGCCGCACGTCGCAACGCAACAACGCCGCACTCCGATGCCTCCTCGCTAGCTGGGTGGCTCTGCCGCGCTGCCCAATGGTCGAGGCCGCGCGTCGCGCTTCAGCTCGCCGCCGTCAGGGGCGCTCCTGGATGGCGGCGGGACGCTCGAATCGAGACGGCTTCAGCGAAAATCGATGTCGGCTTATCGGAGATTTACGAAACGGATCAACATAAATATTCAAATTGCCGGTTAGTTGAGATAAGTGATCTTGGATATGTGCTCCTTGTTTAATTATGGCTTTATGTTCTTTTGTCAATGTCATTATTGTCAATGTTCCGTGTCTTATCGGTTTCGTGTCGTATTAATTTATTTATCACAGTAATTAATATTTGAATTTGTTGTTCTAAAATTATGTATAAACAAATAATATACCCGATATGTTCATGCAGTAATATTGTTTCGGGTGGCCTAACGATTAGTCATTTTATCACCATCGCACACTGATCCATTGTGCGTTATAGAGGGCGAGAGAGCGAGTTATAGATTTACCGCCGACCTTAGACCGTAATGTCGTAATTAATTCATTCGATTCGCATAATTCTATATTTGAAATTGGCAAGGCGACAATAGCACGTCTCGAATTACATAAATATATATTTTTTTGAAGTGGCATACGGTGCGCTATCTAGCGATGATTTCGACGAAACGACGACAGCACCGTCGCGACGTCGAGTAGCGGAAATTCGAGCGCAAGGATTTTCCGACAGGTGGCGCCACTAAAGTGAAGCGCCCGGTCGGTAACGAAAATCGTCGGGAGAGCGAATTTGCCGACTGGTGGAGAAAATCATTTTGTAACGTTTTAACGCTTGATGCATAAAGTTATTTCGGACGGTTCGAAACTCTCCGTTCGAGAAGTAAATAAAAAAGTCGGGCGCATTTAATGGATAGCGGCGACGGTGCGTACGTATTCAGCGTTCGGACGGATTTGCGCGAGGCAGTTTGAATTTCGCCGTTGTTTTTCGAATCTTATTGGCTCGCACCTTCGCAGATATCGAACTGTAGTGCAATGTGATCACGTAATGGCGGGTAAGGCGTTACAATGGAAATTGGTGGCGAATCCCACTGGACCTCAGCCCCGGCCGAGACACGGTCACCGTGCCGTCGCAATTAAAGATTTGATGGTCGTATTCGGCGGCGGAAACGAGGGAATCGTCGACGAACTTCATGTTTACAATACAGGTAAAAAAAAAGTGAAGTTTGATGCTTCGCATCGCATTCCGGATTCTAATAAATATGGCGCGCGTTTATTTTGTTATTGTCGTTCGTAATTCGTTTAGAGCGTATTATCTGCGATCTTCTGCCCTTATTGTTGCGTTCGTAATTGAAGTGGGTAATTTGTAAACTATCATAAATGTCATTTTCGCTGAGTTTTGTTTGGCTTGTAAGTCAATATGGCGGCGCGCGTACACAGAAAGCAGCGACATAGTAAAGCGTCCGGGAGAATTGGAATTAAAAAAGTAGCGTCTATTTCAATTTATACACATAGTACATACACTTTATAATATGTGTATGTGTTTTGAAATCTAACTGGGAGTCGCTGGCATTTTGCTCTTTATTTTTATTTTATTTTTTTAAATAAATTTTTCTTTTCGTATTGCCTTGTTTAGATTTGTTAGATGATTTTGAACTTGGACTTACAAATTTTTGAGCAATGCTGAAAATAAAGAAAAACTCTCCGTACATCAAAATTTAAAACTACCTATATTAATATAGGAAGTATAATTAGAATTTTTTTTGTACAGCAACGAATCAATGGTTTGTGCCAGTTACGAAAGGAGATGTGCCTCCAGGATGTGCAGCATACGGCTTCGTCGTGGAAGGAACCAGATTACTGGTGTTCGGAGGAATGGTAGAATATGGAAAGTATAGCAATGAATTATACGAATTACAGGTACAATTCAGTAATAAATGCAACCTTGGATGTTTCTCTAACGCACGCTTTGTATTTTGAAGGCCTCTAAATGGGAATGGAAGAAATTAAAACCGAAACAACCGAAATTGGGACCGCCGCCTTGCCCTCGTTTGGGCCACAGTTTTACCCTAGTTAATGCAAAAGTGTACCTATTCGGTGGTTTGGCTAATGACAGTGCAGATCCGAAAAATAACGTTCCGAGATACTTGAACGATCTATACACGTTAGACATCAGAAGCAATCCCGTGCAATGGGACATACCGCAGACGAACGGACCGGCTCCTCCTCCCCGAGAATCTCACACCGGCGTCGCTTATTCCGACAAAAAGAAAGGGCGATCGTTCCTGGTTATCTACGGTGGGATGAGCGGCTGCAGGTTGGGTGATTTGTGGTTTTTAGAAACGGAAACGATGACTTGGTTGAAACCGCAAGTGTCTGGTATAACTCCTTTGCCTAGATCTTTACATACGTCAACATTGATCGGTCATAGAATGTTCGTTTTCGGCGGTTGGGTGCCCGTCGTGGCCGATGAAGTTAAAACGGCTACGAACGAGAAAGAATGGAAGTGCACCAGCACCATGGCATGCCTTAATTTGGAATCGATGAATTGGGATGAATTGAACATAAACGCCGATTCCGAGGCTACGCTGCCCTGCGCTAGGGCTGGCCATTGTGCCGTCGGAATTAGTACTAGATTGTACATTTGGTCCGGTCGAGATGGTTACAGAAAAGCTTGGAAAAATCAAGTAAGTACCAACGTCTCATAAGTGTTTGAATAAAAAAAAATCACGTTGATTTCGTAGGTTTGTTGTAAAGATTTATGGTACTTGGAAGTTGATAAGCCTCCAGCCCCTAGTAGAGTTTCACTGGTGAAAGCAGGAACACAATCCCTCGAAGTAAATTGGACGGGCTCGCCATCAGTTCAAACCTATATTTTGCAGGTAGATGATTTGTAATAAGTGAATAAGGATTGAAATAGTATACATCTTTTTTTACAATCTACAGATACAAAAGTACGATTTGCCTCCACCGGTAGCGACGACATCGAAGCCTGTTCCTGTTGTTCAACCAGCCACAGCGTCATTAGTGACGTCGCCAACGCCGAAAATTGGCCAACCTGTTTTAAGTATTTCTCCTTCAACTCCCGTAGTTGCCCCAAAAACGCCTACGCCCCAAGTAGTGACGCCAAAAGTTGTAACTCCCGTTAGTAAAGGTAATTGTACAATGACATATGAACTTTTTAAAACTAATTACAAGTTCTAATAAATTAGGTCAAACGCCCGTCAAGCTGAGCACAACTGGTACTATCATCAGACAAGCTTCTCCTCAACAAATCACTAGTTCCGGAAAACAGCTGATAGTGAAACCTGGAGGAAATGTAATACAGAAATCTGGAAATGTTCAACAACAAGTTGTAACGTTGGTTAAAACTAGCACAGGTAATATTAGTTAACGGTTAGTTGAACACAAAACGAATATTGTAATTTATTAGGAATGACCCTGGCGACACTACCAAAAGGAGGCAATATTGTCCAAGGAAAGACGAATGTACTACCGCAACAACCTAAAAATACTATAGTAAAAATTGTTCCCAGTAATCCGTCAAATAAAGTTCTTACAACTTTAAAAACGATCCCTTCTAATATGATTCAAATGAATAAAGCTACAGGAAAGTTGGTCTTTTCGAAAGGAGCAACAGGTCAGCTTCCTTCTATAGGTAGTATTTATGACGTAAATTAGGCGAATTATCCCTTCTGACACATTTCTTTGTAGGTAACCAACAAGTTTTAGTTGTAAGTTCGAATGCAGGTTTGAAGAATATACAAACATTAACGAATGCTCAAGCCGTAAACTTAGGAAATGTCAAAACCACGTCTATCAACGCCCAACCTGTCGTAACCGCTTCCTCGTTAACTAATCTACAAGGCGTTAAACTCGCCGGAAAACCGATCACTATATCTATGCCTATGCAAGTGGTCGGTTCCCCAAAGACTGTCACCCTCTCCAAGAACACGGTAATTTCTACAAGCGTTTCTATTCCAAGGTGTATTACTCATGCATTGCTGGTCTCTTTAGAAACAAGTAATGATTGGAGGAAAACAAGTAACAGTCCAAATGGCCGGCAGCGGTAACAAGACCCTGACTTTAGTCCAACCGAGCCAAGCGGGCGTCAGCAAAATCGTTCGTTTGCCCATAAGTTCCACGGTAAACCAATCGAACAACACCGAACAGCCCAAATTAATGGTGGTATCCAGGCCCAAACAACCCACTGCCACTATAGGTAGATATTTTCGACGGTTTCATTGCAAATGTCTAAAATTTATGGTGTTTTAGCGTCGACTTCTTTCGATGGACCGGCCACAACGGACGCCGCCCTGGCGGCATTGGCAGCAGAAGCGGGCCTCATCGATCCCGAGCCCTCCAAACCGGACGGCGTGGAACTCGACGTGGATATGGGCGAGAAATCGATAGAAAACGCGGACGAATCCGGCAACAGCGCCGAAGAGATGACGTCCGTTTCCGCCCCCATGGAAGCGGCTTCCGGCCTTTTAGGAGGTTCGATAATGCAATCGCTCGGGCTCAAAGGCGGCTCCAAAACCGTACAGAAACCGCCCAAAGGATTTAGGTAAGGATTTTTCTATACACAAGTACTTGTGGATAATGAGTAGTATTTAATAGGTTTCGCATGGGTTTGTACGGAGGGAGTAAGGATCAATTAGAGAGCGGAATGAAATCGTCAACGACAACTGCCGAGGCCGATTCGACGGAGGCCACGATGAACGGCTCGTTGAAAGCTATCAATAGCGAGGAGAGCGACAAGATGGATTTGGACGTGAATATAAAATCCGAAGTGGACGATAAGGGAAACGATACGGAGAACGAGGAGATTTCGGAGGCGAATAACGGCAATTTATTAGATACGACCGGTTCGAATCCGTCCAATTTGGATGAGAAAATGGATGCCGAGAGCGGCTTGGAATGCACATTGGACGGCAATTTGCGTTCGAGAAGCGACGAATTGCTTCACGATATCAAAAAGGAGGATAACACGAGCGACGATCCGTTAGCTGCCTTAGCCTCGGCGGCCTTAGATCATTCGAAAGAATTAAAAAAGACTGAAAACAGCGACTCCGATCAGACCGTCAAGGACACTTGGTATACGGTCGGTTTCATCAAAGGTAACAGTTGCGACGTGCAGAGCTACTTTCTCCTCAACGACGACACCCTGGACCTCTCCTTGAACAACCTGCCTGAATTTTTGAATTACCCGAAAATCAGCCTGGAGCCCGGCACCGCGTACAAATTCAGAGTGGCCGGCATAAATTCCGTCGGCAGGGGCGAGTGGAGTGAGGTACGTACATTTCAAACGTTTATGTAATACGTAAATGCTTTAAAGTTCTCGTTTCGTTAGGTTTCGGCCTTCAAGACTTGCCTGCCAGGATTTCCGGGTGCGCCGTCTGCTATTAAAATAGCCAAATCCGGCGACGGAGCGCACTTGTCTTGGGAACCGCCCAGTGCCAATCAAGGCGAAATTCTTGAATACTCAGTGTACCTGGCTGTTAGGGGAAAAGTAAGTGCCGCTATCTCTTAGCACCATTTCTCAATTTATTACATTCGTTTTGTTTTTAGGATAAAGCTAATCCTCCTGGTCAATTAGCCTTCGTTAGAGTATATTGTGGACCAAGCAACCAATGCGTCGTGACTAACACGTCTCTATCGGCTGCTCATCTCGATACAACAACAAAAGCAGCGATTATATTCCGCATTGCTGCTAAAAATGACAAAGGATATGGACCAGCAACGCAAGTCAGGTGGCTGCAAGGTGAGTTTACTTCCCTTTCCTCGTTTAATGTCATGTTGTGAGTTGTTGGTCGATGTATTAATTATATTCTTTTTTTTTGCAGATCCACAATCTACAAATAAAACGACTAAACGATTACCGGAATCGCAACAACAGACAATTAAAAAAATTAAGTACGAAAAGGACGATATGTAAGATCATAAGACACCTTAATAGGAATTGCAAAAGTTTTTTTTTGTGTGTTTAAGCAGAATCAAAATATTTGTTGGTAATATTTTAGACTTTTATGAGTTTTTCGAGCTCAATAATGGTGAAATAAAAATAAGTAAAGATGTCGATAATTACCTCTTTATGCGTTTTTACCAACATGAAAATAATTCTTCATTTTTACAAAATGTAAAGTAGTAATTATATCCAACATACCAATTTAATGAGTATGACATAAAAAAATAAAGGGCTACATTTTTATTTTTAACCTATAGCCTATTTCTTATTCTACAAAATTATTAATGTTTTTATAGATTTTAATTTGTGTAATCCATGCCATTGGATTTTTTGTACAAAGTACGTGAGTGCGAGTGAAAATGGAACTGACGAGACTGTGAAACATGATTTTATTGAATTTTTTCTCTCATTCATTCTACAGCTCCGGTGTAAATTTAAAAATTGTTTGTAGTAAAAGTAAAGAACATACATTTTTTAGGTGCTTATGCATAAAAATATCACAGGAATATATGCGAAATAAAATGTTTTTTAATATTGAGCGAGTATCGATCTATCACATGCTAGCTCGCTATAGCCTGATAGAAATTAAGTTTATTTAAGACAAATTGACAGTATAAACATAGATTCTTATCCTTTTTTTTTTATTCAATTTGCTCGGTTTTAATTTCGCAAGATTTTTACATTAATTAGAAACTGTGTTTATTTTAAATGTACTATTTTTCTACAGTTTAGCTTTTAGTTGAGATTGTTTATTCATGATATGTCATGTATGATTTAATAAAAACTATTGTAAGAATATGGTGTTAGAAGGAGTCATTTCAAATGTTTATAATACCTACTAAAAAACTAAATATTTGTACAATGTATATATAATGAGATGTAAGTTTAATTAAAATAATACAGTTAAATTATTTTTATTTGATAAATAATAGTGAAATTTGTTTTAAAAAATCGCCAATATATCAAACGAGGATTTTGCATAATGTATTCAAAATCTTCGTATGAAGAAGTTCTATAATACATACATTCATTTGTCACTAGGTAAATAGGAATATATTTCACAGTTGGATGTAGGTCTCATTTTTTTTTCATTTTTTTTATTGGTCCTTTATGTAATGTTATCAATAAAGTCCATTTAAGTATTATTTTCTTGTTTAGTTTAGGCTAACTTTCCTAATTTTTGTGTATGTAAAAAGTTCCAATTACACTGCACATTACTTTTATGTTCCTCGGGTAGTTAATATGCAATTCATTGTATATAATTGTACATTCATAGTAGGTTGTCTGGTATCGTTTTGAAGATTAGCTTTTTCGTATTTATGATATATATATAATTGTTCAATTAATTGCTGATTTTTTGATCTTTTACATTTAAAATAACTTATGCGCATTTATATAAATTTGTTATTTTACCAGTTTATTGTCAACGGAGCGACCAAACGCAAGTGACTTGGTCGTTTTCTTGATTGTGGATTTATTTGTAATAAAATTTTATTAAAATTTATTACCGCTCTGTTTCAAATTTTTTAATAGATTTTAATTTCGATTTATTTGTGTAATTTATGTTGCCTACTTGCTCTTTAATCACCTGATGCACAGAACAGGCGTAATCATTAAATCAGACCTGCAATTTTATGTATGTTCTGTGATCTAATGCGATACTACCGCCACCTACTATAGGAATTTTTTATTACGTGATTTATATTGGATATTTTATTTATAACATAATTATTTCAACTAACTGTGTTATAATATAAAATAGCCTAATATATTTGGTTTCATCACAGTAAGAATACTCTTTCACAGAAATTAATTACGATTAGAATTGAAAATCGTTAATCGTTACAAAATAGTTTTGTAGTAATCTGTGTTGCATAGAAAACTTGTTTTATTTACCTGAAAAGAATGGATAGAAATATTTGTGGATTAAATTTTAAAGTCGACATGATTTTTGAAATAATAATTCCAACTCGTAAATAAGTAAATATTTTTATTAAAACTATTGTTATATTATTAAATTTAAATAATTCCGTTAATGAGGAATTACTTTTTGATGCGCATGTAATTCCGATCGTGGTTATTCGATCTATCCATGTCAAATGTCATTTTGGTGGCAATGAGAGTAGGATGGAGTAGGGTAGGGGAGCAGGTCGAGAGCGAGCGAAACGAACGCGCTAATAAGAATCTGTCAGTCAGTCGGAAACGGAACGCAGATCGCAGAATGGAAGAAGGGAATAAAGAATCGAGTTTGTGAATCGTGTTGTGACAAACAGTGGGATAATAACACCGCAGCACCGGGGTTTCGAGTCGTCTCGCTGGAAGAAAGGAAAGAAGCGTTCCCGCTTCCCCCGAATGCATAGGGGATAGGCGGCTCGGTCGAAGCAACAGGCAACAGGGCCAATTCTCTCGGTCGTATATCGTATCGGTTCAGTTGAATCCCAGTCCTGTAGCAGCGCGTTCGTCGTCGCGCGGCTCCGCACCAAGACCAAGAGGACATTCGAGTCCGCGCTTTTGCGTCAATGAAAAAACCAACGATAACAACCGTGTGATATTTCGACAATAACGCGCCGCGACTACCACCGTCTACACGGAAGTGCCTTAAATTTCGCACGATGGCGCTCAACCAAGACGAGGCGAAGCAAGTGCTCAGAGTGGACCAGGACTCGGAGACCGATCTGAAGGCGCTCTTCGACATCGTCCTCAAGCCGGACTCGAAGCGGCCCTTGCAGGTGCCGTGGAGCATGCGGAAGCTGCCCGATTCGTTCTTCAACCCGCCATCGACGGGCTCCAAGTCCATCAACCATTCGCGCGAGAACTCCGTCGACTCCGCTTTCGGCGGCGGCGGCGGCGGCGGCGCCGGAAGCGGCTCCGGCTCCGGTGCCGCCGTCAATTCGGTGCCGTTGCAGACGGCCCATCACAGGGCGCACAGCTCGCCGGCCTCGCTGCAGCAGACCTACGCCGTCGGCCAGCAACAGGCTCCGGTCCATCACATAAAACAAAGGTCGTACGACGTGGCCAGCAAAACCGAGGATAACACCCCCTTGCCGCCCGGATGGGAACAGGCCCGCACCCCGGAGGGACAGGTGTATTATTTGAAGTGAGTATACCTGTTCTCTAGAATCTACAATTCTCTCTTCTGCTCCGTTCCGCGTTTCTTTCGTCCGATCGCCCCGCTCAGGGACGGCTTTGTTTGTTTGTTTTTTATTATTATTATTATTATTTTTGTTTATTTTATTTACGCACTCTCGTCGTGCTGGGATTTTCCCTGAATTAGGTTTCATTTAAGGATTCTACCACTTCGTCCGTTTTATTCGATTCAGGGACGGCTTTGTTTTTATTTACTCGTTCTAATTTAAACAGGAGCGTACTCGCCCAGTTGGCATTATTAATAGTGAAACGGGCGCCTCAATTGTTAAATTTGGGTCACGCTGTAGCAACGGGTCATTTACATTTATCTATTTATTTACTTAATAATTATTCCGGCTAGACTAAACACAATTTATTCTTAAAGTCATTATTAATTTAGTGAAAGTATAAATATACATACATACGTGTTGCAATTAAAAAGCGCTCCGTAATTAATGAGGATTTATCGCCAATTACAATTTAGGATTTTTGTAATTGCTATCGTAATTTTATTCGGATTTGTTTGTTTATGTGACAAAGGAAAAAACACTCCGTGCAAAGAACCAAAATATGGTAACCAAGTTTCAGAGTATTTGGGATTTTTAATCAATCTTTGGATGGTTTATTATTCATTATGGGTTGCACATTCCCGCGAAACCGGACCTGCACGGGTACCCTTTTTGTTCGGATTTATCCGAGGAGACCTGTTGATTTCTTCATTTCCACCGGCCGCTGAATCAGTTCAGGTAGTTCTAGGAGAAATATGATTTACGTGCTCTTTTCCAAGGACGCGTTTTCCTTTTTTTATCGATTCCTCCTTATCAACCCGTTTAATACTTTGTTTATATTCCATCGAGTACCTGCCTAATTAGCGCCGATTCGATGCCGAGATAAAAACCGATGAAAAATAAACATTGTTTTAATTTAATCGGTGCACTAAAAATAACTGAAGAGGCTCCGTAATAAATAATTAATATCGTCAATTCGAATATTACGCAGCGTACGAATTGTAATTTCGACTAGGAAATAAAAATTTCACCAAGATTTATGGGGTTGTTAACTCCGGGAATATCAGCTCTGCACGCTAACGATTTAATCAATGAACCCCCGTGACTCAGTTATTTTTGTTTGTATTGTAATCTAGGATATGAGGCATAATATACCTATATAAAACGTTTCGTGGACGATGTAAATTGGGCGACAAAAGGAGGACTGTAGATTGTAATCCTATAGGTAAATTGGGCGCAAGTATCCCAAGAAAATAACCATACAAATAATTCATTTGATGATTGAGAATCTTTACAGCAAAGTTTTTTCATGTACAGGTCTCTATGATTTTAAGATATAAATTTTGAATTCCCCACCTTACTCTACTCTATCATACCCTTCAGTGTAAATTTATTCATTTCACTGTTTTTTAAAACAACGCCAAAACTTGTTACTTTCCTTCAAACTTTGCTATGAACTCAAATATTTTGCCTGAAATATCCTTCCGCCCAATTTACCTATCTGTAGGATTAAAATACCATTTTATGTTTGCACCTGCATTTGGAATATTGGTAGAAAATTACCTTAGTTAATTATCTATTATGTCGAAGAAGGCAATTCACGTCCCTTTGAAGTGACTGGCTTCGAATGTTAGGACTGTTTCCTTAAAGAAATGGGGCCAATATTTGACATCTGTGACCAACTTCTCGATAATGCAAATCGGCCATTTGTGAAATTATCTAACAGGATAATTAGCGATTCGTGTGCGACGCATAATCAAAACCTTGAGACCAGAAAATAAGGCGTTTTGGCAGTAAGGCCTTCCGTTTCGTTTTACTTGTAATTAGTCGACGAGACTGTGTATTTTTAGAATTTAAAATTCTAGGCGCCTAAGTCGGCCAACGAACCTTTTGCCGAATACACAAACGCAAAATAACGTACTTATTTACACGCATACGGCCTTATTTATGTTTTATTGGCTGGAATACGGTTTGTCCCGAATTTTAATTTCGTTGAGTGCCGCCTAAAAACATTCTTCTCGATAGTAGTTTACTTAAATTATTTCATTTTTTCCTTGTACCTCTATTATGCTTATTGCTGTGTAAACGATTCCTTTAATGTTTCAAGTGTTCTGCTTGTTACTTTCTATTCAGGAAATGGCCTTCCTTTATCATCTGCAATGCATATAGTATGCATACAGATAGGTACATATATTATAAATAAAAGTAACCAGTTTTTCCTACTAGATGAAGGCTGTGTTGAAACTCTTGAATTTTAATATTGGTGTAGATGTGGACATACTTTTGGAATTTCCTCTAATCTAAAGTATATATATTTTTTTGAATTACGCAATTCTCACACGTCTTTATTTTCGTTAAAAAATTGTATCTGTTAAGTATTGTTTATTCGAGAAACAATAAGAGTAGGTACTTAAATTCTGATTATGAATTTATTTCGAGTACTTACTTACTTATCTGTATATAGAGCGAGCCAAGATTATCACAAAATGCATTTCTTGTATTAAATTAAGAGATATTTTATATAGGAACTGTTTGTATCGTCTATACATTCACGTACAGGGTGTGTCTAAATATGCGGTAAAATAAATATTTTCCACTATAGGACGAACGAAATAGTTATTTTTCGTCGGCCACATTTTTATGGGCTTCCTAGCACAGAATATAAATTGATAAATTTTAATTTCGTAACGGTGTCATTGTATCAGAACCGGACTGACACATCTGGTAAAACGCAGCTTTTTTTCAAAACTGGTCCGACAATGAAAATTTAGGTAGAAAATAACTGTAATTGCTTATTTATGTAGGACTGTTTACGTGAAACTCACGAGTTCCAGCCCACCGTAATTAGACGGGAATCTCTAGGAAGTTTAAATATAACTATTCCGATATATTTGCTCGAATTCGACAGAAACACCTCGTGATTTCCGAATATTAACAGTTTATACAGCGTGAGTCGACGAAGAAAGATCAATGAGGAAACTTCGTTATTGCCTAGATTGTTCGAATCGCCCTGTGCGATATACGGCTATTAGAAAAATAAAATTTCAATCGATTTAAATATAGATTTCCTAGTAGTATCTAATAATTGATTACGGCAGTGGACGTGGACGTGGCGCCATGCGGTCAGGCGAAAATAAAGTTTTGACATTATTATTTCGGTATACAAAGGTAAATTGCTAAAAATACATCCAGAAAGTCTTCGAAGTGCAAACAAAAAAAATAATAATGAAATAAAGTCGGCGTCGCGACGCGTCGCTGCGTCAATTTTATCGAAAACATCGGGCTTAAAATCGCTCGAAATTCCGAATTTTCGGGAATGGAAAACGCCCTTTTAAATTCGTCCAAGAATTATTTGTTTTTTCCCAAAATCAGACGTATTTTAAGGAAATTTACGGGAAGGAACGTTATTAAGAAAAAGCAATTACAACCAATTAATAATAAATAATGCCTACTTAAAACCAATTACTAATATACCGGGTGTACCGATGAGTCACTCGGAACAATATATGCATATGTCCGAGATAAAAATAAAACATTTTCGATTGAGTTGAAGCCTACGTCAACTCTCCAGACTAAAAATACTTTTGAATATGGATGTTTGTTAATTATAATTATCGTAGAAATGGGTCATTCCGCAAATAAAGCTCTACCTATGCTCTCACGAACGTCTAAAAGTTCCCGACTAAACTTCAATGATATTAGTAAAAAAAAACAGGTAAATGCGGAACTCATTATAATTAATAAAAATCAAGTTAATTTTATCAGGTGTACGGTAAGCTGGCGCTGAATAGAAATTTCTAAAATTCAAAATTAGAACAAGGCAATTTGAATCCAATGAGTTGCACATTTGAGACAAGAAAACCGATGTTTTAGGTTCACTATACAGGGTGTTTTGTTGCACCCTATCCGCTCGTGAGTTATTAATTAACGAATTTATCGAAGCAAACAATTCTAATAAAAGTCTCTATTAAAAGTACGAATTACATCGCTAACAATTTCCGCTCTATTTATTGCGATTCTAATAGCGAAATGTGAGGTATATTACGTTTTCATAGAAAATGCGATTTTAAAAAACGGCAAAATAAAGAAAAAACGCTTTCAACAATACATTGCCCTTCAACTTGAAATAAGATTAAAATACGCTTGCGTTTCATGAAATGATAATGTTTATGGAATATCTAACAATGATGTAATAAATATAAACGCTTAATTCCGCTTAAAAAATAAACACTGGAAAAAATCGCACCTGCGAAACGTTACGTTGTAAGTCGAAAATAATTAATTTCTATCAGGTAGTTGATTATACAGAGAAGAACAGAACGAAAATTTTGTTTTTATTTTAATTTTGCGTTGTGGGATCCACATCTTCAGCTGATTTTTTTTACCGTTCATTCGAGATCGATTCGCTATGAATATTTTTCCATAAAGCGTATCGGAAGTTCTAATTTTATTTAATTGGTACAGCAATCGCGGGATTTATTTTTGAAATCGGTGAATGGTTTTTACGTCTGTTCAATGACGAATTTAGCTCGTTTTCGGTACTCCATTATTGTACCTACATACATTACGTACACACGTATTATCGGATTCTATCGGTAACGCGATAGTTCTAATTTACGCGTAGATTATTCGTAACAAAGTGTTTGTTTTAATAACCTAATTACCTCCAAGTAAACGATAAGGAAACATTTTTCTTATTAATAATTCAGTGACAACGTCGAATAGAATAATGCACTTATTTATCTCTCGAGTCATCGCATTCGTTGCTTTATTTATTAAAACGCAGCGTGCAGAGGAAAATTTCAACCAGTACAGCATACAAAATTTTTGAGTTGAATTTCAAGGTGGTTTCTTCAAATATTTGCTATTTTACCTCTTGTTATCTGAGGTTTCAGATTGTCATTTCCGTCATTTATTGCCGTCACTCTTTTAATTGTTATTTATGTCTTCAGACAATGTTATTTTTCCTGCTATCTATTAAATCTGCGGAGTGCCGTGTAATTTGAATATATTAGTATTGTAAATGTAACATTGTTTTTAAAAACCACTCCTATGGGATTTCTTCAATATCTTCACTGCAATCGCGATCCATGGGTGGGTATGTATATTCATTAAATTGCCTTTATGTTATACAGGGCGCCCAATCTAGAAAAAATTCAATTATATAAACATATAGTTTCTCTACACAATGGCGAATGGCAAACTTTTCGATTGCTAATAAAATATCTTTTAATTAATCTAGCAAAGTAGATAATCGTGCGTATATACATACGTATGTAGTGGTAGGATTTGTTTATTGGAACGAAAATGATTAATTAACGGAAAATAGGCGAATCGACTGCACCTATGAAATAACGCGTTTTAGCACAGTATCATATCATATTAATTGCGCAATCGCCCGATTCGAATTTTAGTAATGCACGATTAATGGCGAAAAGAAAGGAATTTCTCCTGTCGTGTGAACGCTTTTTTTGTCTAGACGGTCGATAATTATCGGCAAATTTAACAGAAATTTTTCGCGACACGAGCCTTCGGACTATATTTCTCATTATGAAATTCCGCAGATACCGATACATCACTAGATTCAACTTTCTCTGTGCTAAGAACGCTCCCTTAAGGATATTTGGCGTGCGGTCATTACGCAATTTGCGTATTGGTTTTTGAACATACTCGTACTGGAAATTTACACTTGGTTTTCCTTTTGTTTCGGGTAAGTCTCGAGCGCGCTTTCATCAAAATTCAACCCTCTTTGTCGGGATAATTTCACGCGCAAAATTCACCTCGGAGTTCATTCGTTGCGCAGCAAGACCAGAATGGCAACTCGGTTTGTTTATTATTTTAGAAAGTTATAAACACGGCGGATATTCCGTACCAGGTACCTTCTACAAGTAGATTTGCACTGGTTTTATATAATACTAATAGTAGAAAGAAAAAATACCGAACCTCTGAGTAAATACCGAGAAACCTAACGCAAAGACAGAATCATAAGGTCCAAAAATGCCTGAATAAGTTCTAACAGGAGAAGGATAGCGATCGTGTATATTTCATTTCCTTTTTCAGCTCACGTGGATCTGTCAATTTTCTCTGACACTACAGTTCGCTCTCTTGATAGTTAAAGTAAAGTACATTATTTATCCACTTCAATACGTATTCAATTTACTCAACTTTATAAACTATAGGATATTGTATTCATTTTTGAAATTATCAAATACCCTTTTGTTACAAATGTCACTGCATATCTGTTATAAGTTCTAATTAGAGAAGGACGGCTTTATTATATTGGATGAACGGAGAACCAATACTTGGCATACAACAAACTTATCTATTATTTATTTTCCAAGTACTGAACGTATAAGAATTTCTTTCAAGGACTATGAGGTTTCCATACTATAGGAAACAGATTCGCAAAAATCCCGCCCGCCTCAAAGCAAAAAGAAATATCCATCGGGATGTTTGTATAATTTTTTGTATTTATTATTCGAATTCCACGGTTCCGCGATTCCAGTTGACCATTACACCTTAAGTGCATTGATAAGTCGCTTCCGGTTGGCTTAGAATAATATCGTTTGTCCTTTAAAGGCCGTCCGGCGGACAGAACCGGTTTCGCTAAATATTAATAACATTTCGACGGGCGATTTTACCAATCGAAACTAGTCAGGTAAGTCGCGATTTCGTCTCGTACGGGACGTCCCTCAGATTTGTAGAATCGACGAGTCCTCCGGAGGAATTCGTACTAGACGTCGGTTGTAGGGGATTTCTTTTTCAACTGCTCCTTCACTGCAGTGGACTATTTTGCAATGTAATAAATGGACCAATATTCTAGCTAGTCAATATATTAAATCCGGCGTGTAGGTAGCTAGCGTAATATTCGAATGTTGAAAACGGATATTGCGTAAAAGTTATCGAACATATTATTATAAATTTTTTAGGATTAGTCTATAAATTCGACGCTGCGGCGTATTCAGAACGTACTCTACTTCGGGAATCCCAGGTTTGCGGTCTTGTACTATCGAATCGAGATGCATCGACTATTATATCAATAAGAATTGAAATCGATTGATATTTCTTATTTACGCGTGCGAACGTGGACGTTCGAAAAAGGCCATGTGTGTGCGATTGTTTCGCCATAAACTTTAGTTGAGAGCGCCGAGAAGAGGTGGCGGCTCGTACTTGATGGATTTGAACTCTGGCTGCTCCCGGTGCAAAGTCCACATAACGAATTTAAAAGATGCGCTGCGGGTTGAGTAGAGGTGGGTCCTTCCGCGAGGACGGCGCGTTAAGCGAAAATAACCGTACCCGTAACATCTCGGAACCTTCGGAAATTGTTGGAGAAATTTCGATCGAAAAGGGGAAAATTTGCCTTTAATGGAACGAATAAACGCGCCTACTATCATCACTGGTAATGACATTTACACGTCATCGTTTGACAGGTGACTTGCCATTTTCAAAATTACTCTAAATTGTAAACCTTCACAAATAGTTCGAGAAATCTCGATCAAAGCGAGAAAATGGACCATTAATCGAACGAATGTGCAGATATTTTTTAATTCATTTTCCACAAACTCGCCTACTATGATGACTGGAAATGCCTTTTATATATCATCGTTTGACAGGTGGCTTGTCACTTTCAAAAATAGTTCGATAAATCTTGATCAAAGAGGTAAAATTTGTAATTTATTTTCTACAAACGCGCCTACTATAATAACTAGTTACACGTCATCGATTGACAGGTGACCTGCCATTGATTCGATAAAAGAAAATGCCGGAAGCGAAATCGATTGTTCGATTAATCGAACGAATGTGCAGATATTTTTAAATTCATTTTCCACAAACTCGCCTACTATGATGACTGGAAATGCCATTTATATATCATCGTTTGACAGGTGACTTGTCACTTTCAAAAATATTTCGAGAAATATTCATCAAAGAGGTAAAATTTGCAATTTATTTTCCACAAACGCGCCTACTATGATAACTAGTTACACGTCATCGATTGACAGGTGACCTGTCATTGATTCGATAAAAGAAAATGCCGGAAGCGAAATCGATTGTTCGTATAACATTTGGCCGTTTCTATCGAATGGTAGTCGAACGTTGCTCATGGGATTTTTGTTTTGAAACAGCCACACTACGCGCACGACGACCTGGGAGGATCCGAGGAAATCGCTGGCCGCCCAAACCGCCGCCCAACAGCACCAAAGCGCCGAGCAGTTGCTGTCGTCGCATCAAATACCTCACCCCCAGTCGCCTAATTCTAACAGTGAGTATGGATTCTCGTATTTAGGATCATTCGCTCGTTTTCTTGGGATGTGTAATTTAAGAATTTACTTTACAATCGAAAGGTTATTGGCTTGCGTTGAATCTCAAGTGTATATGCACAATTCGCTTGTCACAGAAGTAGGTTTCATTTATTTATCTAACTAAGTGGGTGAGGGTTTGGAAAGGTGTAAAAAAGTAACTTTAGATGAGCATTAAAAATTTTTTAATGCTGGATTATTGCCAGATATACATAAGAAATCTAAATCTATCAATTCCTAAATCTGGTTGTAAATATGTAAATATATACCTATTATTTTATTATTTCAACATTGTAACATGTTCTTGTGCTATATGTTGTATACAAATGTGCTGTATAACAAAATTATCCACTGGTAAGAATTTTAATATGGAAATGTAACCAAGTATTTTACAAGCTTTTTAATGTGTTTACTACTTGTTTAAATGTGCATATTTTTTTTCGTGTCTGTTTTATTGTAAAGTAAATTACTAATTGAATCGTATTAGGGCTAACAAATGTTCTTTTAATAGATTCACGCAATTAACAAGTTAATTGTATCGCTTAGAGTTTAGAGCTTATACCTATCCTTCAAATGTAATGTTTACATGCTCTATTTCAAGAGAAACGTTCATTCTCAAACGAATTCGCCGTCTAGCCAACGACTTTCTTAAGAAATAGGACATTGCTCGGCAAAAGTACATTGAATTTCGGTCACTATTGGGCAGTAGTAGTTTCATTCTCTTGTTCTAAATACATTGGAAAACAGAATGATTCTAATTTGGAATTATTTTTCCACAGCTGCCAAAGTTAATACAGATGTAGACTTAGGGCCTTTACCTGAAGGATGGGAGCAGGCGCAAACTGCTGAAGGTGAAATCTATTTCATTAACCATCAAACCCGTACAACTTCGTGGTTCGATCCTAGAATTCGTAAGTCCTAACTTTCCTCCATTCTATTTTATCTAAATCCTTTTTTTATTAGTTATTATATGCATACGTTATTCCTCATCTATCGTAATAACTACAATTCAGCATTGGTACATAACTCTTTTCGCTTGGAAAAATCAGCTCACGATCTATTTACACAATAAATTTTGTGCTATTCTGTAATACAAACCTCTTCACAAGATGTAGATGTCTCCACCTCTATGGAGATTTATAAAAGCTGGAAGAAAACAGATATGGTTTGTAATTAACTAGTTTGCAAATAGAACGTGATTTGACCAATAGACCTGATAAATGAGGAATATTATGGTATTTTTTTCCAATTTTTTTAAACGGATAAAAGATGATGCACATTACAAGCGATTTAATAATCTAGACAGTCAGTTAGGCTCTGTAGGTACCGCATCCATCCGACATTTTGACAGTTTACTTGAGCCTGATACTCTAAACAGTAGAGGCCAATACGAGAAATCCTGTAGGATTTCCTACATGTTTTGCGTTCATCGTTTGACAGGTGATCCAAAAAAACAAAATGTCGGTCGCGACTGCGATTACTTTTTAATTGCCTAGTGGATAAATTGGATAATTGATCGATGTTCTCCTCTTTTCTTCCAGCGACACACCTGCAAACGCGCACGTCGGGCGGCAACATCATCGGCTCCACGTGGCATTCGCCGGCGCTGTCCTCGTCACCCGCCAAGGCGCAGCAGATCAGGCTGCAGCAGCTGCAGCTGGAGCGCGAGAGACTGAAGCAGAGACAGCAGGAGATCAGGCGGCAGCAGGAGATCATGATGAGGAGCTCCAACGATCTGTCGTCGGTCATGGACCCGTTCCTGTCCAGCCTGACGGACCATTCTAGGCAGGAATCCGGCGACAGCGGATTGGGTAAGAGATACTTAATTTCTAATGTGACCTGAACTTTTGTAAATCTTAACTTTATTAAAACAATTTATGACTTGTGACATTTAGGAATTAACTATAAATATTATCAAGGTTAATCAATACGGCATTGTTAATTTTAGATATTAGTAGTACGTGCGAGATAGAGCAAAGGCAATATTCGGTATTCTTTTACCTTTTCGCAGGAATGGGAACGACGTATTCGATGCCCCATACACCGGAAGATTTCCTGACGAATATGGACGATAACATGGACGTGGGCAGCGGCAGTCACACGATGGACACGCCGGATATTTCGACCATAAGCGATCACATCGATTCCACGGACGATTTGGAGCCCACGTTGCAATTGGGAGAGGAAGAGTTCCCGATTTTGGCCGACGTGCAGTCCTTGATCAATCCTCCCACAACAAGACCTGATAATGTACTCATCTGGTTGTAACTTAAGTGCCTAAATTTATCAGAAATCTGCTCATATCCTTTTTTTTTTATTAGAGTTAAAATGGCAGTTTAATCGTTTAGTGAAAATCTTTTTTTTTTCTTATTCAGTTAGTTAAATTATTTATTAGATGAACATTGGTCATTGCTACAAATTTCGAAATTTTACAAAAAAAGAGGGCGAGAGAATATTGATGGTGTGTTGTGTTTTTTTCGGCATCTAGCGAAGCACGAGAAGTGATTCATTTGCAATATATCGTATATCCGAAGCAATAAATTTTTTTATGATATTTTAATATAAACTTGTTAATTTTGAAATTTTAACATTTGTATTTTTTGTCACATTTTATGGGGACGTTATCTTACTGTTGGGTATGTTTTTCATACATATATAGTTTTTAATTTATCATCTAAGGTAATTGTTAAATTATATTATATCCGATTACTTACAACAAAAACATGTACCGTTTCGTTTTAATGTTTAAACTACTTTTATTCTCAACAAATTTTCGCATGTAAACAAATTTTTCTAAAAATGACGTTAACCTACCTATTGTTAAATTTTATATGATCTTCACCTAAAATGTGCAATATTCAGTGGTATTATATTATTGGTGCTTTAGCTTGTAATGAAACATACCGTTTCTACATTTTTATTACACTGCATACTTTTTTACGAATAATTTAATCACAATGAAGCTCTATATGAAATTTGTTCCCTATTACTTGCACTTACAACCGAATTACAATCATCTAATACGTGTTACATTTATAGGGCTATAATGTTTACTATTACTTCACTGTTTGTTACTCCAAATATTGTTTGTATCAGATTAACAACATTATGAAACCCGCAATGAGATTAGTTTTGTAATATTCTGTTCGTTATAACTACATTTATTTGCAGTGTTTAAATAAGTTAGCGCCAACTGTATGAAATGTTCTTGATTGCAAAAGCAATGAAATCAGTATTCTTAAATACGTTTGCGTGTCACATTTTAGAGAACATTTGGATACATTATTATTCTTAAGAAACTTGCACTGGTTGTTCATCAAGTGAATGATGCTAAGTGCAGAAACTTTAATTAAACTGTTTCTGATAATCGAATATTATCATGAAATATGATGCTCATGAATATATAATATATTTATATATAATATACAAATCCATCCATTTTGGTGCCTTTAATATTTGTACATAAATCGACTTTTTTTGTAGTTTTAAGTTATTAATATGTATTTTTTATTATATATACACACACATTTTAACTTGAATATGACATTTAAAAAAATGCTTATTAGGCAGCTATAGCTTGGTATTAAGGCCTTTTCCGTAAAACAATAATCGTTAAAACTTATATCAATGTTGAAGTGGTAATTGTGCACTTTTATCACCGAAAGATTGTTAAATTTTATCCAGTACATTTTTTATAAATGTCATATATGCAGTGCCTTGTAAGAGAGTCGTTACTGTGTTAAGAAAGTTCAAGCCTTCGATTTGTACCTTTTATACTAGAAGCTTGATTTTACTTACTGTAGTTTAAATTTATCGGTGTCATCACAGTTGGTTGTTTTGCTGGCAAAATGTACCTTAAATCTGTTTGGACTTATTATTCTCATGAATGTGTACAAACATTTTGCTATGGAGATTGCATATCAGTTGGTTAATTTTGTTGGCAGCGCTTGAAAATTGTAAGAAAAATTTCGCCGTTTTTTTCGAAAGATATACTTAGTTATCGTTTACTTAAATATTTTTATTTTAAGGTAATTTTCAAGCTACTTATGTGATTCGCATAATTCACTCATTCGCACAACATACTTGTCTGTTTAACGACATATTTTTTCATTTATCTGCATTTTTTTTGTATTGTATGTATACAAGGTGTCCGTTGTGTCGTTGTATTCAAAATCTAGTGAGCGTAATTTAAAATCTCTTCAACTGAACTCTATTAGAATCCTTAAAACAAAACAAAAGGTGTAGGTAAATTATTTTTTGTTATGTTGAGGGTTGATAATTATGCTCACAAAATTGAATATAGAGATGACCTGTATTTTCTTTTACGTCTGTAAAATTTTTCATCTTTGGGAAAATTCTGAATGGTATGCATTAATAAATATACCCCACGATGTTAATGTTAATTAAATCACTTTGATATGTTCTAAATGTATATAAATCAGTTCATAGTGCATATATTTGTTTTAGAAAATTTTTACAGACATTTACTATAGGGGTATTCACAATTTTCAGTTTAACATGGCAAGTCTTTTAGAACGGAGAGTTGACATATTAAATTCAAATAGTTAACACCCCAAATGAATACTATGTATATAAGGGGGTAATCACGATGTTGAGTTTAATATGCTGTGTCCTCGTATTTGTTATTTGCGTAAGTGCATTCACTTAAAAACGTGATTACTTTTATAATGTCGGGTACTTTCATCTTAGAATATTCGAAATTATTCCTAGAATAACTTTTCTGTACTGTAAAATATTTAAAGAGCTATCCTAGGGCTAAATTTCCCTATTTCAAGATGAAGGTACCAGCACTAAATTGTGTTTGGTTTACTAAAACGTAATAAGTAGTAATTTTTTTGTAACTATAACAATTTTGTATGTTTTTCAAAAAAAAACAACAGTAAGATTGGTATTGTAATTTATTTTTGTGAATTGTATCAGACTTATCAGTTGTAAATATATATATTTAAAATTACATTATTGCAATTTTGCAGTAATTAGACATTTTATGTGTCATGGTTTTTTTACCCTCGCTTCAGATGGAAAATTGCACGATGTTTTGTATATTATGTGCACATTTTCATCTTCCGAGATACATAAGGTCTTTATAGATACATCCCCTAAACATCATGTAACTTGTACATTATAACATACATAATCTTGTAACATGTTCCCTGGTTACCTGGACCGTTTTACAAATTAAATGTTACACCATGTAACGTTACGGATCAAATATTCTGACCTCATGCATCTTGCAAGATGACAACATGCTAATATATAAAAAAACTATCTGCAATATTCCAAATGTAGATAGATAATTATCGAGACCTTACCTAGTACTGAAAATACTGACCCTAAAATGTAAAATATTTAAAAGGAGAATTGTGTTAATTTCTTTATTTAGGATCATCAAAAATATTACAATCCTACTTAAGATCTACTAAAGGCACAGCAAGCGTACTTATCGTACAGAGAGGATAATAAATTCTAATATAACACTGGTAAGGTAAAAAGGTCTGTACAAAATAAGCTAATAAACAAAAATTAACACAAGACTATATAACAGTATTGGTTCCAAGAATGTGATGGAAAAAAATAGCAACAAATTTAATTCCATAATAAAAAATGAAAAAAAAATGTACAGAAGATTCAAAACTGAGATTATTAAATTTATTGCGTTAGTTGGTAAATTCATTAACGCACAGATAAAAGGATACTTTAATATTATCCTTCATATAAATTCATCTGCACATTGATAAATTCGTTCTAAGGCCCATTATTTTTTTCTTCAGATAGTGAAATTTATACAGAGGATGACTTTAAACACAAGTTAAAAGTTATCATCGGGTTAAAACTTCGAAATCTAAAGGTATAAAAATATCGGATTTAAAAGTGTTAAAACTAACTTAAATTGTAGGAGGTGTCCACGAAAATAATAAATGTTTGATAGAAACTTCTAATTATCATTGATCAAAAATTATACCTTCATTATTATTATACGAGACACTTGTATCCCCAACGATTTTTTTTTCTATAAATAATGAAGATTTTATACACAAAACGAATAGATTAGGGATTAGGCTGTCCTAGTAGCCACAAATTTTCCAACATTCCACGTTTAATTACGATGGTGGACTGATTTGGATTTTATGGTAGTTCAATTAAATTATATCAACGCATAATAAAACTATTACAGGAATACATAATTCAGCTAGATCTGAACTAAAGTTATTATTAGACTGAACATATTTTTAACTAACCAGTTAAGTGCTATAGTTATAAAAAGTTTTACCGAAACTTCCAAAACTGTAATACCTAACGATTTAAAAAATGAATAATAGATGACTTTTCCGGAACAATGATAAATATTCCAAGCAATCAGCACCACGAATCAATATAATCATTGATAAAAAAACAGGTAAAAAAAACGTTGAGCACCCTGATAAAAGAAAGGTACAAACCTGGTGAGAAAACTCAAAAATTCTGCGACCTTTTCCTTTTCGTGTCCATGGCATCTAAAATGGGCTGTCTCTTGACTTGGTACCTTTTACGAAGCTCATCTATTTCCTTCTCCATATCCGAATCTAGCGTGTTCATTCTCTGTTGCAATTCTTCGAAACTCAAATATTTCAACTAAAAACGTACACACAATAATTAATCTGCATTAATTAACATCAAGTTTGCTTACAAATTCGAAATCCCCATCGTTGAAAATTTGGTGGTATTGAGGCTTCTGTTCCACTGGCTGGATTTGATGGGGTTGAGGTTGAGGCGGAAGCGGAGGTTGTTCCGTAAGCTTCACTTGGTAACTGTTTTGGTAATTTTGCTGCCCCTCCGTCAATTCGTTGTTTTCTAATGTTATAGGACTCGAAATACCGTTACCCTGCTAAAATATTATCGACATGAACAACAAATAAAATATGTTAGTGGTAACAGTTTCGGTGTATTTATATTTACCTTAATTTCAGCTTCTTTTTTATCGAAGTGATCCAAAAACATCGGCCTATATTTTTTTCCGCCTTGCACTGAACTCGTGTCATGACCTGAAATCGTTTACAATCAACAAAAAAATATCTAACCAGTGAATCAGTCAATAAACGTCATGCCGCAGCTATGCATATAATAGTAGGGATTCATGGATTTTTGTACAATACATACGTTTCATAGTTTGATCATCGATATCGCTATTAATCACCATAGTGCCTAGTTCGGATTCCAGTTCCACCAAAGTACCGCTCGGCGACATCGGCACCAACGTACCCCCTTTACTAGGAACCAAAGTACCTTCGTCCGTGCAAGAAACCATCGTCTGATTCACTAAGGCGACATCTTCGTCCTTAAAAATGGGACACATTTTATTTTCAACCAGTCAATAGGTCTGGCAAATATATTGGTTTTTACTACTTACGGACTCATCGTTGTTGTTTTTATTCAGCCCTTGCATGTTCGCTGTGGAATTCAAGTTCTTGTAGCTTTGATTCTCCCTGATTTCGTGCGCCTCTTGTATCATCGTAGTCAAAATAGTCGGTGCTTTCGCATTTTCTACAAAAAAATGAGATTGGGAATAACATTGGTAAGACTATATATACCTGAATAGAAAAAAGTTTAGTTAACGCCGGTCAAGGCAAAAGCACTTACTAACAAATTCGTGATTCAACAAATCGCTGGCAGAGGCGCGTTCTTCTGGATCCTTGATCAAACAAACGCTGACGAAATCGATGAATTCGGCGCTCCACTTGTCCGGTTCCCTAAACGAAGGAGGCGGTTTCGTGGGAATCATGAAAATCGCCCTCATGGGGTGAATGTCGCCGTAGGGCGGTTTTCCTTCGGCCATTTCTAAGGCGGTTATTCCGAGACTCCATATGTCTGCCACACAATCGTATCCTATTTCTTGGATGACTTCGGGCGCCATCCAAAATGGGGTCCCTACAAACCGTTTATTAGGCAAAAACTCGCTTGCACGATACTTCGAACCCCCTCCTCGCATAACCGAATAGTAAGAGGTCACATCGTCATAGGAATAGCTCGATTAATCCGCAAATTGTGGTATTACATGTGAATTTTTACAATGAAATTATCAAACCGTTCATCCTGTATATGAACTCAAATTATCTGTTCTACGATAAGGTCACGTACGAAGAATGTTAACGATAATTTAATGAAAAAATTATTGAGATAAAATAAACTATTGTGCGAATTCATAAATGATTATCAACGCATTGTTCGACAAGTAAATATTATACTTAGGCGACATTAAACTGATTACAAGAATGTTGTTTCTTCAATTCTTTTCATGCATTTATAAGAATTTATACTCACCAATCACAGTATTTCTTTTGGCCATTGTATCAGTCAATTGTCCGGCTACGCCGAAATCAGCCAATTTGGCGTGCCCTTCGGAGTTTAACAAAATATTCCCCGCTTTAATATCCCTGTGTATTTTCCTTCGTAAATGTAGGTATTCGAGGCCTTTGAGAGTGTCCGACAAAATCGTCGCGATCTCGTCCTCGTCCAGCGTCTTTTTCCTCAATCTCATTATATCAGACACCGATCCTGCTCCGCAATATTCCATCACGATCCAGAGATCGGTATTTTTGAAATAACTGCCGTAGTATTTGACGACGTAGGTGCTATCGCATTGCTGCATGATAGAGATTTCTTTTATGATCTCCTGAAGGTCCGTGTCTACAGGCACTTGTTTTATTGCTAGAACTTGGCCCGATTCTTTGTGGAGCGCCTTGTAGACGCTTCCGTACGATCCTTCTCCTAGCTTGCATATTATATCGAACACTTCTTCTGGTTGACGAGTTAAACTTTCTTCTGATAATTTTGTTAATTCACTAAAAATTAAAAAATAAACTGTCTTGCTACGATAGATTAGGTACAGGCTGTAAGGGGCACAAATTGCAAGTTAATGTATCCATTACAAAAAAATAACATGTGGACAATTTAATTAGTTTAATCAAAGAACAAAGTTACCTATGGATGTTAAGCAGAATTCAACAGCAAGAGTTACTAATAAATGCGAGTGTTAAACAACAAAACAACAACGAATAATTCTTTAACAAAATTGTATAACATAAAAAATTAAAATGACTACTGCTCACCTTTTGGAAGACATTTTATGTTACGAGATGTTACAATTGGCAAACGGTAAAGTAAACGAGCATCTCATGTTTGGGTACTAACTTAAAATAAACTAAACCGTTTTATTATTTCCGTATAACTTGCAACCATAACTGCTAGAAAAAATTATAATGAAATATAAAATAATTTTGACTTTTGACGTTTGATCGTCACCGTTTGACATGTCTTCGTTCTCGTTAGTAGGTCTTGTACTATACGGTTTGTTAGTAACGATTTTCAAATGAAAGACCAGAAACTGTTTTCTGTAAGTTCAAAACACGTCACTATCAGATTTTCCGCTAGATGGCAGCACAACCAAATTTTCGTGTTCTGTGAATTTTCGTCGAAACAGAAAAATTTTAAAAATATTGAGGAAAGTAATTCAATTGTATAAAAAATATGTCATCATAAAAATTATTATAGTAAGTCGATGTGAATTTAAATTTTATATAAATTCGAAAAGAATGCTACTTCAGTAGTACAATTTGAGCAAATTTGAAGAATATCCTGGTAGAGTGGTAGCCTCGAACGTGAAAAATATTTCATTTCTCTCGTATCTTCTCTCATAGATTTTTTTCAATGTAAAATAGCTGTAAAAACTCCAATCAGCGAATCAAATACTATTGTTTTAATAGCACCATAGAAATATCAAAAAACAAAATTAATTCGCCTTCGAGCCGTCTGGAAATCCCCGGATTCTCCCGGATCCACTCCTGTGGTCGTCGGCCGACCCTCGTAATTTCTCGGGCGATATTCAGCCGCATTTCAACGTGGTCCACGGGCACAAGCAGCGTCCACATCCACCCGCACTAGAACAAACCTGTTATTACAGCGCTTGGTCATTGTCCGCGTACTTTACTTGCTCCGTTTGACCTAAATGGAGCACGCCCAAACTGTACCGAACGCTATACAGATTGTCCCCCGTCCATTAAATCGATCTATCTTACATTTTGATTCATACATGAAAGAATGTTGATCGATTTTTCAAGGGCGCTTGTAGCATTGTTGTAATTGATGGACTTGAAGGATTTTAGAATTTGATAGTAGAAAAACCGTGCGAGGGACTTTCGTTTCTAATTCCGGTCCTGATGATGTTTAGTAGATTTTTCGAGTGTTATCTAATCTGTTGGATCTCCGATCGACCATCGGAATCACATATTGTCTTGAAAAGTTATTGCGTTCGTTTGAAATGGAGACATTGAAGGAAGAATCGTGCGCTAATAAAGAAAATGTAACTGGCTTGGCGCATTTCATCTGGAAATCGGCACGAATTGATCGCTTTCCCCGCTTCCCTTTGCTAAATCATCGCGTAAAGCGGACTTTACTCGAACGAAAGAGGCCCAATTATTCTGAGAGCGATTTTCCGGAGTTCGGTTCATTAAAAATATGACGACTACATTTCATTTTTACGGACGTGTGACACCTATACGGGTTTTTACTGGGAGTTTGTGAGATGGATGTTCTCAACATCAATCACATTAAGTATGTTTCGAAGGAATAGATTCATCGCCATTTAGTGCGTGAGTTTCACTGAAAAGTGCGCTCATCCGTTTTACATGATGAATAATCCGGCTCGACTTTTAGATGTTACATAATAAGAAACGATTTTATTACTATACAGTTTTAAGATGGAATTTTCTGTTTTGATTACAAATAATATGCTGCGTACTTATGGCTATTGGTTTCAAAATAAGGATACTTTTGAATTTTTTGCTTCAAACTCGAGTTACCTCAACTCTGTGAAGTGATCAAGTTGATCGAACGCAAATCCAAGAAGTAAATACATGTCACGTGGAAGTAAAACAAAAAACGAATTAGTTCGATTAGTTGTGCCGGTGATTTATAATAATCCCATTGAGCAGTGAGCGAGAGAAGTCCTGCAGTGGATCACAAAAGTACTACATAGAAGGGGTCTCGAACGGACCAAGAGGAAGGGTACTTGAACGTTAGTTGCCGTGCATCTTTCGAAGGATCGGTTGCCTTCACTGCGCAGCCAATTCTTACGTTCGAAAACTCACGTGTTCGCAAATCGCGCGCAACTTCTCATTACCTGTTAGTTTTTTTTTAATTAGTATTAGTATTATTTTTTTGAATTAGTCGAATTGGTTCTGTAGGATTTTTCGATTTCATTTTTGTACTTTTGGATCGAGGATGTACGTGGAATTCTGTGGCTTCAATTGAGTGCGTCGAAACCACTCCATCATCAGGCAAAATGTTTACACGGTAATTCGCTTTCGAGCTAATTTCTATAATTTTAACGCGATTTGGACTTTTTTTGGTATTTGTAAATTCATTTATACGCCTTTCGTTCGAGTCGATTTGTTGGGTAAATAGCGATAAAATCGCGGCGACGATGTGTAGGAATTTTCTTAAAAACTCTAAATATGCAGAAAATAGCAATGAACATTTTGTTTCGTTCAATCAACAACGAATAAAACGATTTATTAAAATCTTCATAAAATCGAAATTTGTCGAAATGAGTAAATTCAGGCGTGAGAAATTTTATTGGCCACCCTGCATTTCGAAATAATTCTTAATTATAACAAATTCAATAAAAAAATTTCACCGTTATTCACATTTTGATTAATACCTAATAAGGTAATAAAGAAATGAAAATTTTTATTGTCCAATAAATATTTCCGATAAAAAAAATTACTTATATAAAGAGATTTATTATGAAAATTGCTGCAATTGAAATGATAAAACTTGCATAGAAATATGTAAATTGCACGATTAAAAATGTAGTTTAGATAAATTGTTATATTTTTTTCTTTGAAAAAGAAGGCGCTATTTAAATGAAAATCTGCACCTGATGTAATTAGTGATTTTCATTGATTGCAGTTTTGTTTATCCTGACCTAAAAAATTTCATTTACAAAACAAACTGACAGTACCTATTCTTTATTGTAATTCGTGTAGAATTACCTACGAATAAATTCAATGGTTAATGTTTGAGAAGATAAGTTTTACGAGTTAGAAACTGATAATATGTAGATATAATGGGAGCTATTAAGATTTGTGCAAGGTATAATATTACTGCACGATAAGCAAAGTAATATGTATTATATCTGTAAGATATTCAAATTTTTGTCTGTAAAATATTTATTATAGGTAATTTCGCGAATTTTTACAGTTTCGAAAAATCGTTTTTTCAATTTACTTGCGACGCTCTTAAAAAATAACTGCAGCACGTAAAACTTGCAACATTTCATTTTCACACACATACAGTCGATTTTATTTAAATCGCAACATTTTTGCGATTTAGCGTAATTTAAATAATTAAATAAATGCACGTTCGGTTTTTCAGACCCCCCCATTTATGCATACATATTTCACGTTAAATTGTTCGGAGCTTGCAATAATATTCGAAGAAACAAAGCGTTTATCTAAGTTAATGGTCTAAGAAAGCTGAAAGGTCAGAAGGTTAGAGGTTGAGGGGCACATCCAAGTAGGTAATAACCGTTTAAGATTTCGCGATTTTTGCGGATTGTTCAGTCATTTTTACAAAACGTATTTATTTAGTGCCTGTGAAAAATAAACCTTAGATCGATTTGTTGTAGTATTTAATTAGAACGCTTATTAGGCGATTTTTTTTGCCAATAAGTCATGTGTAACTTTATTCAGATAATAAAATGGTTAGTGCCTACTTAGGTATAGGTACGATATAGGTACGTTGTTAATTATACAGCTATATTGAATAGACTGTCATTTGAGTTATTTAAAAGGAAATGAGATTCTATAGATTGGTACTTGTTTCTTAAAACAAACTGTTCCTTCTTTGTTTTCCGGTGGGTTTGAGCAGATAATAATCAAACAGGTATCTATTAATTGAGTGTATTTTAAGAGTTTTTGAAAAGCAAACTTATTGGCATTTTAATTTACCTAATGTTCCTACTTAAGACTTTTGCCTTTAACTAATAAATTTGCCTTCGCCTAACGGGAATGCCGTTTACTTATAGCAATCTCTCTTTACGTATAAGGCCATTTAAAAGTACGCGCCGCTATTTTGCATGGTACACATTGCAGCGCACACAACGATTGTGTTTTTTTCAGCCTAACGAGCTGAAAAAACGCATTCAAATAAAAAATAATTCGGGTATAGGTAATCCCGTTCTGTAAACTATTGCTTCATTTCAATTCGATGATTACTTCGTATCTGGTTCGCAATGATTATGAGTTATTAGGCTGCCTTGGGATTCGAATTGTAACAATCTCGGCTAATATTAGTCGTATTTATCTCGATTAGAAACGTTTTTGATGTGGGTAACAGCGATTTCAAAGCTCCATGGGTGTTCCGACGTTCGAAATTTCAATTGAACCGCGATTTTTAATAATCCTGATTCTAATGAATCGCAATAAGCTGTGCTACGAGTAAAATTGAGTTTGCTCATTCACCAAAATTTTAAAAAATTATCTGGTTTTATATAAATACGACACCTATATGTAACACGCTTGCTTAACTTTGTTCTTTCTATTTCTAGATGAAACTTTTTAATAACATATGTTGGCACGAAATAATAACACCAATTATCAATCCAAATGGTGTTAAATTAAAAATCGGCTGATAAATAAAATCATGAAATACGACAGGCTAACCAATATATCGAATCCTAACTATATAATTAAATAAAATTAGTCGGTTATTAACTTGTCTAAATGGACATTTCATTTTTTTATTTATATATTACGTATATGCGATATAGTACCTACGTTCCTGTAGAAACAATTCAAGCAAGATAGCTCGAATTCCAATATTCCAGAAAAAATGCATAGTCAACATTTGAAGACTAGTGGAAATGTATAAATCTCCGTTCGGTATGTAAGGTACATTATGGAGCATGACTTGTTAAAAGTCCATTGAATCTTCCTCGGTCGCACATACCATTAACACATTAGAATGTTCATTATCAAACTACTCTATTGTTTGTACAAAACTGCTCAAAAATAACCATTACAGACCTTAATAATTCCGTAGATTATCAACAGATATAATAAATTTAAAACGGAATTTGTGTTGTTCAAATTTTCTATAAAAAATAAGGTTTAGGTATAGTTAGGGAAGTATATATGGTTAATTTTTACTATTGGTTCAAAAAAATGAAGAAATTTGAAATATTTTAAAGTTCAACTGAAGTACAATTTTTATACACACTCTGTATAAAATTAAAAGCTTTTTCACCACACCTTTAAATATCTTTCACCTTTGCTTAGCCACCCTACAAAAAAGGTTTCCAATTCCTTAAGCGCATTTTCGTAAAAATATAATTTAAAAGAGTAATAATTTAAAACTTGAAAAGTACCTAACATTTTTGGAATAAAGTATTTTAGATGAAGAGAGTTTCGTAGATTTCAAAATTTTAAAATCTCTTACCATTTGATACAATATTCCGTCCCTTTGAGAGTGCATGACTCACCCTGTATCTAAATATTTATTACCCAGCTTTAGAAGGTGAAAGAAGGAACGTTTACGGAACGTTATTGTATTCTCATTTGCGTAATATCGAATCGAAAAAATGGCCATTACCTATGATAGAACGCATCAGACAGCCCCGTGGGCAATGATCGAGTGAATTGCCAATAGAATAGGTGGAGCCTGCTTGGAGTTTGCGATACCAGCGAAATAATTGCGTAAAACAGTTAATTACAATACGCATCGTTAACAAAACCATTCGATTCGAAGGTATCGAATTCGTAGATAATTCGACATTGTTGCCGTTTTTTTTCCCTGTAATTGTGAATGATTGTTCAATTGTACCATCACAACTTAATTTAGCAGAGCACCTACTTAAAGAAGCTCCTATTATTTTGTTCTCTTACGCTAGTCTAAGGGATGCTATAACCAAACCTTTAACGAGGAAAGCAGTAAATTTAAGTAGGTAGAAAGATTTCCATTTTCAATATATTCGTATAATCACCGGATGGATCCGTACGCTCCGGCAACGCGGCCGGTGCGATAGTAATGATCCGGAGTAACGAAAGCGAAGCGGTGGGCGCGCATAGTGACCCAGTATGCGCAGTGCGCTATGCGCTGCGGCGGGCCGACGCGGGGGTGTAACAAAAGCGGCGAGGCGATCCGGGCATGTGCCGCACCGGCTCCGCTCCGGCTCGCCGGCTCGGCCTCCTGCCTTGCGGCCGCTAATGTCGTACGGTTACGTGGCGAGTAAAGGCTCCACAGCCCAGGACCGGCGATGCGCTGAATATTTCTGCCAAGGGTTCGTTCAATCCTTCGTGATGGACATTGAAAATATTGACAAAACATTCGATTTTTTTAATCCTGTCTTTAGCGTTATACTAACTAAATAAGGAAGCTATTGTGCTAGAATAGATGGAGTAGTCAAATTGAATATAGTTGGATTAGAGCTGATACAGAATCAGGAATTATATAAAAATTTACACGAAATATTACACCAAACCTGTGTGTTGGATATATATAAAAGAATTCTAAATTATGTTGTTTGTTAGGGCATCAAACAGTATAAATAATTCTTATAGGATATATTGAAGAAAATTTGCGCTAATAAATTACATTAACCTCCTTGCATTTAATTGTTCCTTGGACGGATAACGTGAATAAACTTTCATGTATGATGAGAGTTGAAACTTTTTGTATATTCCTCCTCATTATCTCATCTGGGAGTTTATCTCGTTGATAGCGCGAAAAGATAAAAAAACGATCGTTCGTGCAAATAGCGAAAACGTGAAAATTTTAACGAATCGAAAAATAATTTACAGTATCGAGCCAATAATATTGCCAATTAAGAAAATTTAGATTAAACTTTCCAAGTAATTACGCAGATACTGTTCGTTTTTTTTTTACGCAGATTAAATATTTCGTCGATTGGAGAGGAAATGAATATTTTTGAAATTCATTCGCACGAACCCTTGCGAAGTTGAAATCAGTTGAAAAAAAGACATCGATTCGAGATGAGAACAGCAACCCACTTATGTATTTATGTATAGCTTTTTTTATATCCGATACGGGCCTGCACCGTGGGCCATACCGTCGTGGATGGTGATCTGGGTACTGAACGGTGACTCGCTTACGCTATTTCCTTACCTAGTTTGCATTCAAGATGCTTGAAATGATATTTATATCAAGAACCTGCGCCGTGCCGTTTTCGCATAAGCCTGGCTAAGCGCCACATATTTCAATAGAAAAAAAGGCATAAAAATAAAAATGAGGTTCGGCCGCACCGACTTAATAGTCTATTTACACCCACGCTATTCTATTGCTTATAGATTGCGTAACATTAACTGCGGTTCAAAAGTTAGCTGGTATAAATTGGAAAAAAATAAGAAAACATTGCAATGCATTTGATTCCAGCACCCGTCATTTTACGAAACATTATGCAGTAATATTAACTTTACGCCCGAAATTGAGAAATTTTTGTATTATACAACAACTTACAATGATTTATAGATATGGAAATTGTAGGAGACATTTAATAAAACAAATTATCGTTTGGAAACTATTCGATTTTAGTTTCAAATTAAACGATTAATGATGCGAAATACCGCACAAATAAAATGACTAAATGCATCAGATAAACGTCTATTTATTCAATAAGAATAATGAATGAAAAATTAATTTTATACCGGGAAACTGACGATTGAGATTTTTTTCGAGAATAATTCAACTGTGTACTTGCGTCAATAAGAATTGCAAGAAATTGTTTATTTGCAAGATTTCTAATTTTGCATACCTGTAATTAATAATTATTATAGGAGGATGCGTTGTTATTCATTAAAAAAGTATTCACAATTATCGACTTAGTAAACAAGTTTGCAAAATAATTATGGACTTAATAGCGCTAAACTATAGGAAATATTAAGCTTCATAAGGGGTAGGTAATTCTTGATTTGTTGTTGAGAAAAATCCTCTCTTTTCATAGTAAATATTATAAATGTATTATTACGTCTATTTGAGCGTATTATTGCGAGTATTTCATATCGCCTACGTCTTACAAATAATCTGCCTTCATGAGAATAACAAATGGTTCCGATAAAATCATGACAGTGCTTTTATTTCATAGATTATAAAACACCTTCATTCCCTGTGTATTCGAGTGTCAAGGCTCATTACCGCAGAAATGTATTTCACAAACCATCATCGGAAGATAAGGGTAATTATAGATATTTTGTTACAATTTTTATTGGATTAGAAATGCGAAATTTAAGAAAGAAAAAAACAGTTCCTCAGTATTGGCTGATTAAAATGTCGCAGGCAAAGAGAAAGAAGTTGAGCAGAAAAGGAGCAAAAGGCGAAAACAACCGAGAAGACAGTGCTGCACCGGCCGGTTAATTTATAATGTAAAGTAAATTTATAGGTCACTTAGAGCCTGAAACTGAGATAGGCCGTGAAAAACGTGTTCGGCGCGGTTATTTTTATACATACGCCGCAAACAGTATCGTTCTTTGAGCCGGGAACATCGGCCGTACGGGTAGAACATAATTACCTATATGTCGAGTTAAGATACGCACGGTTCCAGTAATTAACAAGGGGATTTATTAAGGATTAGCCCAACACAAACACGGCCTACCGTTACAAATACGAACACCTAGTTTAACGGGCTCCCGAGTCACGAAAACGGCAATATCAATGTGCTTTGAATCGACGCTTCTCACCATTCATACTGACGGCTTTATTATTTTCTTTTATTTCTCTATAATTTACTCTATTAATTTCTGAGGGGTTTAAATGTGTGAATTAATTCATTTTAGTAATATTTAATTGGATTTGGAAATACTATATGCGTATGTAAATGTAAACGACCGTTTTCTAGTTATCACATCTTCGTTTCCTCAAGTCCGGATTGATTAATTACAATGCCAGGCATCTTCGTAAGTACCGTGTGTGTATCAACTTTACAAGACCACTGGGCTGCTTCATCGACTGCGCGATTGTCACACCGATTTTATTTATGGTGATTTTTATCGACCAGTTAGTCAGTTCTAGTGTTACATACTAGGTAGTTAGAAATTCCCAATCTGATTTATATTTTTTTCTTTTAGAATTCTCTATGTAGAATCTCCTCTCGGATTTGATGAAGGATGTTTCTGAATTTAGGCGAAAATAGTGCTTGGTGAAACGTTTATCTACGAAATACAAACGGTTATTGCCAACTGGTCACGACCAAGTGGTGCCGCAATGATTAGAGGAATTTTGAAATAGCGACGTTTCGATTGTATCGGACTAATTCGATAACAACTTTGGTTTGATTAGGGACCACACTCGAGACTGAGATAAGATTTATCTCGATTCAATTATCAACTAATCGCATTACATCTGATGGTTTGTTTTGGCAATGTACAGTTCGGCGTGTATAGCAAGGGAGGCGAGATGCGCGAATGGGTTTATATTGATAATCAAAATCCTTCGGTTAATTGACGAAAAAAAAGGTAAAGATACAAAAATTTATGACGCGCTATACACTTATAATGTATTATTATGTTTTTTTTATAAAGCGTATTTACTTTCGTTTTTCGGTGAGAGCCTTGGGCGAATCAAGATCACGACAAGGGAAGGCTCTCCACGTAGGTATTACGAAGTGCATTCTGTAGAGAATATAATAAATTAAAACGGGACGGCAGTAACTGTACGAAATTGTGCGATTTGATTTATTGCTCTCCTGATTGGACATATTTCAACACATAAATCAATATCGATCGTAGACTGCGCACAATTTTTTTTTTCTTAAATTGATCGACAACGATTTACTAATGAAGATATTATTTCCTATTTAGCGTTGGCAAATTGATGAAATTTATCATGTATTTTCCTTCGCTCTAACGTATACATTTGGCACATTTTGAAATTAACAGAATATTGAATTTATAAAGCATTTTGTGGGCAAATTTTGTGGTTAGCCTAAATAGAAACCAGTTAAAACTAATTTTTTACCGGTCTATAACTAATAAGTGCTTATACTTGTTACTAAACAGTTATATCAATCGTTTAGTATATCAAGTTTTTATTGGTAATTCTTTTACAATTATTTTTTGGGTAAAAAAACTGAAATTATTAAATTTATTAGCCCAAATTTGATTATCATCACGAATTGCAATTAACCCGTCGATAAAATAAACAAAATCCCGCATTCCGTTTTACCGCGAAAGATCGCATTTAAGCGAAAAATTACATTTACGATCGAAACGGGTTATTTTCGAAAATAATTTTCATACCGGTCACGGTAGAGAAATTTCAAAATTGAAATTGATAAAAAACGGATTAACGCATTTAAAGCTTTAAAATCCAATTTACAATACAGACGTTATTGATTTATGCGCAAAAGCATGACAAAATACTTTGAAAATCAAATAATGATCAAAAAATGATCGATCATTCGACCACACCAGCAGCAACTAAGGTTTTATATCCAATTAAAAAAATGTCACTTAAACGTAACGAATCAGATGAAAAGGTAAAACAATGTTATCAAGAAAGGTAATTGTTAAAAAAATCATCTATAATGCGGAATAACTAATACATATGTTTCTATTTTTACAATACACTACAATACAATATTTTCATTGAAGAAAAAACCTATTAGGGGAATTAAAGGATAAAAAGTAACAATCAAAAATTCGAATTTATTTTGTAACAAAAACGGTTTTTAATTATTATAAAATTTTCCAAAGTAACCAAGAATGCGCCGATGAACAAAAGGTTTGAACTTTTTATTAAAATCGTGTTGGTATCTGTAACGGAAGAATATCGTAAATATGAATGGAAACTGATCGATTCAGAAAGAAAAATTTCATTATATAGGTAATTCGATTTTTAATAATACCATATAATTCGATTTAGTCATTGTAAATACTACATGTTTTTATAGTAATAACCACTTTCACGGTATGATATGATATTCTTCGAGACGAACTCCAATCTCGTCGATTCAATATTTTCAACAGGTATAACAAAACTCACAATTTAAATCATCCAGTTGCCTATCGAATTGCATTTTCTTTTTATACATAACCTTCTATCGGATTGAGTTTTGAAAGAAAATCCATATTTTAGATAATCACCGATGAATTTTTTTGTCCGCAGGTTCGATACGAATAAATCAACGAAAGGAGCCAGCAAACTGAGAAGGGATCTGATTAATGCAGAAATAGCGAATTTACGTGAATTATTACCTTTGCCGCCATCGACCAGGCAAAGGCTCTCTCAACTGCAACTTATGGCACTTGTATGTGTTTACGTCAGAAAGGCTAATTATTTTCAACAAGGTACGTATGAGGTAGAAAATCTCAGAGGCGTAAACAAATCTTATATTCTACTCTAATATATTAAAATGAACGAAAAAAAAATCGATAAAAAATACTTGCATATTTTTGTGTTTATTTTATAAAATAAGATTATGTATGAAAGAGTTATCTGCTTATCTAAAGACACCTGTTTAATAACTAAGTAAGTTAATCGCCCGATAGATGAAACACCTGCATAATTTCTCATAATAAAAGAATTTTTCGCACATATTACACTACTATTAATAATAACTACATCAGAGACAAAAAAAAATAAAAATTCTTCGAATGATATAAAATATAAGTAGTTATTTGCATCAATTACTACAAAGTTTTGAAAAAAAAAATATGCAAATATGTATATTACAAAATAATTCGGTATAGGTACGTTCATGAATATACAATATGTATGGTATAAGAATCCTCGTTGAAAATGTGTCAGTGCATATAATTACGCCCCGTTCGGACGAGAAAAGGAGAAAACCGTTCCTGAAACGGACATTCGATTTAAATGCAAAAAGGGAGATAACGAAAAAAAAGCGCACCAATTGAAAATTGCGGATAGATGACGTCAGTTAGACATATTCTTCGGGAATCCATAAACTTGCAGTGACGGACGCATCAGATAAGAAGCGTTTGCAGGCACGTATACATGTCGAGCCGAGAGTTAATTGACAGGCCAATCAATGGGGGATTTTGTCACTAGACTCGAAAACGACATTGATTGACTTAATATTACCGAGTTCAATTTCAATAAACAATGGGTAATTTCAGTGCTTCGAATACGCCAATGGCAGGACCGTTTCACGAATATTCTATTTACCTAAACATACTCAACCTATGTACGAGTATAAAAGTCTCTACGGTTTTCGTATAGATTCGTCAAAACTAAAACTAAGTTTACTTCAAGATTTCTTAATGAATTATTATTATTTTTTATATTTAATCTTGGTTTCTGAATAGGGAATTTTCCCTTAAAAATATTCAAACGGCCCTGTGAGATTATAAGCGTGATTTAATGGAACTCATTGTCATAGTACTTACATACTTCGATTGTTCAAAAAAACGTGATTTTTTTAACTTTATTGTACGTATATACGATATGTAAGTAGTCGCATCGTGAGAAAACTCTTGATACTTCTGATTGTACACATTTATTAGGCTCCGTTCGAATTGAGAATCAAACTTAATTAAGCCTATTTCAATTACCATATTAGTCCAAATGTATTTTTTCACCGTTTCAATGGCTATACTCAAGCTCGATGTAAATTATTCAACGATTCCAAATAGGATAATTTAAATTCGATTTTGATGCCTAATTGAATGAATGCGCGTTTCATTCCTTCATGTAAAGAATACTTTCCCTTAAATTCAATGTACACATCATTTCCTTTTTTAATTCACTAACTGTCTCAATTGGTCTCACGTATCATTAAAACATATTCGCACTGCAATAACCATTATAATTACGTTCGAAAGGTAGATCGCACGCAAGAAAATTTCAAGTACCTAAGTACCTAATGTTAGTAATTAACTTGTCTCTGCGCATTTAGTACTTACGATACGGCATCTCGTGCATATTTGCACATACATAATTCAAGATCTTTATGAATAACAGTACCCACAAAAATCCATCCCTTATTACAAAGAGATTTAATCTCTAAGTAGAATTTAGTCAATATTAACGAGCATTTCGGTTAATTTTAAACGACTCGCCGAGCTAAATACAGCCTAGCATGAAAAATGCGCGTAATTATCAAAAGATATGTATCAAGGATGTTTTTTTAAAGCAGGCATATTCATCTAGTCGAACTAAAAAGTGTCACTGGAAATTGCACGGTGATACACATAATGTATACCGTCGGTTTGTAATCACTTAGGTAATTATCATTACACGGCATAATGCCTCGAATAGGCATATATTTTACAAGTAAATGCAGCGTTTCAATTGATTTCGATCTGCCTTCATTCGAACCGCATGCACCTCTTTTATGTGGTACTGTTAATTCGATCGAAATATTAATTGTAACGCGAATTGATGATTAAATTATATACAATTTGATCCGCATTTAATTCCATCAGTTTATTTCGTACATACTTTAACTAAATTCTAGTTAATTTTGATTTAATAACTCATCGAAAGTTTGCAATAAATTAAGTAGGTATTTTTTTTTCATAAATATATAGGTAAATAAATCTATGATTATGATAGTATCCTAAAATACGTAATTATTGGTTTAAATGAAATATGGTAATTAGTTACTAATGGTTATAATAAAGTACCCATAATCTGCAGTCCGCGGCGTTACATAATATAAATTTTCCATTAATGAGTAACAGATAAGGTCGAAGATGAATGTTTTACTCGATGAAAAACCGGCGGCCTCGTGAGAAATAATCTGAGAATATGTACATTCTACGGCTTAATAATTAATTTTATAGTATTTATAGTTTGAGATCCGTATGCGAAATACACTCATATACACACTATCTAACTCGCTACATTTTAATGCAACAGCGATTCTATCTCGTCTGTTACTTAAACTTAATTTAAGTATACATATAGGTACGTAATATACTTTATATCAGGCTTCTCAGGTTCCTTGTCTCATTGAAAATTGTAGATTTCGCGCCAAAGAAAAAAATAATCTCCTATTTCTCCACTTATTAAAGAATTAAATGAGTTTTTGTTTTAATTTCAGCGTTCAAATGTCATGATGTAGGTTTGCACCAAAACCAAACTCCCAATATTGGATTTTCTAAGGTAAGAAATATTAGCTTTAAGAAGTACACAAAATAAAATGTTGATATTATCTAATATGTTGATAGAAAATGTTGTCTTATTTAAAACGGTTATTGAAGGATCTAGTTGAATTATGTATTCAGCGGTTATAGAGTAATTGCAGTTTGTGCATCTAAAGCCCATCGTGGGAAATCCATGGGTTCCGTTCTTAAATGAAACAATTACCCACTTGCGTGTTTGCAACACATTATTGAACCATTCTCTCGCTCGATTATTTGTTTTTATTTTTCCCCATGAGGTTTTCATATGCGCGCTTTTTCGGGACGGAGCTTCTTCATTTTCGAGGTAGTACATATTTTTTCACACGGCCCGCTCGATATTAACGTCGCCGCGGATTTGCATTTATTCATTTTATTTTTTGCGCTTGCTTTATTCTAAAGCTCCTAATCACTGCTTTTAGCGTAGATTGTGAGCCGATATTCACTTTCCCAAGGAACCGTTTATCGGCAGAAACGATTACCTATGACAAAAAAAATCACGACTACTTTTCTACATAAGAAACGCGCCTTTTTATACCTTTATAAAACATAATCTACCTACAGTACAATCAAATACAATGTTGTGAGTAGAGAAGTAAAGTATCTCCATTATAATGGAGAAATCATCCAGAAAATAATTCAATACAATTTCCTGCTATTTGGAGGTTTCAGCAGTCGAGCTTTTACGAGCGAGTAATTTAATAAATATTAGAAGCTGTACCTACATGCATAGTAGGAGGTCATTATTCATGCTATGAATAGTTTCAACGATGCTTGACTACTCAAATGGCTAATAAATTTGTGTATCATTCGCACATAAATTATATCCACAATGTGGCAAACGGAATAGAGAAATATTTATTTGCGAATAATAAAGGCTCCAAGATTCTACCTTGAGGCACTCCTTGTAATACATTCTCCGCAATGTAAATAGACAATTGCTTTCTTCAATTTTTTCTAAGTCTTCATGAGAGTAATCCAATTAAAAATAATAATAATAAACGCTGCTTGTTGAAGGAATAAAAGTACCGCTGAAAGTTCATTTGTATCATTAGTTTTGTTTTAATCGATCTCATACAATTAATTCGGATCGATCGATAAATCGAATGAATGAATGAATGCATTAATAATAACAGCGATAATTTCTTTTTCTTTTTGTTTATTTTAATAATGCAGGCTCTATTTGAATTCGAATAGAACATTTCCTAAAATTCAAAATAGAAACCAGGTTTTGAACGAATTTTAAAGCGATAGTAATGGACAACAGCACTCGTAAAATAAGATGCCGATGGAAATCGGGCTCCTGCTACAATAATCGCAGGAATTCTCAATAAACTGCTTGTATGTGCATGTAATTTGAATCGAATATCAAGATTTAATATACAGTAGTTTACACAGCTACACGGAGCAGGATTTATGAATGTTAGCAGGGCTGCACAATGTGGTGGACAATACCAGTCTTTTCTTTCTTTATTTATCGTTCCAGTTTTAGGATATTTATTGTTTGTGTGCTCCAGCACTGCTTTCTAAAATTTGTCTAAAGCCGGCACTGAACGTGCATACATAAAAAAATACTTGTTTTTTATAACGAGCGGTAAAATATTACGATCAACAGTCACTATAATCTACTGACAGCATAAAATTGCTAGCGCATATAGGTATATATGTATCTATCTAATGGACTGACAGGTGTCGGAATAAGTAACTACATATTTTTTTTCTTAGTCTTCGCAATGGTTGCCGTTTTACACGAAATTCAATTCGATTTTCGAAAGTAATTTTTCGCAAAAATCAAGTAAAATTCGATTCGTACGAAATCATTGAATATGAACCAATTAAATCCGTTCAAACAAAAGCTCTCTTTCATGTTTGAAATTTCGACATTCTTCTCGATCGTAAAAGAACCTCATTGCGTATAAAAGGCGATTCAAAATCATCCGTAAATCAAGATTTCATTCCGACTGGCTCCGAAATAACGCAAACACCAATTATAATTGGTCAATGGAACGAGGCAATTAAATTAACCACGCCTATAAAGTTGTCCGCAACTTCAAATTGCGGTCGTCTTAGTGAATAAAGTGTGTAAATGCGTCGGTTTAACACTTAATTGCCGAACTGCTCGTTAATTATATTATTGAAAATAAAAAAAAAACATAGTATTTACGTTAGATACACGTCAGATTGTATAGATGTTACTGTTCTCAAAAAAAAAATCACAGAACAAGGCAAAATTAAAAATTTCCTTTTATAAATGTCATTATCAACCGAATAGTATGGGCAACTTTTTAACAAGCATTAACGAAGCAGTTAATAGTTTAATTACACGTGCGTTAATTCGCGGAATTTAAAGCGCGGAAAACGACGTGTTAATTACCATTAAATCGTAAATATATCGTCCAATGCGATCTGAAACAATAGAGGTTAATTAGGAGGTAGGAGAAAAAAAAGGGGACCGTACGAACACAATACGGTTTTAGAACAGTAGCCTAACATAAGCTCACACATGTCTGTTTTAATGAAACGTTCATCGTGGCCTTTAACCATTTCCTCACGATTTACGAATTACATTAGGAAGAGCATCGATCTACCCCGAGGCGCGCCGTGGCGCTTTATTTATAATACAGGATGTTCGAATTTTTTAGCGATCCAATTATCAAACTTTCCAAAAAAAGATTCGAGGGAAATGTATACGAAAGAAAATTCTCCTATAAGAGCAAATTAGTTCAGTTAGTAGTAGTAGATTTCGTTTGAATTCAACAAATATTTATTTTACGTGATGGTGGTAATCGATAAGTAGAATAAAGAAACGTATATGAAATTGGTGAATCCGTCCCTGGCCGGAGGTCAGGTAAATTACTGGACCATCTTCATCTTCGGAGCGCATTGGCGCTGGACTAGGCGCAGAGAGCAAGCAAGAGAGCAGAGAGCAGAGAGCATCACCGGAGAGCGCTAGTTCAGACCACTCGGGTGGATCTGTATCGTGTGGACGGCGCGGCGCGGCCAAGGGGGCGCAGGGGGACCGTTCTAGCGGGGTCAACGCGTGACCTCAAGCCGAGGGGTACGCAGCTACTTTCCCACGGACCCGCCCGCAATATCTACCGCTCTTCATCTGACTCTAGCCTGTCATTAAATATGGCAATGTGTGGTGTGGTGCGGTGCGAGGCGCTCTTCTCTCTCGGCCCAGCTCCAGATACATCGATAACTGTACCGATTTTTTAGGTGATTAGCCGAAGCGGTCTTAACGCTTAAAACGCAATACATTACTGATTTTTTTTTTCACCAATATTTTTCCGCAAATGTTGTACATTATCAACGATTCCTTTTATTTATGTTGGAAATTATAGGTCACTCTTATATGTAAGAGGTCCTCGAAATGGGTCCAATTGAATCTAACGAATCTAAAATTGTCGGTTGAAAAAAATTATCCAACTGGCTCGTTACGTGCCGTGCCGAGACTTATATAGAATCCTAACTGTTGTTCCAAATTGAAACATACAATTATTGGTATCAGATGAACGTCAAAATCCATTATTTTGTATTAGTTATGCAACGAGGACCTCCTAATGAGCGAACGTCCGAACCGTTTCCTAATAATTATAGGTGTATTTAAAAAAAATACTCATTGCACGTATTCAATATCGTCACTTAAGTAACTATTGTTTTTTTACTAGTCATCTATGTATACAGGGTGGTTCAAAACTGGCACTCGTCCTTTACGAATAATGGTTACCCAGTTATATTGATAAAAAAACAATGATCTATAAAATTAAAAACTGAGTAAGCATAAAACAATGACTTGTATAGGTTGCTATGATGACGTTAAATTTTTTTAATTATATTCTTCTGTCAATTGTCAATGTTAATGTAAGCAGAATTTCTCGAAGAAGACTTGTACTTGGTTTTGCTTCAAAAAAATCAATAATTTGCTCTTCTCGGGCTGTATTGAGCTTATTTAATCTATGATTTACATTACCTGATATTTCCAGTAATCTGTGTTCAACCCGTCGTATAAGTAGTTTTTGCATCAGGGTGGCCTCGATCTGAGAATTTTACTGCTTATGTCCAACTTGCAGCACTGACATAATTATTATACAAATCTAAAACTTTCAAAATATACCAAAATATTCTCGATTTGAATATTGACATTTAAATTTTTCATATAACATATGACCGTACGAAATTATACTTAACTTAATAATGACAAGTGACAGATCGGATGATAAATTTTTGACATCACCATAGCAACATATGCCAGTCATTTGTTTTAAGCTCACTTCTTTTTTAATAAAATTGACAGATTGAATTATATTATTATTTTTATCAATAACTCGGTAATTAAGCAAAATTTGTATTCTTATAACGATTACATTTGTTTTATTCTCCTGATTCATATATTCGGAAAGCAATGTTTTTTAATTAAAGAAATTAGATGAATAGAAGACGAAAATAGAAATTGATGTAATCTAACAACACCTTGCTTAAATACATGAATGAATTACCGCAAAGAACGGAAAATAACGTATAAATTTCGCGATGATATTATAGAATCGTGCATCGAATCGAATTACACAATAAACTTTATTAGATCCTATTTATTTTTTGAAGTAGGTGCTCAAGTCGAACCATCGTTCTATCCTGGCATGTTGCGTGTTTTTACGTCGAAACAAAAAAGAAATTCATTTTACCGCTAAGCCCGAGTCTTAAGTCTTAAGCGACTGTGGGATGCCGAGATATGTAGGTAAATTGAGATCATCTCATGCGAGAGCTTTTTCACTCCGTCGCCAAACTGAATTCCGAATATAAATTAAGATGGATGGTGATCCGGTGATCGACTGAATTTAAAAACGAAATCCGTGTATTTTGTACGGCGAACGTTTGTTCCGGGTACGAAACAACCTCAGTCAGCTTTTGAACGCAGACCAGCACTCGTTAGAAAGGTCACCTTATCTTACAGAGCAGATGAGAACACTTCGACATTCATCA